CTTTCTGAATATGACTACACTCTTTATCACAAGGCTGAAGCAGCAAACAAGAAAGCAGATTTGCTTAGCAGATGGAGTGATCACAATCAAGGAGAAGATAATAATAATGGTGTGGTTTTGCTCAAACCTGAACACTTCCAAGTGATGATCATGCCTATAGAGGAGAAGATTCATGAGCAGATCAAAAGTGCCACAAGAGATAACAGTAAGTGAGACCAATGAGTGGCCTTATCACTCAATCATGAGAGAGGGATAATGAAGGAAGAAGGCCTGATCTGCTATGATGGGTGGATCTACATTCCCAGAGATCAACAGCTTTGGAGGGGAGATCATTACCATATACTATAATTATACTACAGCAAAATATCTGAGGGTCACAAAAACCAAAAAACTCATTCTTCACAAGTACTAATGGCTGAAGATAGGACAAGATATCAAAAAATACATAAAAGAATGCAAGACATGCCAGAAAGAAAAGTCTATGACTCAATTATAGACTGCCCTCCTACATCCAAATGAAGTACCACAATTACCATGAATGCACATTTCTGTTGATATGATCACTGGCCTACTGGAGTGTAATAGCTATGATGCTATAATAATCATTGTCAGCCAGTTCTCAAAAGCAATCATTCTGATTGCATGCTCAATAGAGTTAACTTCAGAAGGGTGAGCAAAAATCCTTCATGATGAAGTCTATGCTAAATATAGTATGCTCCAAGTTGTAATCTCTGACCAAAGACCTCAATTCATCTCAAAATTCCTCAACAACTTATACCAGCTCTTAAACATTCAGCAAAATGCTTCTATAGCATACCATCTGCAGACAGATAGACAAATAGAGCATGCCAACCAAGAGATTGAAAAGTACCTTCATCTTTTTATCAATTATTAACAAGATGATTGGGTCAAGTGGCTTGCCCTTGCTGTATTTTAACACAACAACCATGTCCACTCAGCAACCAGAAAAACTCTATTCTTCATCAACTATAGCCACCACCCTAATGTTTTTCATACTGAACATATACACACCTCCACTCCTGCCTCCTTCAACTTCACATATATTATGTCCCAAATTCATGATGAGATATGTACTGCCCTTAAGAAAGCTGCCTCTTCAATGAAATGCCAATACAACAAGCACTAAATGGCTGTCCACACTTATAGCATCTCTGATAAGATTTGGCTGGATACCACCAATCTGCACCTTTCATGCCCAAAACAAAAACTTGTCAACAAGCACACCAGGCCTTTTTCTATTATCACAAAAGTCAGTGCCTCCATCTATAAACTCTGCCTCCCAAACAACTGGAAAATCCATGATGTTTTTAACAAATCTCTCCTCATGCCATTTGTAGCACTCACATTCTCCAGTCAAGAATGTCCTCCACCTTCTCCTTCAGATCTGATCAACAACAAAGAATATTACAAAATTGATCAGATCTTTAATCACTGTTTACATAAAATCCACACACAGGGAGGAGAAATGATGACAACCATTGATTATTTGGTTAGTTGAAAGGGTTATAGCCTGGAATCTAACCAGTGGGTCAATGAAAAATATATGAACACTGCAGATGCAATATATGACTATGAAACATCTTTAAATTAAGCCATCAGGACAATGGTCTTAAAGAGGGGGTAATGTTATGATTTTTCCTACTTTTCTTCATTTTAACCCCTATTCATGCTTAGTCAGAGCATCTAGACCAGTGCTTAAGACTGTGGAATGGGCTTTATCATCACAACAAGCCATGTCTGCTATTGTCTTCTGATGCAATAATAATTCTCAATGATGCACAACAACCTTTTTGTAAATAGTAGCAACACCCAAGGACAATGGACACAAAGACTTGAATGAACACAATAAGTAGTAGTATATTTATCTCAATGGATGAGTAGTATATAAGTAGAATAGCTCTCACTGTATAACCTCAGCTTCAAGCTAAAGTTTATTTTATACCACTTCACTCTTGAGCTGATTCTATGGGCCTTGAAGCATTTGGTCAACAGATATAAATAGTGAACTCTGACATGACTGTACAAACTCAATACAGCATCAGTTTATCACATGTTCTGATCACATGTGACTTGGGTCTAACATCAAATAAGCTCATCTATGAAAGAGTTGATTGTGTAAAGAGCAGCACATCTTCCTTCCAATTTGTGAAATGTGCCACAATGTCAGCATGTTGGTGGGAAGGATAGTCATCAACACTACAAGCCAGTCTCCTATTGTGAGCTGCAGGCAGAAGATCTGCTTCAGAGGCTGAGCTGATGATTTGTAAGTTAGAACTTTCTCCTTCTGTTTTGTGCACTCATATGGATTCTCAGATTTAGCATGTGGTTTTCATGTTGGTTCAGGAGGCATGTTTATTGAGATATAAGCTGAGCCACTTTACAATATTTTTTTTCATGTTTGTTATAATCTGTACAAACAAATTATGTTCTTTATTGTTTTAATACATGCACAATGTCATATTAGCTTATTACAATTTTGAATATGACAATGCATATCCAGGACTAGAACCATATGCATTTCTAGTTCATTTTCCTGCTTTCTGACTGGGTTTCAGCCTAATCTGTATGCAAAGTCAGATTATGCATTTTCATATCATGCATTTCAAGATAGTCAACTGTATATTCATGGACTAATATGTAGGTGGTGGTGGTATGAAGCCAAAAAGTAGTAACAATCAACACAAAAATTAAATATGTGAAACAAACAACAGAGTGGCTGTGAAACCATCATTCTCAACATATCTGTCCACAATATCATTGCTACAGTGAGCATTGTGTGAGCTGCAGTTGTCCTAGCAAAGATCACACTGTTTCACAGTCACTCTGTGTGATCAGCATGCCAATATCAGCTGTGTGTTATATGATGATAAGTAAAAACACAGTACAATGTAATTATGCATGCATTATCTGTGGTGTTATAGGGCCTTAACAAGGTTTCTCCATGGCTGAGGCTGAGTTCATTAGAGATCATTGGGATCATCAGGGTTTTATAAGTGTCAACTTACTAAGCATTAGTAAGTCATGTTTAAGGGCTAAAAAGTCATGATTAGAAGCTGAAAGTTAGGACAATCATTACTGATATACAATATCAGTTCAACAGCCTGAAGTGTGCTCAATCTTTCAGAGTTTAAATCTCAGTTCCTATCTATCTCTAGTGTATTGGGCTACAGATTTTAATAAAATATAAAATAATATCAACTGATTATTGACACAACAAAAGTTTCAGGTCTGTAACAAGATAGAATCTCAATCTCATTCATCATGATGAAAATTTTTTTCATATTGCTTTATAGAATCTGTAACAATCAGTATTACTGGTTACATGATCAACTGATAATCATTTAGAGTGATTTTTTCTATAAAAGCAGTGAGTTCTTCAATAACTGCAGTCATTCTAAATCTCTCTCAAAATGTCAACACCAATAGAAATTCCAGATCTCTCAACTGGAGATATACAAGCAATATTCCAAATTTTTGATTTATATTCTAATATTATGATTCTAGAAATCTTTTGTGATAGCAAGTTTTATTTTTTAAAAAAACTAAATTATTCTTATTATAATATTATACAGATATTTATACAGGAATTCTAATTGTCACCTTATAGACTATTTGTAGGTGAAATACTATATATTATGGACAGTGACTAAAATCAGAATTTAGTTTCAACTAAAATCTCCCAGCATAGAAGAGCAATCTATCCAATGATTATTGTGCTTCTATGTTTTTATATTCTGGAGATATTAGATGCCTCATTTTACTGGCAATTCATACAAAATGCCTTTATAAACAATGAGTGAAATTCATGGACTGTGCTTGTTGAACTCAGTACAAACAACTATATGGGTACTTATGTATATTATAGATTTGGTGATACTGAATAATTGTCATTCTTTCAATCATCTGCACAATTATTACAATTGATATGATCTATTCAGTATGTCTTCTCAAAATGCTTATAGATAATAAAGCTGCAAGGGTCATAAATATATATCATATTATGCATGATACTACCAATAATATTCAGAGTATAATCTCTGATGCAGTGGCACAAAAATGGGTCACTGTTTACTATTCTTTCAGTCTATCAACAACATTACTCTGCACACTTCTAATCATATATTGGATCATTACTGTTGGTGGTACAAACCAGAGAGGAATGGGTATTCAATCCTATAAGAGTGTAATTGAAATCCTTGTTGAATCTTTCTTATTATACTCCACAGCAGCTCTTTTAACAGTTATACTGAGTAGCTGTGGAAATCAAATTAAAGAAAACTATGCAGATACTGTAGCAGCTGTTATATGGGAGTCTTAATTTACAACTGATGCTCTAATCTCTTATATTTATTTTATTTTAGGGAGTTGCACCTACACTTCTTGTTGGATGAGTTGCAGCAGGACAAGCTTGCTCTGATGACACTTGGAGTGTCAGTATTGCTTCATTATTACACTTTGGAGAACATTCAGCCCAAAGTCATGGCAGCACAGATGAAGAAGCTGGTGGAGACTATTTATATGAGGAGTATAGGCATCACACAGAGCCAGTTCTTGGTAATCATTCTGGGGATGAACACAGACAGGGCACTGATAAAGATGGTATTACAGGATATGTGAATGCAGAGGCCAGTCCTTCTGAAAATCAGCATCAAGATAGCACAGGAAAGATCTCAGTTGGGGATTACCATAGTGCTCAAATGTACTTCAGCATGGATGAAGAAGCTATAGAAGCAGATGGTGGTGGGATGGAAGGTTAAATTTTCTCATTAGAATTGGCATTGACTGCCTCTTTCTCTTTTCCCCAAATAGATTTCAGACAAGTTTCCTAGATTTTGACCCCAATTTCCAAGAAGTTGTTTCCCTTCATGCTATAGATACTTAGATTAAACCTGTTTCTTATCACTTTGAATTGATTTGTCCTTTGCTTTCCAACAGCATCATTCAAGAGAATAATGAGATCATTAATTGAATTTCAGTCTGACAGCATGGCAAAAGGACTTTCATTAATAGAGTACAACAACAGGTGAGATACTAGATTAGATGGTAGCAGTACAGTGGTATAAGTCCAAAAAAGAAAATGGGTGGCGAGGGTATCACCAGCCCGCACAAGCACCCGACCATATTAGTAAGGCGTCGAGAAGGCGAAAGGCGAGAGAAACGCATTCGGATTGGGAGATGCGTAAATCGGCGACACGAAATTCGGAGGGACAGGGCACATGGCTGTATTGGGTAGGAGATAGGCGCTGGATTGTCGCGTGGGATTATTCTGTGGGATCATCCGGAGTGGGTGAGACGGCATGGAATAGCTGGTGGGAGGGATATAACCATGAGGCTGTGGCACAGGGTTGTTCTGGGGGGATGGGCATTGATAAGGGCTCGTCGTAGGTGGTTGATAGAGGTTCACTTGTGGGGAGCATGACTGAAGTTGAGTCGATGGCTGATACGGGCTTACCATGGCCTCATTGGTCTGGGATGTTGGCAAATGCGGTGTGGGCGGTACATCACCATCAGTCGACGTATCCGACTCTGAATCCGAGTCTGAGTCGTCCGGTTCGACCCACTCTCCCATCAAATACCTTCCATTCGGCTTCGTCCTCTTCTTCTCGCGCCTCAAACTCCTCTCCCACTCCCGAATCTCCGCCTCCTCTTGCACCGACATCACGCTCGTCTGACGTGTAATTGTCTTCGTTACGACCCCTGGGTTCTCCCTCAACCATTCCTCGACCAACCGGACTGCATCTCGAATCCTCACGCGCATCTCCGCCAACTTCCACGCGGGCCATCCATCATAACCCATCGTCGCACACTCAGCCCTTACCCAGCCCTCCACAATCTCCAGCGTCCACTTGCCACCTCCTTTCACCCTGAGTCCATTCAGGAGAATCACCACGACGTCTCCAGGATCGTACTTTTCGTATCGCATCAGCTTCAGCCCAACAGCCCACCCCGGGGAGACGCTGACCATCCGCACAGTCCCCCGGTCGAATATCGTGTTCTGTGCGAGGTTCCCGGGATGTGTGCTCCCCTCCCATACACCCGGTGGGAGCGCGACGTCCGCGTCCGCGTTCATCCAGTCAGCGCCTAGTCCAGGAAAAGCCCGTGAAGTCTCAGCGATGGCGCGTGTTATTGTCGTACAGACATCGGTGCTAAAAGGCTGGGCGAGGTAATCGACGTCGAGAGTGCTCTGCCGGGAGGTCGGGATCGTTTGGTAGGACGGGTGGAGGAGCATGGCTGCGCCACCGTGGATGACTAGGAGCAGTGAGGGGATGTGGTATGGCGAGCCAGGATTGGAAAGTTGGTCGCAGAGATAATTGAGGAGCATCTCCAGCATGGGGCGTGTGAGAGGGAGCGTGTTGGTCGTCATCGCCGTAGCATTAGTGGTCAATGTCAACAAACGACAGAACCTTTTTGTTCCCGCCTCGTGTGCATCATGTGTTTGACGTCATCAGCCCTAAACCCAACAAGGATTAACAAAGTATGGAAGAAAACATCGGCGCGCAACGGTTCTGACAATTCTACCTCGTCGATATTCTCAAGACTTGACAAAAATTGTCATGGCATGAGGCGTTGTTGGGTCTCCAGTAGTCACCGAGCTAGTGCGTACCGGTCTGTTTATACATTATTCTGGTTTACTAACAACATTCCAGGCTGCCAGCAATGATAATCGTATCACTTCGCCTGGGACATAGCGCCGCTACCGAGAGATCAAGATAAGGGCAAGAGACTGTTGACCTTTTGTTGTACTTGCAGCACTATTTATTTATTTAAATCGTAGACGAGCAGGAAGAAGTTGTGTCTGACATGCACGGTATGCCTCCCACTGAAAAGAAAAATCATGAGTGAGATCCAGTTTTCAACAGTCTGCTGGTGGCAGTCTAGCCTATCCGATCAGACGACTGAAATTTCTTCTAGTGTTTTCTAGCCTCTCTTCGCCATCCCTGAGAAAGTTTTCGCTAAATAGGGATGCTTAGCTAAGCGACACGCTACCGATTTGGAGTCAGCATGAATGTGTTCCTGTCAACACCTTTTGCTCTCTCCAGCAATGGACACATTCGATAATTTCCAGTACGACTCTGCTTCCTCCTATGGAGGCATGGGCGTAGTAGATGACACTTCCTCTGTATACACCGCCAATACTCAAGATAACTCATCCTCAGTCGACCTTTCGAGCCTCTCAATTTCCGAGCTCAATGACCCAGCGTCTGGCAATGAGGATGCTCATCACTCCAGTACTCCTCGCACGGCGCTCGACGAGGATTTTGATGCTGTTCTAGACGATCTCAAGGACGGCAGCGCCGTTGATCTGCCTCCTCATGCATGCAGGTTCGTTCGCCATTTGTTCTCTTCCGATATTCTATCAGTTCAGAATTGGATTGCTAGTTACTGCGGAATTCACTCACCAGCATCTGTCGTCAAGTGTATCATTTGCTCGAAATGGTTCTGCAACTCTCGAGGAAATACGTCGGCATCACATATCGTTAACCACCTTGTGCGTGCTAAACACAAAGAAGTCATCTTGCACACAGAGAGCCCCCTTGGAGAGACAACTCCTGAATGCTACAATTGTGGCAGCAAGAACGTCTTCATGTTAGGCTTCATTCCAGCGAAAAGTGATACTGTCGTCGTCCTTCTTTGCCGGTGAGTTGCCTTGCATATCCTAATACGTCCGGCTTACAACGATTCATCAGTCAGCCATGTGCTGCTATCTCTAAAGATATACAGTGGAACGCCTCCCTTTGGGCGCCGCTCATTGACGACCGCTCCTTCCTCTCATGGCTCGTAAAGCCCCCAACCGAGACAGAGCAGCTCCGCTCTCGCCAGATATCATTCCAACAAATTAACCGGCTTGAAGATTTGTGGCGTGAGGATGCCAACGCTACACTCGAAGATCTAGAGAAACCCGGCGTGGACGATGAACCGCAACCAATCATGGTGCGCTATGAAGACGCGTACCAATATCAGAATATATTCGGGCCTTTGGTCAAGATTGAAGCCGACTATGATAAACGGCTCAAGGAAAGTCAGACACAGACCGATATTCTCGTTCGCTGGGATTTGGGGCTGAATCAGAAGAGAGTGGCGTGGTTCGGCCTTCCAAAACTGGAGAGTGGCGAAGTGCGGTTGGCGGTCGGCGATGAGCTGAGACTGCGATATATGGGGGAACTGCACAAGTCCTGGGAGGGCGTCGGACACGTCCTCAAGATCCCAAACAGTAAGTACCAAACTCTCTCCGACTTTATGAGCGGGTTTATAACTTGTTGTTAGATGTTTCCGATGAGATCGGCCTGGAGTTGCGAAGAACCGAAGGAGTTCCTTCCGAGTGTACTCACAACTTTGCTGCAGACTTTGTCTGGAAGTCTACCAGCTTTGATAGGATGCAATTGGCCATGAAGACGTTCGCCGTTGATGAGAAGAGCGTTAGCGGGTACATTGTAAGGCCATTCCTCTCTCTACTCATCTACTCCGCTAATCCTGATTCCAGTACCACAAACTTCTTGGTCACGAGCTCGAACCCCAGTCTCTTCGAACCCAAATGCCCAAGCGCTTTTCTGCTCCCGGCCTTCCCGAGCTTAACCACTCCCAAATGTACGCTGTGAAGAGCGTCCTGCAGAAGCCCATCAGCTTGATTCAAGGACCTCCTGGAACTGGCAAAACCGTGACTTCAGCATCAATTGTGTACCACCTCGCAAAAATGAACCCAGGACAGGTTCTCGTTTGCGCACCCTCGAATGTTGCCGTGGATCAACTTACCGAGAAGATCAACATCACAGGTCTTAAGGTGGTCCGTCTGACTGCCAAATCGCGGGAGGCTCTGGATTCGAGCGTCGCATACTTGACTCTTCATCAGCAAGTAGCGAACAGTACCACCCACGTAGAGCTGCAGAAGCTCATAATGCTGAAAAACGAACAAGGGGAACTGAGTAGCAATGATGAGAGGAAGTATAAGACGCTTATCAGGCAGTGCGAGAAGGAGATTCTCAGTGCTGCAGATGTTATCTGCTGTACTTGCGTTGGAGCGGGCGATCCGAGGCTGAGCAAACTCAAGTTTAGAACCGTTTTGATTGATGAAGCGACGCAGGCCGCAGAACCAGGTCAGCATCTTTCGTTAGTTTATGATGTCCGATTCTGACTCTGGTACTCTAGAGTGTATGATTCCGCTTGTTTTGGGATGTAAGCAGGTTGTTTTGGTTGGTGATCATCAGGTTTGTGCCTTTTGGTTTGTGTCTATACGTCTCTAAAACTCCATTTATGTAGCAACTTGGCCCGGTCATTATGAACAAGAAAGCCGCTCGCGCAGGGCTGACACAGTCCTTGTTTGAACGGCTAGTCGTCTTGGGAAACAGACCGATTCGTCTCCAGGTTCAGTACCGGATGCATCCATGCCTCTCCGAGTTCCCATCCAACATGTTCTATGAAGGGACACTTCAGAATGGTGTCACAGCCCCGGAGCGTTTGAGGAAGAATGTTGACTTTCCTTGGCCGGTTCCAGATACTCCCATGTTCTTCTACCAGAATCTAGGACAGGAAGAAATATCCAGCAGTGGCACGTCGTTCTTGAACAGGTTTGCATCCTGCTCTTTTCCATATCGTAATCTGACTAATCTCTTGATAGAACTGAAGCTTCCAATGTCGAGAAAATTGTTACTAAATTCTTCAAATCGGGCGTCGTCCCGGGACAGATTGGCGTCGTCACTCCTTACGAAGGCCAACGATCGTACATTGTGACCTACATGCAGTTCAATGGATCTTTGAAGAAGGACCTGTATAAGGAAATCGAAGTTGCTAGCGTCGATGCTTTCCAAGGACGAGAGAAGGACTATATCATTCTCAGTTGCGTTCGCAGCAACGAACACCAAGGCATTGGTTTCCTGAACGATCCCAGACGTCTGAACGTTGCGCTGACTCGAGCCAAGTACGGGGTAGTAATCCTAGGCAATCCTAAGGTTCTAAGCAAGGTCAGCTCACAAAGGTAGTCGATTGTTGTACAAGTTATCTCATTTGTGTTTTGTCCTTACAGCATCCTCTTTGGCATTACCTCTTGACGCACTACAAGGAAAAGAACTGTCTCGTCGAGGGTCCGCTCAACAACTTGCAGGCCAGCATGATTCAGTTCAGTAAACCGCGCCGCACTCTTCTCAAGTCTATGGACCAATTCCGTCGTCATGAGACTAATGCTCGGGATTATATGAGCGGTGCACCCAATATAGGATTGATGTCCGATGGTATGTTGTGTTGTGGAGTTGTAGCTTATTAGGCTAACATTTTCATTATAGGAAAACGCTCCGGCACGCCCAGCCGCTTTGACGCCAGCTTCTACCGGACTCACGACGCATTGGGCTACATCCCCTCCGACGTCCAGTCCCTCCGCTCCCAGGCGACGTATTCGTCCGGTATGCCTATGTTCTCTGCTCCGGGTGGACCCTTCGGTCAGGGCATCCCCCGCGGGGCTGGCAAGCGCAGTACATACGAAAGCTACGCGTCCTCGATCATCTCGCAAGACGCAGCCCCGGACGGTGGAAACGGCAGTAACGTCAACCTGGCCTTCTCCCAAAGCGACCGTCTCCGGCGGCGATCGTCGTTTGGTTCTGCCTCTGTAGCGGGCGCCAGTGATCTTGGCAGCTTGTCGCAGTATGATTACAAGAGCCAGGATGATATGGCTGATATGGACGATATGAAATCTCAGTATGCTGGAACGCAGTCTGGTGTGACCGTCTTTTGATTGCTCCCCCTCGCTTGCGATGGGAGACGAGCCTCGAACCAGGAGAACGCATATCGCTGTACTTCTTGGGGAGAGGGGCGTCTCGATACACAGACGAGCATGCCTCTACCTCCCTCCCTGTCGGCGGTTATCTGCATATAACAGCGGTTAGCTTGGAGGAGATAATCTTGTTCCGTATATCCCCCCCACCCACCCCTGTGTTCGACCAAGGGAGGGGGGGGAATCCTCGATCGTGTGGACAACGCGATGTGAAGGGCTTCTCATCATTGGTTTCCTCGACCACGATACGCACATGTACTCAACTCTAGCTTGTAGATCAGGAATTATGCATATGTCGACGTTTGGCTGACTCGTGACTGCGACTGAGCATTACATAAATCTATCGGCGTGATAGTGAAGAGACTTTGTTTGAGCCATCAAGGTAAATTTACAAAATCCTCCACTTGCTACAGTACTAATCTTTTAGGACGTTCGTCGGTGCAGGTCGGAAAAATCACACGATAGCCAATAGGTGTTTTTTTTTGCTCCTACGGGCAAGGTACTGGTTGGCCAGCTGTGCTAATATGATTATGATAAACATTGGTATTAACGCGAAGCTTTTGGGTTCGCACCATTTTGTTCTCAATACCGGCCATTTGCGGACTTGACTCGTTGCTCAGCTTTTTATCCCCAGGTACAGTGGTGTGGAAATTTCAGGGGATGGGCAATGTATTGATAGGTATACCGATACATGCACTGGTCCAATCTCTCAGTTGTTTAAATAAGATGGGTTCGATCCCTACCCAGGTTGGCCGTTGTGCTTGAATTCCTTTCGGCCTATGGTCTTTGACCTATGCTCCTCAATAAGATACATATTTTGACATCCTGAAACCAAGTATTCCCATTTCTTTTCTTGGAACAGCAGTGTCGAAGGACTAAAGAAGCAGCCGCGCGAGAATTATCCCACTATATTATAAGTTCATGAAGATGATACATATTCACGTGAGATCCATGAAGATTCCTCGATCCGGGGTGATGTTGATAGTTCGTAAATACCGTGCATTGTACGCAGGTTTGGTATCTTGGTATCTGAGTAGCAGAACGTCCATGGTCAATAGCCTATCGACGCCTGATGAAGTGCATGCCGTCCGGCAGACATTTGAGTACGAACATGGTATTATTCGGTCGCGTACAGAGGCTTTGACGATATTTGGATCCATTGAAAACTTGAAGTTGCGTTTGAAGAAATTGTACATTTAACTCACATGGGATTCGGGTATTACCAAAGTGGCTAGCCTTCCGCGGGAAAACAGTTGCTCTAAATATCAGTGGTATTGCGGTACAGCTATATTATACAGAAACGAGAAGCTGTTCATGGATTAGTAAAGGAGTGTCTCGTTGGTGACTGCCGACGAACCTGAGACAAGCTTGTATTTATTTCGGAAACACGATATCAAATGGATCTCCAATTTCTGCCAATGAAAACACCATTGCCGGTGAGTGAACGTCAAGGTAACATTAGAAAGATGACATACCCTTTCGCAGCATTTCTACGGTCTGGACATCAGTCATGTCCTCCTTCTTTGACGATTCTTTGGTATCCCACGCTGCCGAGCCCCCAACCATCAATCTCTGAGTGCCTTCACGTCTCCTGGATTTTGTGTCACGGCTGGATCCACCACCAAACGTACTACTACCCGGAAGGCGGCGCTTTGAAGAACTGGGGCTCAGCGTTGAGGTCACCATGTTGAGGATATGAGATGTGGTACTAGGTTGAGCATCAGAGCTGACATTGACCTCTTCTGGAGGAGGAGAAACGGTGGAGGGCGTCGACGACGTCGGCGAGCCTTGTTCTGGCGGTGAGTTCATCGTAGTAAAAAGGCAATACAATGCCACTTTGCCAAATATGGACATCTCTCTTGTTTCACATCCATCGATCTCCTCCTCCTCCTCGTTGTTGTACGAGGGCGTTCTTTACGCCGTTTCACTGGCTAGCCCTCACTCATGCAGACTTTGTAAACTCATCAGCTCCGTTCTAATATCTTACACTACACGACGAGAAGGACAATGATAATGGTGACTTCCAGAAGGTAAGCATTATCCTTAGCGATACTGCTGCCTTCAAGCTTTATGATAGCTGATAGTGCGATAAGGATGTATGCTTGTGGGTGGCTCTAAGATGTATCGGTTGTTGGTTGGTCGATGAGCGGGATCGTCCGGTATCGATGATAGCAATGACATTCGGTCGACTGAAGCGCCGTCAAGCCTCGGATGTTAATGAAACTACGGTCCCTGGTATGCCTTTTGATTTTTACCCTGAGATTGTCGCTGATGAGAGGCTCGTAGTGGTGACCTAGAAGACACCGCGATGACCTTGCGGCACGGACCGTCTGTCGCTTGGATATTCTAGGAGAGAATCCCCCTGTGGAGCCCAGATATTTGTCTCGTTGGCGCCTTTGAAGAACAGGCCGCCAATCACTTTGCGTTGTCCAATAATCCTCGTATTGGCTTGCCAGATCATACGCCGATTCTGGGCATTCCAAGACACAGAAGGGAGCCTCTGCATCTCGAGGAGCTGCGTGTCGGATCTTACACGTTGTGTAGCCACCATCGCAGCACTACGCCAGACCGTAAGGTCATCCTGTATACCCTCGGTCACGTCAGGGTGCTCCTGCATAGCGTAGAACGACCCGTTAAGCCGTATGTGTTGCGGATCATCAGGCCAGACGATTTCATTATCCCACGTCGAGGCGGAATATCCCCGCTTTCCAAGGAACTGTGTATCCGGCCCTATGCGCTGTTCTATGGCCATCCTACCATCCACAGGGTCACTCCGTCTGTTCCAAATCCCAGGATGCTGCACCGGCGCATCGAACATATGCTCATCAGGACCTATGTGCTGTCCGATCAGTACCGTGTTGTGTCCGACGATAGGGTCCTTCTGTACATCCCATGGCGCGGCAGGATGATGCACTTCTGCCGCTTTCAGGACAATTCTTGGGCTATACACCATGCCGATGAAGATGCCCAAAATGTCGGTGAGTGACGGCGGCTCAATAGTTCCTTGTCTACCATAGCTTCTTCTTGCTCTCAGAGGAATGCCCGGAGGTGAGTTGATCTTGAGCTTGTCGAGGATGTCGCTGACAACCGTTCGTGTGTAGATGTTTGCACTAGGGAAGGGACAGGCTGCTGCAAACCGACACAAGTCTTCAATGGACTCTTTCCAGTCGTTCGGCGATACATCAAGCCTGTAATCAAGACCATGCAAAGCATGGCGGTCTACTTTTTCTACTGTACGACTGTCAATGTCCATGGCTAAAGCCCTGAAAGAAGCGTGAGCCTCATGCATCATAGAATATATGCTTAATGCTTACCAGGGCCTCGTCGAATAGATGTCTTGACAATACTTGAAGCCCAGGAAACACCCGACAAGGAATACTCGGGCGAGAATGGTAGGTGCATTCTGTAGATAGCCCTTCTCCTCATGGATGTAGCAAGTTCCAAATAGTCTCTTGATATATACCAGGCCATGGAATACTGTGATGTAATCCAACGTCAGTGTCTCCATGACCTCTTGGATGACAATAACGGTCTCGCTAAATGTTAACCAAGCTTTCCAGAACCTATCATTTACTGTGAGTTCATGCTGCCTATACTAAGTGGTCATGATGCTCACCTCGCCGAATCAGTCGTCACTTCTGTTCTGGATTCATTTGTGACTGTTGCATGTAACCACACTGCGAGAAATGTGGCAAAGGCTTTGAGCTCTCCACCGTTTTTGTCTTTGGTAGAAGACAAAAACAGCGAAGAGGTCATTGCCTCTTCTGCATTCATCGAGGACTGGTTAAAGGATGACTCCGGTAGGTCAATGGTTGGACTGTCCATCCACTGAGGACTCAGGAAAGTAGCCAATGGTCGAAGCAAGGCCTCTAACCTCTCCGGCCCTTGCTGGGAAATCATATCTCTAGCTAGCGCAGCCTGGTCGATGTTCCCAGCCCTTTTCATCACTTCTTCCCAAGGTAGGTCTGGCTGCATGCGACGAATGTCATCGAACGACGGTGGCGGGGGGAGTTCACCTTGAGGGGCTTCAGCAGCGTAACCTATCGGGTCTATCGCGCGCGCACGTCTCCTTGCTTCGGCGACCGGTAGATCGTTTTCCATGCGCATGACATCGGCGTATTTTGGAAGTGGGGGGAAGATGACAGAGTCAGATGAGGGTAAGGAACGGGAGGATGGCTTGGGGGCAGGGACGGTGATGAGTGACTGCCTTTGGACAGTGACTGTTGCAACGTCGTTGAACGTTGGTACCGGGAGCATTGATGGGTCCGGCGCCAGGAGCCAACTAGGCTTGTTGTACAGTGGCGCTGGGATGCGCCGCAATGGGCGGTGGGACACCATCGCCGCAATGGGATGGAGTATGATAGCAGTAGGATATGAGCAAGGTAGATGTCTGTGAAGTTACTGGGTCTTGTTTATTTGGGTGGCGATGATCAGCGGGGTTCAAAAGGCTGCGACTGTAGGTTCAATGAATTAATTGTGCATTCCGTTGATGTTGGACGACTTGGATACTGTTGTTCACGCCGTTGTTCTTGAGAGAAACGAATTTTAACACTGACGTGCGATAAACAACATGAGGCTAAGTCGCTGCGAAAGAACAAAGGAATGATTCCGTAAATGGAAGCATCCGCGGGATAGCGCCGTTGCTGTGCAGATGTATAGGAAGGGTTCTCGAATCTAACTGACTTCGCTGCATTTCCTCGATCGCAGGTCATATTATGTGTGACGTCAAACGGGGCCTAACATATTGCAAGATAACTGCGTCAATATCAATCGTGGCTGCTTTAATCAATCTCAGACCACTGGTCGTAGGGACAACTCCCCAGTTCAACTTCTTTCTGAAGGAAGAGTGATCTCTCATTGTTGAAACCTGCGAGAGAATTCGAGCACTCCGGCATTCCGGCATTCCGAGGAAAGAATCTGAGACAGGAATTAGGTAGAAATTACTAAAATAGGTGTAGTCTAGTATAAATATGAGAAGGACAAGCAAGCGACTATGATCGTGCAGTAAATTGGGACACCGGACGAGGCTTGCGGCAAAGAACTTTAGAGACATGGTCATTGAGCGCGAGACCATAGAGGGTCCGGCTGGCGCAATAAACACAGGTATTCCCTGCATAAAATATGGGCAGTATTATTAATGCATAGTCGTCCGGAATGGCGGTCGTATTATCACCGTGCAGGTGTAAGAGCACTTGGGGCCAAAATAAATGAGGAAAAACCCCTTCGATGACTATTTTAACATGCCTCATTCTCCGGCATGTACTATAGCCAGACGGGACCTGGCGCGCAAGCAGGTGTGAAAGCGTGCGAATACCGATTCACCCAGAATTCTCCGACGCACACGCCCGCTGAAGGAGGTAGATCTTGTCCTTCCTTAATCCTTCCAACTGATACTAAGACCCTTTCCAGTTCCTCATAGGGAAAAAATAGACATTATCTACGGACTACTGGATTCCTCCGACGAGCCTGCTTCATCCATGTTGTTGGGTGAGATAATAGTCAACTATTGGGTTTCATTTGCTACGACCTTGGATCCCAACGATGGCTAAGGAACGTCTCCTAAGTGATTCTCATGTTGTTGATCGAATGCTTGCTAATCATTATCAATTAGCAGTTTGTGTCCATGTTCGACGCTGAGCATCAAAGATCATGCCCCCAGCTGAGACTGATGATTGAGCAAATATGTTGGAAATAGGAAATAAGGCTCACTCATGGATGCCACTTTCTTACAGCCTGGAGAGTACCCAAAAGTTTCGTTTCAGTTACCATACGGTGAGCCCAAGGATGGATCGGCAGGGTACATTTCAGAAGTTGGTCCAGGATAGCATCGGAGATGTAAGGTGGGAAAGCCGAAGCAGCCAAGAGAGCGTAGTACAGAACGGATACCGCAATGAGCATGGTTAACAGAATAAGAAATAAGGAGAATACGATCTCCTTATCTAGTGTTTTGGGTACGGGAAAGGACGGCCATTAGGAAAGACCAAGAGGTATTACAGTTAGAAAAAGCAAAACATGGGGATCACGCGGGCTGCGAGCCAAATTGAAGGAGGCATCGTTCGCTTGCCGTCAACGAAGTAATTCGACGCGCCAGGAGGCGGTGACCTACCGAAGTATAAGCGGCTTCGAGCTCTTGACATCACTAAACTGTACGGGATTTCGGCACATTGCTCACAGAAACTGCACCCTTAAGATCCTTACATGTCATCGTTTGCCAGTGTATCAAAAAACAGGGTCAAACACTTCGGGATGATAACGAAAAGAGACGCGTTTTGTTTGGTCAACTTTGTCTACTGACTTGGACGCGTCTCCTCCGCGGCCGACAGTGGTGAGCCTTTATGTTGGAAATCCTCGGTGATGCGCAGGGTAGACTCCAGGCTGGTAAGGCCAGAAGGTATAAACTCCTTATTCTGCAGCTCCTACAGAGCTCGTATTTATACTCTCCAGGCTTGTATCTAGAATTTACTACAACTTTCTCTTTCTCTCGGGCTTACTCATCAACTCTCGGCATGATGCCGGATTGCCCTTTCTAGAACTTTCCAGCAAAATCCCAACACTCCCCTTCAATACGGCATCCTGCCGCAATATATCCTAAAATGTCCCAATACTCCAAGTCTCCCCTTGAAACTTGAAATAGTCCGAAAATTCCCAATTATATCCCAAGACTTGTGACCATTCCCTATCCTCACCCATGCTGCAGGAGCCCCAAATGCTACTTACAGCCAGCTGATCCCAATATCAAGCTAGCCGGACCCAGTCTAAACCACAGCAGAAACACATTCCTACCAAGGGGCTTAAGGGAATTCACAAAGATATAACCAATTTTCCACCAAAGTTGCCTCAAAAGGCATATTCCATTTCTTCATCGTCGCTCTGCACAATGTTTGCAGTGTCGGCACTGTCATTCCATTTTGTGCGACAATCACGACTAATATGGCCAGTCTTGCCACATGCGTAGCATCTGATGTTCTGCTTCGGACCGCTTGATCCCCTTGATCGTGCGATCAGAGCCGTTGTACCGGGTGCGCCGCCCCTCCTTCCTTCTTCGTCAATCAGAGCATTTGTCACGCTACTCATAGTAGGTAATGAATGAGGGCGAATTAAGAAGTCGAGATACCGTAATCAGAGTCTAATCGTGCCGGGGCCCATAACCTGTTGGAAATCCTCGGTGATGCGCAGGGTAGACTCCAGGCTGGTAAGGCCAGAAGGTATAAACTCCTTATTCTGCAGCTCCTACAGAGCTCGTATTTATACTCTCCAGGCTTGTATCTAGAATTTACTACAACTTTCTCTTTCTCTCGGGCTTACTCATCAACTCTCGGCATGATGCCGGATTGCCCTTTCTAGAACTTTCCAGCAAAATCCCAACACTTTACGCTCATGAATACGGTTCCGCTGCGCGATATCCATGGCCAGAGAAGATCGGGAGAGAAATTTCACCCCCAAGCCTTTGCTCAGAGCTCTGTTTACTAAAGGAACTCTAACGGACTCCTGCTGTGGTCGTTATTATAAAGACAAATTATTCTCGATGACATACATCTATCGAAAACTCAATATCATAACCACCGACCCAGGATCTTCGGGAGAACTACAACTTCGCCTGCTCATCCTCATTTCCGTCTCTCAGAGATCGCGCCTACATTCCTTCAATGTTCAGCTGTAACTATACGGAGGAGCTTCAAGACTTTATATTCCATGCGACCACGAAGTTCCAGGACAACTTCACGTTCTCCGCCGTGTCAAGGCTGGTTTGATACATACAGTCAGTGCAGGGACCTTGCAGAATTCGACTCTGTGATCTCATAACGCGGGCGTAAAGGAATCAAATCACCATCCCATCTACCACATCAGACGCCCGGGCTTTGTTGACTCGCTTATCCTCGTTCCCCGCCTCACATTTCTCTCGATCTGTCGAATCGATCACTGCGTCCTCTGTTTCACAACCAATGCAAAATGCAAAATGGCAACTCCGTATCGACATATTTTGTTTCTGTGGAAGCTCATGCCGCGTCCTTGCTATGAGATGTCCGATGCACCCCCGCTAATTCCCTCAAGATCTTCTATCTACACCCCAAAGTTTTGAGCATCTCCCCATCCGGCGCGTTGAAATTGTCTAACCGACGAGAAGATTTCTTAGAAGTTCTATCCTAGATATATCGCGGTGAGTTCGATGTTCAGCCAAAGGAGACTGAGAAATGGCTTTAGTCAACCACGGCCATCCTGGTCTTTTATGCCTACCCATTGTGTCCGACTTGGCGTGCTTTCCCCCAGCCAATGACATATACACTTTCATTTTGCAGTGTTTGCAGACAGGGACCAAGCCGCCTTTAGGATCTGATTCGAACGCAAATGAGGAATCACTGCCGCGAAAGAATGCCATGGCAGTGATGCGTACGAAGCGTGGGCGACCAGAAATGTTATCCATGCCAGGCGGAGGAGAACCACCACGACAACTGCAGTCACATACCCTAGTCAGCGGTAATTCATTCTGGATCCACCGTTGCTTTCGACTCGAATTACAATGATCTGTAGTAAATCCAATGGTTACTGGTAAGCCCTTCTGCTATTTATCGGGTACGAACGACGTGACCAGTGCTTAGGTGAATTATTTTGGCTGGAGATAATAGGATTTCGCCGAGGCGGACTGAATTTGACACTGTGAACTCGGAAGTAAGTATTGTGTGTCTCATTATGAGTGTCTTTACTCAGGAAATCGCGCTGTATTCGTCTACCTAAGCATTTACAAGCACTCGTACTACGTTCCTTTCGATCCCCAGAATCAAATTCCCCCATTCTATATCAATATCTGGTGTTTAAGACCGCTCTGACGTCCGTGCTCCTTGGCTTTGCCGGCAAGATACTCGTTGCTTCTGAGAAAACGAATACTAAGACTGATTTGCGATAAGTAACATGACGCCGAGTCCGGCGAGGCGCCACGAAGGAATGATTCTGGAAAGGAAAGAAGGTGCAGGATAGCGCCTTCGTTGTGCGGACACTCGGCAAAAGGTAACTAAGGCTTCGATACGAGCACATTCTATCGGGAAGGGACTTAAAAACCTACGACGTCACTGGTATGATATGTCGTCTTACAGCCTTGTACTTATTATGCTCATTATTTCTTGCACGTCAAGTAGATGAGGACCGTACATTACATGATAACGATAAACTGATTGTCTACGGCTCCTCTTCTAGCCGTATCTTGCGAGCTGGCCTAGAACGAGAGGTCGAAAGATATTTGAGGGAATCCAAGACAGCAGCCTGATGCTTTTTTGTCACCTCCTTGGAAACCCGCCTCTCACTTCGCAACTCCACAGGTGACTGCATCAGTGCTTGTTCCTTCCTATCCAACTCTGGCGGATCAGCACACATATAATCATCGCTTCCCGGCCAATGGAAGTTGGTGAGCGTCTTGTACGCAGAATCCGTGGTGACTGAGGCTTGAATCCTCACGCCCTTGATACCAGCTGGGTTTCTGCCCACGGTCCGAGGAGGAGTATCGACGATGACGCTTCCAGGGATGATACGCATGGGGGCGGTCGATAAATCGATTTCGTGGCGTCTCATAGGGTTAACCCGGTTGACGTCGTAGAGAACTTGCTTCCCAGCAGGTAATCCCTCCAGCTTGGCCTTGAGCCCACCGAAGCTGGTCATGAAACCGGGCTTGATTTGACTCCTGATAGCACCGATATGAGCAGCTTGACCGGCTGAGCCAGTGTTTGCTTGCAGTATGATACCAGGCTGCAGGTCAGACATGAGATGAGAGTGGAGCTTGGTGGGATGGGAATAGAGTAAGCCGCCAACAGGATGTGGCTGAGGCTCGATTTCCCGAGCGTCACGATCTGTGAACTTGTCGTGGGTGATTGCTTCGATGAACTTCCGGTGCAAATTGGGCTGGTACTTGGGGGTTACCGGAGGAAGTGGTACGGTAGCGACATTCACGTTGTTGAGCAGGGGCGTTTCGCCCTTTTGCGCGAGTTCGTACAGAGTTTTTTTTTTGAGACGTTTATCGGCCTTCTTGGCTTTCCTGACGAACTCGACAAAAGCGGGACGCAAGCCGCGCAGCGTTTTGAGATACCGTTCGAATTCCTTTGAAGTCATGGCCATGAAATTTGGACTGAGATTCGACAGATTTTCTGGGTTCGCGTTTGCTCCGTATGCGCCAGGCCCTTTCCGCCCTAGACCAGGCAGATTCTCGTCGAATGGCGTCTTGGAGAAATCCAGCGCCTTCTCCGCCTTTTCCTTCTGTGTCCACCCCTCTGTAGCATCCGGGCGCTCCTCCATTGTCCCAAACTCGGAATCCACCATCCATTCTTTCAGCGTTTTCGAGCCCTGATTCTGGGACCACGACGATGAAGGAGCCATCTTGGGCAGGGTATCCATCTCTTCGAAGCGGCGAATGAACCGCACTTGCGATTCTCCACGAGTCCATTCTGTGAACTGCTGCCGCGCCTCATAAGGTGCCGCTAACGTGATATAGGCATTTCTGCGTCGGACGGGAATGGGACGCTTGAGACCCCAATCGCCACGGTTAGCGTGGGGAGCCGGCGACAAGTAAGTCTGTCGTATTGACGGGTCGAAAGATGCGAACTGCGAGCGACGAAGAAGTTGTGAGAATGGTGATGCAGGCGGGTGCACGGACATGCCCGCCTTCTGGTCGTTAGTAAACCGATATATCGAGAATGTCGCATCCAAATTTGGTCGGAGTTTAAAAGTTTCCCTATATAGACCGATCGTCCCATTTTTTTTGTCTTTTACAAAAACCCACGACGGCATAATTACCATCTGTCTACTGCCTCTGCAGGTATTCATCATCAGGTGGATGGTCCAGACAAGCGTCGAAGAGGATACCGGACTCTCAAAAACAATCTTTGCTGACGTTCCTCCCATTGGTTGAGGGGCAAGGACGCAGGATCACCTGGAGCAGTTCTACATATCATATGTCGTTACCCATCATGTACTGTGAGTCCTTTGCTTGAATCTATTCCCTTTACATGGTCGATGAAGATAATCCTGGTAAAAGAACGCGCCCCGCTCAGCATTGAGTCCTATATCGTCAGGGTATCTTTGTCCCTCATTGAGGTGGCTAGATGGCAGGGCGCGAATGGGGAATTAAAGGCGAGGCTGAGACCTTTATCCTTCTTTTACTATTCTTTTGTTCCTTGACGTCGTCCTCACCCACTCTTCGCCAGGTTTCAAACCTAATGTCATTTTACTTACCATGTACTCCACCGTGGCCGAAAAAATACAGTTTTTGTACATTCTATATATTGCTTGTTTTACTAAGAATAGGCCACACTACCGCTTCAGGTAGAGCTTCATGGATAAAGCATCCTCACCATCGCCATCTGAACAACATTACAGTTAGTGACCGGTAGTACGAGTACGTGCAAAGACAGCGCACAATATTTCTTTTCTATGTCCGCCACTGAGAATCCTAATGTGTCTTTATACAGTCCAATAGCGGCCTTGTTGGATTTCCGAACATGTAATGAGACGTATGATGCATTGTACACAGTCAACATTGCTTCCTCTGCATACTAGTGTGAAAAACCGCATCCAGTTGAAAGCTGACTGAACTCACGCGATAACATCATCAGCCGTCGCGCTAACCCTAGTCGCCTATACGACCGTAGCACTGATATCGAATTGACGTGCCCATGCACCTCGGCTGAGTTCGCATCCGTGGTCTCGTCGTCACTTGAAGGGACACCTCAGCAGCAGCTCGCAGGCACGAACAGTGACCGAACTCACATTTTCGCCAGTACATATCCGACAATCTTTCCCTCTCCATTCTCCGCGACGAATGATATCTGTGGCCACGTCAAGAGATGATACATCCCTAAGCAACGATCATATGAGCTGCATGTCCCGTGTGGGGAAACTAAGTGCGAACAGAATTTCATAACGTAGTTTTCCGGGAGGTTGATGAGGTTGGCTGCTTGCATGCCGCTGAGGTCATCAATCTAGTACAGTCGGTACTGGCGCAGGTGATGTGTGAAGAAGAACTCACCTAGTAGACGGAGGGAATATCGGGATCTTGTGCACTATATGTCCATGGAGAGTATACACGCACCCTTGCTAGACGGATGTTCATCGGACAAGTCTGGTCTGGAATCGTCAACTGGAAAAGCCTGGCACTTGACTGACACGGACGGTACGAGGTGGATGACAAAGTGACCCCTTGATTCTCGCAGAGACTGCTCGAAACCCGATTTGCCAAAATAGGACATCACCTCCTCCATGCTAACTCCCCGAGCCGAGTTTGGGTTGAGTTGACTCTTATGTCATGTTCTGGTATTGCTCGAGCTTGGGCCAGGCAAGGACTTCTGGAAGGACCTGGGTGCAATCATAAAGTGATGGAAGGTAGCGCGAGATAATAATAAGGTAAGCGAACGTACGATAATACACAGTTAGTTAAAATAAGTCATAAATGCAGTCAAACACCAAAAAAAAACAATGCAAGGTACTAAAAAGCAATCCCGAATGCGTCGGTATTGTTTTTAACTCTCAACTCTCAGAGTAAGCAGGCGGAGGAAGCTCCCCGTGACCATGATGCAAAGCGGCCGAGGCTTCCGCTTCTTGTCGCGCCCGCGCCCCATCCAGACGCACCATATCAGCCTTCCCACCTGTCGCTGCCGTTGCCGAACTCCTGCGTCTTCCCTTCGTGACTCCTCCTCCAGAACCACTCGCATCACCCCCTTCAATCACCCCCTCACTCGAATTAATATCTGCCGCCTGGCTGCTCATCACGGATGCCCTCTGTCCAGCCGGAGCGTTATCTTGATTGACGATACGCAAGCGACGCTCAGCCTGAGCCCGACTGAAGTATCCCGAATCCGACGATGTGGGACGTGAGGAAGAGGCCGCACCAGCAATGTTGTCAGGACCAACCGAAGGCGTCCGGGAAGGCTCTCCGCTCTGAGACGACATGCGTCGCTGCTGCCCCACCGGCGCCGCCGCGCCCATGGGAAGCACGCTTAACGGTGAAATGGCTTGCAACCCCTGTTGGTCGTACCCATGGTCAGTGTACGTCGGCATCATCGGCTGTCCAGCCATTGAAGGTGATTGTGGTGGTGAAACACCATTGAGGGACGGATATGTGTTTCCACCGACGGTCCCATACTCGTACGGTTTGGGCTCCACGTCCAAATCCCGTCCGAGGGAAAATCCTTCGTTGCCTCCCGTACCAGTGTTGGCAGGCATCTGATCGTCAAGATCATCGAAGATGTCGTCCCATCTCTTACGACGTTTTCTGTGCACAGCTCATCAGATGCTGTGTGTTTCAGTATAAGAAATACTTACAGAACACACCAGATGAGAAGAGCTAGTAAGGCGAGGCCACAGACGCCACCCACCACTCCCCCGACTATAGCGCCAACATTACTGGAACTACTGGAAGCGGCTGTAGATGTAGCGATGGCCCCGCCTGCGGAAGTTATTGTGGTAGCGGCTAGTGTAGAGGTGAGTGTTACTACTGAAACCGTGATTTCGCCACCAGCTAAAGTTACAGATGTTGAGGAGGTAATGACAGTCGAAGGTGTCGAGACGGTAACAAAAGTAGAGGTCGATGTTGAAGATGATGTTGTGGTCGTGGTCGTGGTCGTGGGAGATGTTGTTGACGTCGTGCTTGTTGTACTGGTTGTAGTTGGTGTGGTGGTCGTATCAGTTCCAGTCGTAGTAGTATCGAGGGGCGAGCAAACAGTCCCGTATAATGTAGTGTATACTGTAGAAACGGCGGATTCTGATGTTACTGGGACTGAAGTAAAGATGGTGGTAGTTCCATCTAGGTACTATCTTAGCGCCATTTTAATAAGATCAAGAGGAACTTGAAACTCACATAGCGTCGTCTCTCTTACTACAGAAGTAGTCGAGGACAAACACAGAGTAGAATTGGACTCGGCGCAAACTGTCGTCACAGCAGTGCTTGTAAGAGTTGGGATGGAGGAAACGACTGATCCAACAGATGTCGAGACGACTTGGGTAGAGATAACACTACTCTGGGTACCAGTGGGGGTTTGACTGCATGTCGACATGATAGTGGCAAAAAAAAAGTCGCGTACTCAGTGAAGGAAAGACTGAAAGAGGGAAATAGGAGCTTAAGGAAAGACAACAAAGGCAGCGAGGCCGCAATGGTCTACTTTCAGTAAAAGTTGAGACATTAAATAAAAATGTTAGAGATGGTTTATGTAAGTTCCGCGAGGCACCTTCGGTGATAATTGACCGTGACAAGAGCATCATATGCATCTAAATTTGACAAAGATCGACATTCCGTTTCTCGTCCTAAAAATTGAAAAGCCCAACACAGGAAACAATAATATCAGAGAGTATTTTATGTTAAGGACTAAATAATATGGGTTTTATACCAAGCATATCGTCTCGGGACGTCGTATCTCGCTCTCCTTAGTCCTTCTCTTCCCGCCTTCTTCCGTGATTCACCGACGCGCGAGTACCTATTTAGGATTTCAGGAGTCGCGCAACGTCAGACACGTTGTCGGTTACGTAAACGCGGGGAATATATTGCGTCAATCACTTTCTGCGGTTCCATCCCCTTTCTTGAAAAAACGACTGTGGTTCATTTGACCGTCCACGAATCTTTCTGGGTCGATTGAAAGAATGCCGATCATGTGCCGAGAAAGGGGCCGAAAGTGCTCTTGCTTTCTTTATTCCACTGGGATTTGGGAACCTCAGAAAAACTCAGTACTCATGAATCATAGCCAGAATTACGCTGTCAAATCCAACTTTGTAGTGTATCTATACCCACTTGCGGTTTACATGTGAGCTTCAAAGCTTCAAGTTCAGGTCTATTTGGCGGAAACCTCCAAGGGAAATAGGACGGCACTGCCACTGATCCCGTCATTACAGCTACTCTCTGTCTATTGTCGAACACATACTATCACGTCCATGCTGATGGTATATTCATGAGCACCTCCCGTGCAGAATCCCAGCAGCCTCAGTTCAATCGCAGAAGGTCGAATACCGCCCAATCTCTCCTCAGGCCTGTGCCTCCACCAGTCCCATGCCCGCCTTTGGAAATCGGGGACACCGTTGTGCTCAATTCATGGGTGCACGATCCAAAGGATAACCAGAATGTCACATTTAATCATGCACGTTGGCCAGGCATAACGGAGGGCGAGATGATTAGCGTAACTGCTAATGGCATGAACGAGTCCTTTTTCTTCATCGTACCGAAGGATGATGGGTCAAATAAGCCTCAGCTGCAGGTGCGCGTGATTCTCGTAGATTCTGTATCGTCTCTTGATGGCTTGATAGATTTCTGTACCTAAACCGCTTGCAGAATCCTTCGGCGTGAGGAACAATGGCGAGGTCACTTTGATAAAGGTATGTCATGCCGGAACTGTTGGCTATTCGTGGATAAATGTTTCTAGGTTGATAGGGAGCTGCACTGTGCCGACTACGTAGAATTCATATTTCAGGATCAATATATGGGACGAAATGAAATGTGGCGCCTTGGCGAGCATCTCGCTGGGCAGTGTGTTTACACGGATCAGGAAGTCAATTTCATAGGGAGTGGTGTCGCCAAGATACAATGTATTTTCGTTGACGGTAAAAAAGTCAGTCTTCAGCCCGCTGACGATTAATTCATCTGACGATGTATTCCAGGTATCTGCCGCTTGCATGACATCTCGGACTAAGGCGATATATCGCTCTTTATCAGCCAAAGTGACCATCTTTATCCAAGTCTGCCGAGAACTCTGGGAGTTTGCCGGAGATGGCGAACGTTATAATGAGAAAATCGTTCACTCATTTCTTCCTTCGCTTTTCGCTAAATGGAAAGAAGCCGGCACAAACCATACCGTCACTATCGCCCTCATATCTCGCGTCTATTATGATGAGTCCGAGATTGACTATGCAGCAGGCCCATTGCGACGAGATGACCGTGGCCAGTGGTATAAAGACTTTTATAAGGTCATAACGGACCTTGAAGTGATATACGAGTGGAAGCCAACGCTTGTCAGTCTCAAGAATTCATTCTGGGATTTTCAACGCGACATCCTGCTCACCCACCATTACCACCGGGCACATCTGGAGGGCAGCTCCGGGTCATCAGAGCAAGTCCGCCTAGTCGGTCGTCTTTCTTACGCCCATGATGGTCCGATCCTCGAGGCGTTGAACCTCGGGCTAAATCCGGCGGAAACCCATTATATTGATCGTTCTCTGCTTCTCACCGGGGCTGCCACCATGCTTATTACCCCAGGAACAGGCTATTTTCGTGTTTCCAAGCACCTGCTTAGACTTACCACTACTCGGATGCTTGATCAAGGATTTGGTCTAGATTTGATTTGTCTCGAGAAACCGCCCCTTCATTCGAGTCCTATCTTTAGTTTTCAAGGCGTGCAGCCCGACTCCAAAGTCGCTGTCCCTGGGTCTCGTGAAATGGACCCTCTCTGGGGTGGGGACGACGATTCTTCGCATGACGCGAGGACGAAAGCCACGTTTTGGTGGGAGCCTTTTTGGATCTCAGTATCCTTTTGGGATAAGCAAATGGTGCGAAACTCACGGCAGTGTAACGTTCGTTGCTAATCTATGTCGGCTAGGACCTTCCCTTCCGCCAAGACAGGTGAGAGAATAATGAAAGTGTTCGAGTTTTCTCTGAGCAAGTTGCAGATTTATTGCCCAGGCCAAAATGCATGAAATACAGATGCTGGGACTTTTGGAACACGATGTGCTTTCCAGCATTGAGGTGCCGTATCTAACTGACGACCCTGAGCCCACTCCCCATGAAGGTGCCGTCAGTAGCGGCATCCCCCTCACACTTCAAGCAGCACACCGATTTGACAACGATGTATTTACACTTCGCGGCAAATCGCAACAGGCACCGGCAGCCAATCGTAATTCTGCTACATCATCTGCAAGCCCACCCTCCACATCTCGTATGACGGCTGAAAAGCGCCCTTCTCACCGTAACTCATTGGTTGCCCCTAAAATCCCACCCATCGAAGAAAGTCCAAAAATCTGCATTGCTGAACTACCGCCGGAAGACACTCCGGATCTATCCTCGTCCGCTTTGTTTGCAAAAACCCGAACTTCATCTCCATCTCAGTCGTCGATCCGTTCACTACGTTCCAATTTATCTACCTACTCTTCAAAGAGGAGCACAAAGAAGGAGAGCCCGTCGCGTGAATCAATTTCATCGAAATTCGCACCTTCGTGGTTGTTCAAGCCATTCAGAAGCGGCCCTGTTGAGCCTCAGACAACTACTGTGTCAGCATCAGCGATTTCAACGCCACATACAGATACCACATCATCGCCACCCACCCTTTCCTCTTCCGTCTCCACATCATCAAGTCTGGTGGACCATGGACCCCATGTGCCTCAACCAATGGCAATTAAAGGCAGAGGGATACTTCGTCCGAGTTTAAACCGTATGTTTGAAAACGATACTCTTTCCACCCCACGACCATCGGGACGACCTACAGGTAGCTCTCCTAAAAATGATCTTCCCTCCATTCTAAAACGTCGCGGAACGACCAGCTCTATCACCGCCTCATGGACCTCTTCATCCCCTAGCTCGCGGGCCAATCCATCCAACCCCCAAACCATTGTCTCTTATGTCCAATCATCCCTCGCCGCTCGATGGCAGCACACGTTCCCTCAACCTTCCTATAAGCACGAGATCAAATGGAAGGCTATTGTCACACCTGGATGTTTACCTCTTTCGGTGGAGTACTTCCCCACAACGGCTGAGCTCGAGAACGCGTACGATGTCTTTTCATATGACTTTGTTGTGGACCCCGGTGAAATGCGCTCGTGTCTTGTAAAGCCTCCTATGGTGAAGGGAAACGCAGAAGATCAACGTCGTGCTTGGGCGCTTGTAGTTATGCGAGGCATGGCTGCCGTCCGACTGGCACAAGGGTTTCAGTTTGTGTTACAGAGAAAACAGAAGAGTCAGGACGTCAACGGAATGGAGGAGGAGGAGGAGGAGAAGTCTACATTTCGACGCCATCAGTCTTTTGTAGGTCTCACAGATGACGACATTCCCAAGCCTTGGGGTGCGGCTGAAGTTCTAAAGTCCACGGCCAATCCGGTCTACCTCAGTATGAGCAACGAGATTCATCGAATCTCGTACACCGGAGAGGCTATTCAAGTGAGACGTTACGTTCGAAGAATGCCCTCTAGTCAACCTTTCCACTATGAATGTTTGATATGGCCCAAGCTCGGTGTTGGTTATACACAACAATCGACGACCTTTACCTCCCATGGCCTGGAGAATTACGGCTGGAATCGGTCAGTACTCTTATTATTTGATATCTTTCTTGCCCACACTCAGCTCTTATGGTATAGATTGGACATGCTTGTCGCAGGGTACGAACACCAGTTCAACGAATCCCTTCGTTATTGGAGAACACGGTTTGTAGTGATACCCACCGTAAAGCTACCCACTGTTTCCGTTGGTCCCGCGGGCGAAACATTGAACGAAGAAGAGATACGTATTTTGGGCATTGAAAAGCTGGCCGAGCATTTCACCAAGGTGCGCTGGCAGCCACCTGATGAAAAGCAGGCGCCTCCTCCAGTTCGATTCCTGCCAACGACACACTCACCAGCGGCTTCCGTCCTCGACAACGCGCTGATGGACCAGTTGGATCAAATCCATGCTGCTGGTCCTCTTCGCAAGAAGATGAAAAGCGAGCGGGAGATTGGTGATATGTCTCTTGCATCGATTGCCAAGGCCATGCGAGAAGAAGACGGTGTTCCCATCAAGCATAATCAATGGCATCGCTCCCGCTATCCGGACTCTTTCACAGGCTTCGATTTCGTCTCCTGGCTCTGTCGTGAATTCCGGGATGTCTCGTCTCGGTCTCAAGGGACAGAATGGGGAATAAGGCTCCAAGAACAAGGGTTGTTCGAGCATGTCCGAGGGCATCACAACTTTTTAGATGGGTCAGTCCGAACTCTTATTTACAATTATCTGCTGGTTGACCATCCGTTAGGCATTACTTCTACCGTCTGATAGGTGAATACGCTATACCCTCCACCCCGCGCTCGTGGTTTGGTCCTCGATTGGAAGCAACCAACTTGCGTGCCGGTATCTACCCTTCTAGTGTGGCCAGACCGAAGCATGTCCGTCAAGCCAAGAAAAGGTTAATTCTCAGTCAAAGTATGGTCATTGATATCGACACCACCAAGGTGAGGAGTGTTCCCACTCACTCTGACATTGACTGACATTGTGAACGCAGCGGAGCGACCAAGCAGAGACTGTCGTTCTCCACCATGATATCATCCACAACCCGGCCACGGTGTTCCATTTCGAACTTCAGTGGATTGGCACGACAGGCAGATACATCGAAGACCAACTCCGACAGTGGAACAAGACCATCGAGCGATACGGACTGAAACTTGTAGAGGCGTACGTTACTCAGATAAGCGACATTCGAGATCGAAATGCGTTCCAGTCATGTTTTCCATTACGACTAGCCCTGCCACCACCTATAGTGCCCGATCTTCAGAGTCGCGTGCCGGAGGGCACTCAGACCGCACATTACTTCGAGTATGCCCTTTTACGGAACTTTGGATTCATCTTGGACGTCGAAGCTTCGGATCTCTACCCAGAGCAAGTTGACGTGGTGTACTCGTACCGGAGGTCACCATACAAGTACTCACAGTTCGTGCACCGCTCTGGCGTCGCGTTTATTCAAGTGGTGGGTGGTTCGCAGGGATTCCTGTTCTTGACGAATAGGCTGATGGGTCCCGGACGGATGGGCACGACGATGAGAGGCAAGGAAATGCGTCCAGCTGCGGCAGCGGATGATATCAGAGTTAAACTGCATAACTTTTGCTCGGATAAGGAGGCTCTGGACAAGTTCTACGATACGGAAATTGCTTTACTCAGACGAGGACCTGATGATCCCCCGGACCCTCCTCCATTGAGTATCTAGGTTTTTTTTTTTCAATGCGACCCGTGGATTAGCTCGCAAAACGAGTGTTGACTCAAGGTAAAGTACTTTCATTAGTGATCTTGAACCAATGTGTCTACGAACTCTGACCTCCTCCTCAACAGTCCGAATTAACCGTCAGAGGCAACATCTGCGCTGTTCTGAGAGGATCAGGCTGTTGACGATGACGTGATCCATCTTGGTGTTGCCCATTTTCAAGTGCTTTGGGGAGACCGTCGATCGTAACAGCCTATTGTTCAGGGCTATTGTCCCGTCAGCGTTGCGCATAGGGTAATTTATTTGTTCCTGAACAGTTTTTGCTTCATGCTCGCCATGGGGGGATTTGTTTTTGTCAAAGACGTAGGCGAGCCAACAGATAGCAAGAGGTGGACTTGTCTTCCCAAATACTCTGTTAATATGACAAGTATCATCAGAAATCTGGTTGGCTTAGTGCATAACATCCAGCGTAACCATAACCAAAGAGACACCTCGGCCGTTTATCTAAAGGTGTTTGATATCATATTTTCCTAAAGATGTCAAATTATCTCAGCCGTGAGAGAACATCACACTAACGAATATAAACAAATGAAGAAGCTTGTTCATTCAGACCTAATGTAAAATGCATCGGATCCCTGCTAACCTTTTTGAGACTGTCCGGAGAACGACCGAAGGAAATAAAAACGTGGTCGTGGTGCGATCTCAAGATGATCCCAATCACGGACCTGTTATCGTCCACGAGTGTATGTATATATAATCGTGCATATCGATGCGCATTTAAACTGAGAAGCCGCCCGGTCCAGCGAAAGCGTGGAAGCATCCAATGATGTACTTGCGGGCTGCCCGAAGTCAGGGTGCTTCGATTGCGAGCTTCTCGGGAGAGATGCACATATGAGTGGTGGGGGCCTTTTGGAAGGGTTACGGTGATCATAAGAGACGGATGTAACGGATGTGAAAATGTAAAAATGTAAAAATGTACTCGGCAAGCATGTGAACCCGAACCCGATAACGCTTCGTCAAGAAGTTGCGCTGCTGAGCTGGTTCAACGGCCACGGGCGGTAGGTAGGAGATATCCTAAAAGACAATCGTGTAGCCCTTCATGGTTATCGGGCGGCCTTGGAAGTTTTCACGACGGATCTTGAGTTACTGAAGACACGGAAACTAAAGCCAAATATAAGTCAGCAGCAGCTCGAGAACCGACTAAGAGGTGATCACCACATCGAGTAAAGACAGCCCAAAAGCGGAGGCTCGGAAAACGATGTGGCCCAAGATAAACAAAGGAAACTTAAAGAAGACATCTGTTATATGTACAGTAGCTACAGGGTCATGACATTATACTAGGGGTTACAGATGGGAAAGGCGCCAGAGAAAAATAATAATGAACGATCAAGTCTAAATTCGATATCTAGAAAAATCCCGATCCAGGGAAAAACTGTGATCCATCGCCATCTTCCTCACTGTCGCTGTCGTGCTTGTAGTTCTGCGCAGCCTGAGCGGAATGGGAACTTTGCTCTGCTTGGGGTAGAAGTCGCGAATCATCCTGCAGGTAACTTTGCTGGAATGGGTCCACATCTTCTTCCACAGATTCAGGTATGCTTTGCGGAGCAGGCGGTGGTGGCGGTGCGCTTTGATGAGACACCCGTAGAGGCGACGGCTGTTGCCAGTCTTCAAGATTATCAACATCAGTAGAACGGCTAGACGGAGTTGCTTGATGCTGTGGTCGTGAAGTGGCAGCTTGAGCGGGAGATCGGCGTGTCGCCTGCGACGGGTATCCATATTCAAACTAAAAAAAAACACACACACCATGAGAAATGCGCTGTGTAATTGAACAAAGTACTCACAGCTTGGAAGACCTCTTCACGCTTTCTTTCGCCAAGATCCTTATCGATGCAATAACACATGTATAGCGTGTCCGCACTGGGAAAATGTTAAATCATGATCCTGTAAAAAGATAATAAGCCTTACGTGTCTTTCACCAGTCCTACACAGAAGAGTCCGACGAGAGCAGTAACACCACCGGCTAACAATGCAGCGCCCAAAGCCTGGTCCGGAGCATTCAAGGTATGAGCGACAAACAAATAAGTTGAAAGGGCGAATGGAAAAGTTAGGGTTAATGGCGCCACCGTCAATAATGTCAATGGAGCTAATGCCCCCCATCACAATTAGTATCGGGAGAAAACAACGCAAAAAACAGTTCACGTACGTTCGGCACTAAAACCGCGCCTGCCAACTTTATTGGTTAGAGCTCTCGCCCTGCGCGCGCTCGGCATGAATGGATCACCGGTTATGCCGACATACACCAGCGCGTACTTGCTCAATGCTGTGGTTATACCCTCCAAAAAGCCAACGACTATTCGGATCCCACTAACAAGGAACAGCGCCCGAGCGGGCATATACAGAGGCAACCGTTCAAAGAAGAGCGTCAAAAGCGTTACAAGTCTGATAGCTGTTAGAATCAGGGCCGAAAGGACGACCGTGCCCAGGGAGGGCCCCGTGGAACGCGTCAAAGCGGCATGAATTGTGTGCGTTGACATAGGGGGGGACGGAAGGGCTTCGGGGCTAAAGCAGTTAGACAGCCGGTCCTATAGCGACGAACCGCTCAACTTACTTGGCAAAATACCACGCGCCAATCACACTTGCGCACGTCATCCGCAATACCCCACGCGCGACGCCCCATGTCCATAGCCAGACGCCGACTGTCGCGGCAATGGACCAGTTGGCCCATCCCCTGACATGCCATTCCCAAGAGGAGCTCCCTTCATAAGGGTGCGTAAAATACCCGATCAAGAGAAGACGGAATATGAGCGTGACGAACGGTATCGATGCGAGGAGGGTGGCGAGGAGGATGGTCGGGGAGAGCGCAAGAAGGAAAGGGTTGGCCATTAGGAGCTGAGTGGTCAACGTTAATGTCGACGATGTGGTATGTATATCCCTAGGAAGACTGAGTAGTCTCCGAGCTGTAAGAATAGACAGGGCTAAGGGAAGAAGAGAGAACAGACGGAGCCTGGAAAGAGCGTAGGTCAGCCACTGAAAGACGCATATCAGTGTGGTCCACGTACCCTGTAGTTTCTCCCCATGTTGGCTCAGTGTCCCCATCCCACATGAAACTTCCTACAAACGCCCAAATTGCAGATATGAACAACGTCGCGGGGATAAATACGGACGTTATGATCATGACAGGCCGTACGAATATCCGCAAAAGGAGTACATGTGTGTATGCCACGAATGCACTCACAAAGGTGAGGATAGTGATGAGGGGTACTGTGTGCAGTAGGGTGGTATATGGTAATGTGGCCGGAGGTTTGTCGAGCTTGGAGGTCGTAAACAGCATTATGATTGAGAACAGCAGGCATAGCGAGATTCCTGTACACCACAACGCCGTCCATATGAAATCGTTAAACTTCCGCCGCCCTCTGGGAACATGCCGGGGATCCGGCAGTGAGAAAACATCTAGTGGCCGGACCGTACCATCGCGAGGTAGTAGTGAGTCAGTGAGCGATAGTGAGACCGGCTGTCTGCCTGTGGGAGGAGGTGGAGGAATAGACGGCGGCCGGTGCGGTCGACTCTTGGAAGCAGCAGCGAGAAATTCTGGTGGTGGCGACGAGTCTGTCGAGTCGGACGGTGAAGGCGAAGGATCCCTCATCGGGGACGCCTGGTACGCCAGCCAGCCCTGAGGCGACTCAGACCGATCTGATAGACGATCCGGCGAGATGAGCGGTCGTGACTGTAGATCACGGTGTCTCGAGTCATGTCTCGAATACATTGCTTCCTCCTCGTCAAGTCGAAGATACGGGTCCTCATCATCTCCGTCCCCGATTTCTGGCAAATTTCCACCCATGCTACCACTCCGTAGCTGGCCCTCTTGCAGGTGAGGATCATCGAGGTCATTCAGGTCGGTGTCGGGATCGTATTCGGCACGAGATCCGCTGTCGGTGGTGAATGAGAAGAACATTGGCTGAGAGGAGGCCATACTGGTTTCGCCATTCTGTGGTCTGTTGAGTATCTGCGAGGCGAATGCAGCGAAGGACGTCGCCATCGTGGCCAGCGTCGAACAACGAAACTCAATATGGCGCGGTTGTTGACTCTGAGGAGGCTGAAGCAAGCTGTCTCTGAACGCGTAACCCGTCACACAGTCACTGGATAAATGTCACGCCTCGCGGACACCACCCGCCGATGAAAAAATGTTTATGTAACGGTAATCGAAAGATGAGAGTAATAAAAAACATTTCCGAGAGCAAGAGAGTAAAGGTAACAGCCAAGAACATTTTTGAAGCTTGGTGATTGCGCTTGTTTCGATTTTCCAGTTCGTCGCCATGATCACTCTGGAATCCGAATGCGGGAGTCGAGATAAGTCTAGGTGGTCGCTGCGCTTGTGTCTCAGAAGTTCAGAATATAGCGCGGCGTAATACCGCAAACCTGGAAATCAGCCCGCCTAGCAGCCGGCATTGTAATGATATCGCAGCAAGACGAAAAAAGGCACCGCGTATCCACGACGAACTGAGGAGTGGGAGTAGTTGGCACCAGCACACATTGACACTATTCAGAAAGTGAGCAAATCGATGGACAGGCATTACGGTCAGTTCATTAATTATAAATGAGACCGAGAGGAGAGTAATGAAGCCACCGGGAATCAATCATTTTATCTGGAAAACGAAAATTGATGTCGTAATTTCCTGGTCGTCAACATAAAAAAAAAATGCAGTCGTTAAATGTGCGGCCGGCTCCAATGCTGTTTGCCGAATAAGTGTGGTCTCGACAACAAAAGCGATATGATGAGTTCTCCGTTCATATGGAAGGGCCACAGCCCAGAGATCTAAGAAGCTAGTCACTGACAACCATAACAGGTAAAGGAAAACCGCTTTTCGTTTCGTCCTTCATGTCCCTTTTCCTTCCCAGGATGGTAATTCAAGGTTATTGCGATCTTGCTTTGGGACATCGGCATAGTCGGAGACAGTACCCTTGGTAATAAACCAAGTTTATGGGTACTTGGATGCGAGGTTTATTACGAGATCTAACACTTATCTTCTCATCTTCCAGTTGAAGCTGTATGCAAACGAATGTAAACCCGATCCCAGCAGCGCCTTGTATACTTACACACAGCTGAGCCAGCCCCGTCCTAAAAATGTTGTATCTTCAATCTGAAAACACAGCTGCGAGAAGATAAGATGAAAAACCGGACTTTTGTCGTCCTCCCTCTACACACCAAATGAAAACCTTTCCTTCTAGGAAAGCCTTGTCTTCATAAAACAAGATATCGGAAGTCACGACCTTTTTGGGACAACGTTTCAGAACACACCGGCCTCTGCAGTGTTAGCGCGTCCACACACGTCCATAGCGCGCGCTCAAGATCCATCATCATCTTGCGGGGCCAGTAGTCGTCAATACCAAATCCATGTCCGGAAACCGGACTTGGCTTGAAACAGCAATTCCCTGTCAAGCCAACAGCCCCGGCAAAAGTAATGAAATGACCTTGTGGAGGAGTACTGCCTTTTGAGACGGGATCATGATCTTGATGATCCCCCACTCGAAGCCAAGATACGCGAGGACAGCAGCCTGAGAAACGTCATCAGAGACAGCAACGAATCAATCAGACCAAGACGTACACACAGCTAGCACCTGAGAGATTCCATTTCAAATATCCTTCAAAGAGAAAGACCTGCAGAATTCGTATGAAATAAATTTTCAGCTGGCAAAACGTCGGCGCATGTTGAAGCGCGCGATGATTGAAACTTGTCCAAGGCACAGGTGCACAGCCATATCTCGTGGGCGAGGCTCAGGTACCGTCAGGAACGAAAAGCAATGATTGTCTCCCCAGGAATTCTCCCATTGGCTATCATCCACCCTCCGTTATTGCCGCGCAGCCCATGACGAGCGTCGCGGAATCTCATGTGGAATCCCAGCGTATCTACCGATAATCGTCCTGAGAGAAAGGTGAAAGCAAACGGAAGGTCCGATATCCGTGCTAGCCGCGTACGGAGGCAGACGTCTGGAAAAACACTTGAGCAGACCACCTGTTACCCCCGTCTTCATGTGATAACGAACCTGAGATGGCTATTACGCTCTCATGGCGTGCGGAGCGCGCAGTGTGCCCAACCGCTTGGAACTTTGCCGCAGAGTCCCAGCGTGACACGTGCTGTGTATACTTAGGTAGGGTCAATTAATTAAACAAGCGCCCTCGCTTGGGCTGTGGCAAAAATACCAGTCTTCTATTCGTTTTACCTAGTCCGATTTCTTCGTACGTAGCAGCTAGTGTAGATCATTCAAAGTACCCTGGTGCATGCAACGGTCGCAGAGATACACCGGAGAATTCAATTTCTGGAATACTCTTCTCCAGTCCGACCGGATGAAGTGGGATCAGGCAAAGTCCGAACACGCTCCGAGATTACACTGCGAGTGTCGGATCTGTGTTCCCGGATCCCTTTGAGATTAGTCGCTGAGATGTCGAAAAAAAAAAAAAATACGGCAGAATGAACACAAGGAATGGCACGCAATGAGTCATGGGTGATGACTGTGTGTCCGACGGAGATGACTACAGACCAATTTGATCCGCGTGGCCCACTGAATGACAACCAACGGCTCCATCGGGTTCAATCGTCAGAGATGATCAGACGCGAGTCATCTGGAATTATAAGGGGGAAAGACAGGGAAAGACACGGGGTGAATCATCAGCAGGTCAATTCACACGTTCCAAAATATTCCGAATGATTTCAATTGCATTCGAATACGTGCTGTGTTGTAATAACTACACGTACACCCCTACGGTGACAATTACTTGGATAATATATGATATGTACATGCAGATATAAACGAAGTATGATGATTGCGATAAATAAAGTTGTTATGACAGGTCAAAATGAACCATGAGTATGCGGCGTGAAATCGAAGGTGTACATATGAACCAAACCACCAATGCAAGATTTTTCAGAATACAGCAATAATAAACTCAAAAGTACTATGCGTTCATCCGCACAGGATACCGTGAGTGTGATTGGTGTGAATGGTGACGATGGGGTATGGGCAAGGGGAGAGAACGCAGGATATCGGAAAAGGCAGAGTGTTTGTGGGCTGGCTGCAGTTTCTTTGGATGGTAAGACTCCGGTGAAGACTCGTTAAGAGTTGAAGGCGTCTCTGGTGAAGAGGAACTGTCGGAGGATTCTGGACTGGAAGGGTGCAGTGGGGGAACGGAGGATCGTTGATGGTGAGATTTGAGAGGCGAGCGGGGTGAGGCTTGTTCGATGGAGTGGCGTGACGGTGATGGGGAGACAGCCGCAGTAAGACCCGCATGGTGGCTCAACAGGTCTGCTTCACAGACACTCAGCTCAAAGTCAAGAACATCAAGGAACTCTCGTTCTATCCGCCCAATGTCGCGTTTCCCAAATACCCCCGTGCACATGGCCCAGTGAATGTTCTTCAGTGTCGAATCATTAAGATACTACAGGGTAAGATTAGCAAGGGAAGAAGAGAATAGAAGAGCTGTGACGTACCTTGGACGCGATTATCAATGCACCCAAGAACACCCTCTCGAGGGCCCACTCCTCGAGAGCTATATGAAGATGAGGCTTGGCTCTGTCGATGTAGACAAGCGAAGTCAGAACAACTGGCATCGTGACTTCTGCGCGGCTCAACACTGTGGTGGCGAACGAAGTGAAGTCTGCGAGTTCTGGGCGGCGTGTTGTAGGCCGGCCACGGGTAAACGATGGTGAGGGACGACCCATGGCAAAATCGACTGTTTCAGCAACGGAGTCAACAAGGTAATCTTAAAAGCTGTAAGAGTTGCTGTCGAGAAAAAGCATAAAGGACACACACCTATTACGGGCCGAGATATTTTGAAGTTTACGAGCTCCAAGAGAGCCGGTGAATGGGCAGCGGAGTCGACGAGGCTGGCAGGATGTAGTGAGGAGGTTGAGGCGGTTGAGGAGGAGGTCGAGGTCGAGGGGGAGGGGGAGCAGTCCATGGGATGATGCATTGCAGGGAGCAAGATTGGGGCACTGCGGGTAGCATACTGGCCTATATAAAGAGGTAGTGGAGGTCCCTAAAAAGAAAGACACGGATTACGGCAGTTTCGCTGTGTGCGCTGACAATCCGTTTGACTCGTAACCCACCATTACCCGATCCGGTGCCGCGGCTACGTCCATACCCCATCCGGTTCGGCCAATTCTCTCGGCATCTGTGCCTGCCTTCGAATCGGACAACGACTCGGATTCCGTTGAGCCGCTGACAACACTTCCACCGCAACTGGCGTAGTGATTCGGATATTCTACATGAGGCCGGTATCACACTTTTCCCATCCTTTTAGTCACAACGGTAACATACCCACCGCTGCCACCCGCCCGATCTTGCACCTCGAGTTACGAGTTATTTACCCATCCTTCGTCACTCTAATTGTAATCATTGCTGTCATCCCGAGCATCACTAATAATGCATTAGCAATCAATTCTTATTTTATTATCATTCCCTCCTCCCCCCCACTTCTCAATCACACTCGAACCGGTTTCATTGAAAAAGTCTTTGTTCCGACCCTACAGGATCCACAACGATGAGAACAATCCTTTCTTCCCTGCGAACATTCCTCGGACATGCTGTATTTTCAGTCTGAGATTCCACCTAAAAAGGGACTATCCTTCCATTTATGGAAGGTCCCTTAGGCAATCATCCCTCGCTTGTCCACGGTTTTGTCGTGCACCGTGGCTTCCGTTGCTGTTCGTCCTCGTTGTTAAAAATGTAAGGTTGAATTGGACATAGCACCCTCTTTTCACTCTCCCTGATAAATATAATCAATTTAACGCCTTCCCAGGCCGTGCCCAGGTGCAGCACCCTCTGACCTAAAGGCTTGCAATCTACCCGTTCCCTCTCCCATCCCACATTCCTTGGCGGAGTACCTGCGGCGATATGCACAGAGAAACGTGCGACAACCCATATCAGTCCGATCCGCATCATCAAGATCAACTTCATATTCGCTGTACAGGAGGCTGCCTGTCTTTGGATTTCTCATTCAGGTCTACTGACATCTGGCATTCCGTGTTTCGCATCCTATCTTTACATGCTGGAAACGTGATATCAAGTTGTTCTAGGGTTGATTCTGGAGGGTATTTTTGCACTGAGATGCCGTCTTTTCTTGTTGGAAAGCTCATGTCTGGACTACACCGATATTTCTCACTCCTGACAGGTGAGTAACTCATAACAAGTGGAACAGAGATCAAGTTTTGACAGGGGCTGTATAGCAAATCTGTCGGTTTTATCATTAATAGGAATTCCGACTCATAATTACAGAGATCGGTGCGTTTTGATAGCTTAAAATGAGGTTTCAATTTCAAGTTTTTGTGAGCTTGTTTTGAGCGCTGTAAAAAATAGGTACATCATTCCATTCGTCCATAGGGGGATGAGTTTTTCATACCGTTTTACTGACGGCCTTTTTGGGACCGAGAAGGACATTTAAGCTTTCGTTGTTTACCGGTTCAAATGCACTGGCCTCTACTGTGCATTTTTCCGTGGTTGAAAGCTTGGGTCAAGTATTTATCTGGGTTTCTGCCTGAACCGAAATAGCTACTTACCAGGAGTGTCTTCAATTCCCTGTCACCTAGCATTCCGCGTCTCGGATTGTATCTTTACGCGCTAGAAACGTGATATAAAAGCTCTTCTAGGGTTCAGAGCCAAAACCGCCGCCCTCCGTATCACTAGCAGGAGGTAACACCGCATCAAATCTAATCTTGGAGAGTTCGTTCTATATGTGTCTTTACGGCGGCTCTTGTGTGCGCTACGAGTATCTTTTGGAGTCACGCTGGAGATGTACGTTATTATGGAGATGTTGATTCTTCTGGACGTTGCTGCACTGAGATGCCGTTACTTTGGGACACAGCAGTTGCAACCAATCATGAGCCGTTCGATTCCGCCATCTTGCGACTGGTTGATATGGATGCTCCGACTTTGGGCGGATATTGACGTTGTCTGGTACAGTAAGTCTTCCGGACGAGGTCGGGGACGGGTCCATGGCCGAGAATGACCGCCTGGGGAGATTTGCTACAGTCTTGACCCGTGCGGTAGAGAAGCCCAATATTTTCATTACAGTATAACTCAGTGAGGCTGCACCCTACGGGAGCTAGGCGGAATCGGGTCGGTCTTTGTTAGCTTCTATCCTCACTCTGTAACGGTATTATTCAATGACGATAGCAGGAGACGGCCATCTCCTCATTTGCATCACAACGGACGCACAACCTCCCTTATTGTTCCTTTACCCCAGGTCTTCAAGTTGCTTTTCTGAGTATAGGCTGTGGAGAGAGAAGCGCACGCTGCCAACGGACTATAAAAGGTATAAAAGGTATTGCAAGATATTATTCATGAGAATGGTGTACCCTGGAAAAGCTACGGATCTAGGCTACACAAAAGGCGGGAAATAGGTTCGAGAGTAAGGTAGAATAGACGCCGACATAGTAAGACAGTCCCATCGGAGTGGTGAGATAATAACGTGAAGGTCCGTAAATGAGAGCTGGTATGACGAGAAAGGGTATTGAAGGGATCGATCTGAAAGATAGCATTAGCTGTGAGGGTCGTGTATATAGACAGATGACCTACGTTAGATATCTGTCGGTGGTCCGGACGAACCAGGAGCGGAGGGCACCTTGATGCGGTTCTTGCTCCCTTTCGGTCGGCCACGGGGCTTCTTACCGAGCTGGCCACCGTCGTCTCCTGGACCACGTTTCGACTCGGCGTTGCCATTCAATCGACGTTCGGTTAGGAACCTAGGTGTCAAGGAGGTTAATCGTGGATCATGCACATGCCTTTGCAGGAAACGCAGTCGTTGCGGATAAATACCGATGGAACTGTAACGCTGCGGTTTCGCGCCAAAAGAGAATCGTTCCCACTTCCATCCTCACTCGGTGCCGAGAGCGCGATGGGGTGCATGGAAGGGTTCCATAACACGGGATTGACTTACTGCGAAGACTTCTCGTCCAACATGGTCTGCAAGCTAGGAAGCGGTGGCTGGCCTAGCTCTTGCCTTAGCCTATCGACGTCTCGCTTCGCGACGGTGTATTCGCCTTCGGTGATCTGCTGGATTCGTCGACGGATTTCGGCGCATCTGAAACCGGGGAGGGTCAGCATGCGCCCAAAAGTCACCAGTGGAACGATGCGCACTCTTTATCGATCTTCGATTCGAGTAAATCCGCCTGAGGGGCTGGGTGAATAGGCTTTATGAAAACAGATGCGGCGGGCAGCTTGCCTGATCCCGATCCTCGTTCACCTGGGGTGGACCAGGGTCAACAAGAGATGCCATTTTAACTATCAGAAGCGAGGCGCACCTGTCTCAAGCTATTCAGCAGCCGCTGGCGCTCACTTTCTAATCTGAGGAAAGGTTAAACGGTAAGAATCGAGAACATGTTAGACAACCTACTTGTTCTTTTGTTCCCTGATGTCCTGGACTGCCTTGCTCTTCTGTTCCAGCGACGCGTGCGCTGACAGTATGTGTGCAGTATGCAGCTGTAACGTGAGCGCATGCTTCCTGCGAGATGACCGAGCTCAACTGCGACCAAATAGCAACTGATGTCATAACGCACTTGAGTTCAGCTGTCTTTGCTAGTTCGACGAGACTCTTGGTCCAATCCCCCGTTGCGACAAGCGGTGGCGCATGCTGATGGGTGGTGGTCTCCTGTGGTGCTATACTCTGGGGCTGGTTATGGGTACCAGGAGGACCGGTGTAATGTACGTATTGTGGTTGATGATTATGTTGCGACATTTTATTGATATTCGAGAGAAATATGAAAGGTCCTCGAAGTGATCGGGGTCGTGGTGAAAATATGACTTGGGCGTGGCCGGTGTCTTTTGATGTGGCTGTACCTTCCTTTTTCGCAACTTGGTCGTTTTCATCCACCATGAGTGTCCTTCGTTCCTTCAAAGCCACGGATATGTTCACATTTAACAATATGTACGTTTTCAAATAACTTTACATATTACATTCTCTCACGTCTGTCTTTTCTAGCAATCTGGACATCTGGACAGAGACCGTATGCTTCTCATTTAATGTCAAGTCTATCGCGTTGGCTCAGATTCGTGCCGTTAGTACAATGTTGGCTTCTACCTCAGTTACCTTTCGCGATGGCCAGACCTTTGCTGTGTGCAGGAATCACCTAACGGCCGCCAGATGGGTTACGGTAGCGTTTTATCCTCTTTCTCAGATACATCTTTACCTCACACCGGCACTTTCAGTTATCGGAAAAGCAGAGGGATCCAACACTGAATGGCACGGGCATGTCACCGCTATATCCGTAGCGCCGGAATACCGGAGACTCTCTCTTGCACGTAAAATGATGACCCTTCTGGAAATGGTTTCAGACAATATTTATCGCGGTTACTTTGTGGATTTATACGTTCGGTGCACCAACAATGTCGCAATAGAACTATACGAAGGGCTTGGGTACAGCGTATATCGCAGGGTGCGAGAGTATTATGGTAATCTCGGCGTAGGAAAAGGCGGCAGAGATGAGGAAGATGCCTTTGGTCAGTTCTTCCGTGTATCTGCATTGTCGCTTCTGAATACGTTGTCAGATATGCGCAAACCTCTGTCTCGGGATCCTGGAAGACGTTCTGTTCGAACTAATGGACGCGACATGCTTGTCAGTGCCCATGACGTGCCATGAAGTGCTCCGTCCGACCCAGAACCCAGCTGTATTGCAGCTTCATGTAATATACTATTATACAAGGTGGATATCGGGTCTCACAACCGTTTCATTCCGGCCCGCTTCGCGCGTCTGTATGATGGCTAATCTCCTCCCGAACATCCAAACGCTTTCTCTGCCTCGGACCGATTTATTCATGGCCTGTTCGGCTCCTAGTAACAATAGCACGATGAGTAACAGTCCAGCTGGGCATTAGGAATGCCACAAAATCGAATCAAAGGCTGAGGAATCCTTTGCCTAGTATTACACGGCAGCAGTCAGAAATTCTGTCTGTCGGCGAAATAGGGTGAGACAACATTCTGTTCGCGCGCCTGTTCGTAGTAATAATCATCCTTCGTTAAATTCCCCTAGTCTTTTCGCCCCCCGACAATGATGACTGAATGTCCTGATAAACGCGATTTCCCCCTGCATCGTGAATTTTCAACACTAGAACCTTCGGACGAAATTCTACGCTCAAGGGATCCGGAGGGTCGCATACCGCGTCCCCATGGTATTCATGTGCACGCACCTCGGTCCTCGTTTAATGACGATAGTGAACATTTTACTTATGGCGATACGCAGGTATCCAAAGCACGAACTTTCCACTGTCAAGGGATTATAGGACATAGAAAGAAAGTAGAAGCCGTTTGAGGTGTCACCTCTTACCTATCCTCGGATATTTTCTCGTTTCTTCGAATGAAGGGGTGGTCCCAGTGCCGGCCCATTACTCGTGAACTACTGAACAATCGTGGAGTTAGTTTGTATATAGAGCTGACTAACATCTCAGGAATTATTACAAATTTTCTTCGGCATTCAAATGTTCGCCCTCGCTGTTCAAATTCATTGAGGGCCAGTTGCAGCATCTAAATTTAGCCCCACATCTACAAGCCAAGCATCGACAAATACACTGACAGGTTCATACTGAACGGTCATGACCTCGAGAGCTTATAAGCGTACTTTGTGTTCGTTGAGCATGAACAGCGTCGAGCTGACTGCTAGTTGCATGCCTTTCGTATCACGTCCAGCTTCCTGCCTATCATCGTTCTATCGCCTATTCTATTCATTTAACCGCCTGGACGACCGGCAATCATCTCATGGGACTGTTTTTTTAGTGTCGAAACTGCTATACGGTTGGAACACAATCTGGATTAACCAATATCGACGTAGGGCTATTCGTGCTATGGTAGGGCTGTCCTTACTAAAGTTTCACCGCTCTTCACGGCCCTGCAAAGTCGGACGTGTTTGAGATAGGATCAGTGAGCGCCTTCGGTTTATATAACTACATGTGCTGTTTTGACTTTGTTCTGGTAACAGTTCCATGACACGCATAGGTACAGCTCAAGTGGGGAGTCCCCATCCAATGACTGGCATCTATGTGCGCTGCTGCTTCTTGCGCGCAATGGTCTTCTAGACGGGAAGTATCGTTCCTGTCCTGCCGCAAACCTGACCATAGTCTACCAGGATATCACGGAATGCGTCAGTGTCTTCTCTGACGACACGGGCGGGCTTCATTTGGAATTATGTGAGTCTTTAAGTCGATCTAGGCGCACATATGCAGGATCCTTACTTTTTCTGCAGTCTGTATTGTGTTACGATGTACTCTGCATCTCTAACGATCCACCTTCAACTTATCTCGGCTGACTTAGTGCTTGTCTTCAAGATTCTCGGCCTACTCACGACGACAGTGTTCACAACAACATTGGTAATAACCATAGGCAACGTTTTCGGTGTCTTGTTTGCCTTCATGAGGATCGTTATGACACAGAATATGACGCATATTCAACGTAGTGAATGGTAGGCGTTGTCTACTGGATAACTACTACTCCTACTGTGCATCTTACAGCTCCGCACCGTGTTCGATAACACGATCAGGCAGTGTAACCCTGCATGTAAAATGAATTTCAGCATTATCGGCATATCACTACTGCACCGCTTCTTGACTGATCTATCTATGGGGTTGACATCATACACGGTACGTGTTCTTTTATCACTTAGCATGATCCAGCCCGACTTAATCGTCCAGGCCTACAGATCATTCTGGAAGGTATGATTACAGCCTTAGCGGCCTGGGATCCGCATTGCGATGGTAAACCATGGTATGTTCATTCGTCACCCTGATTGGGAGCTGTAGTGTCCATGAGTTCCGTGCAAGACAGCATGCAGCATGATCGCAACGACGATATCTAACATCCATCACGGCCCACATCGCTTGCAGTGGTAGCCTTGGAAAAGTTTCTTGAAGCTTCCAACCACTTCTCGCTCCCTCGATGAGTGCGGAAATAACCCATCCTCCGACATCATACCAAGATCTGCCGCGCGGTTCGGACGAATCACACCACCACCACCACTACCTTCATCTTCCCAGCTACCCATAAAAGTGCCGTAATTTCCCACCGGTCATCTATCGTGTGCCCTTTGGTACCCGAGAAGCACGCATAGAATATGTTCAGCCCATCTGTCGGCTAACTTAGCACGGTTGATGAACATGCCTTCACCTCGTTCACTGTGGATTCATTTGTACACGAATGTGCTTCTTGACCCTGCCGTGAGCATCGGTAACCAAAAAGGGTGTTCACTTCAAAGTCCAGGTTTGACGCCGGGAATCAAGCTCTGGCTTCTTTTCCATATAATACTGATCATGGGCGTAGGGACCAGGTCATGTAATTACCAGAGGCCCGGTGGTAGGCGCCTGCCACTGTCCTTCGGCGCCTTTCAACGTCGTTTGCTATGACGAGATTGATTCTGTATGTCACATGCGCGACACTTTCCGTCTGGATCTCTTGATTAGCCAACTGTGGAGCATCGGCGGCTCGAGGGACTCTCGCTTCGAAGTTTCGACCTTGCATACATCAACTCTGGCATCGGAAATCAAGTGCGCCGTGTTATGCGCATTCAGTAGGCTTCCCTTCCATATTATCAGCGTAGCGTCGCCGATTATGGAATGATTCATATGATTTACCAGACTCGGCGGCGAGCGCCTGCTACTTTATTTCTGTGTCCAATCCGCCTATTCTGGAGACGGTAACGAGGCATGTGAAAGCCCACTCAGGTCCCCTTGGGAAGGCGCAACGAGATCCGACGGTACCCCCGCCGCCGCTGCTAGGAGAAGAGCTAACATCTGTGATACATCCACATGTGATATGGCCCATCCTCATGTATATTGATTGCATCGAGGTCGACTAATTCATATGACTAGGAAGAAAGTTCTCGAACACCGTACCCCACGCACTAAGTAGCGCTCTTCTGGGACGCACAACGGTACCGAAAGACACAAGCATATTCGACGTCGCTTGACGTAGTTAATTATCAGCATGTCGCCTTCATCTCGATACCATAGCCCGAATCGGACATCAACATCTCTATCACACTCTGTGTTATCTTACCTCGATCCGCCGCCTCGTCCCGACTCGCAACTGCTGCGAGTCCCTGGTGCACCTGGTTCGTGGCTTGATATCGAGGATGAGCTCAGATTTAGTCTCGATCACGCGCCCTCCGGTGTTATCATGTCTACGAGAAATCGAACGTTCACTAGTATGTCTCGGGACTTGCCGGATTCGCCAGTCTCTCCATTCCGTCCTGCGAAAACTCCCGATGCTATTGAACTCATTTGGTCACATTTGTCGGGTGTCCGCTCACGGGCCGGACTGATTTCTTGGACAAAAAGGGTACGACCCGCTAGGAAAAGGTAGCCCCGTGTCTCCGGAAGGCCCACGAGGAGGATTTCGAGGGTCGGATATCGCCTCCTCTTTCCGACATGTACTAAATGGTGCGGATCAACCAAGTGACTATATGCTATGAAATGTCTTTCCAGCTCGAACCACTTTTCGGGCCTTCAATACATGCGTATTCCTTTTCTTGTGTTCATTCTGGAGGCACATGAGTATCAATATCGATGCCGCCACTGCGCGATTCCCGTGGCGTTTGCAACAACATCATTGGATCCGCAGAGCGTGGCCAACCTCTAAACTCAAATGTTAGGGAGGCTTCACACACAGTTCGGTTTCATAGTGATTTGCGGTATCGAGTAAGGCACTCCGCATGCATAGATGCACCCCGAAATGTGCAGTCAGGCCCAGCAACGTGCAGGAAGCATCGTGCAGATTGAATGAGCATTTCACTATTCTAGGACTCATGCCGTTTCGTTATGCCGCGCAGAAACAATATCTTGGCATGGATTTTATATGCTGAACGTGCATTGCAAAGCGAGTCTTAGCGGCACATCGTTTCTGAGTTGAAATCGAGGCCAGACTAAGACTGGCACGGTCTTGTTCGTTTTGCCTCAAAAGCCATCTTGTTGGAAGAAGAATAATTATAGCAAGTTGGGGAGTCATCGTGAAAATGAGTGTAAGTTGGCTCGATGTATTAAGGGTGCACAATTGTTCCTGGTTGTTGACAAATTTATTGACACAGTATCTGGGCAAACATGGCTACGATTCTCCCAATATATGTAGGGGACACGATGATACGCGATTGGCAAGTCTACGGGGGTCGATCGCTTCCAACAATAACATGAAGGCCTTGCCAAGTTTGCTTTGACGCGAGTGAGTAGAAGGGCCATATCAGTGTTGCGTGTATACTTACTGTAGACGCCAATTCTCCGCACTGCGTACAGAAGGGGTTACTTCGTCGAAGAACACAATACATCCGCGCCACGTATAATTCTGCCGATTGAACGCGCAAGTGTCGCACTATGGACTTATGAGCGAAGGACTAAATTAGGGAATACGTGTCGTATGACGACACGGGGGAACGCATGGGACATATCGGGACAAACGGGTATACCGTGAGTCATAATTGGGAGTTGGTAATGATGCTAATTATAAGTTGTTGAGATCACGCCAGTGGGTAATGTTGAATCAATAATGTCATTCAAGTCTCGGTGCATGTAAAGGTAAGGATACACGTATGAAAAATATAACCGTGTGTGCATGGAATGGGAAAACAAAAAGGTATCGAAAGTGCGAAAGGTAAATGATACAGATATTGCAATGCGATGTGATGCGAAGGTGTACAGACGATGCGGGGTATGATGGGAACAAAGGGGGAAAAAAAAGAGGGGAGGGGAAACTCAGCGCAAAGTTCAAAATTCAACCGCTGAGAACCCTCCTCATCCTCCGCCTTGCTCTGAAAACACCAAAGCTGACTGTGAGCGATATCGACTGCCACTGCCTCTTCATCGCCTCTGCGCATGTGGGAGCGGGACGCTCCTCCTTCTCGTGGCGCTGCTCCTCATCTTCTTCGTCTGCTTCCAACTCTGGAACGACCTCGGGCGCCTCGGCGTAGTAGTAGGACTCTTCCACCGTAGAGTCCAATGACGCGCGGCGCTTCTCGCGACACTTGCGCGGACGGAAGGCCTTCTTCATGACACTGCATTGCTTCTCCTCGAGATCGTCAAAGGGCGACTCAAAGTCTGATACGGGTGAGGAGGAGGGGTAGTATGGGGTGGTGGGACGGGTAAGGGAAGACGAGCGCCTGAGACCGTGATTGGTGAAAGGATCATAGTAGTCCCCCTGGAGGTCTTCGTCGTCGTCGGGAATGGCAGACTCGTAGGTGTAGCCGGATTCCCAGTGGGGCCGAACATTGCGGCGGGATAGAGGTGAGTTGGACGACGAGCTGGATGAGGGGGACGATGAGAGGACGGGGAAGTGGCGGTAGTCTGGATCGTGCATGTTGCCCTTGCGGTCTATGTAGACGCGGGGCTGGTAGTTGTGTGTGGTGGAATAGTAGGAGGGATCGAGGAGGCGGGAAGCCTCTGCACGCTTTGCAGACTGGTGCATGTCGATAAAAGTCGGGGGACAGCGGTTGGGGGCATCAGGGGGAAATGTAACCGGACTTTTATATAGAAAAGGGATGAAGGAGAGAGTGTCTGCGGTTGAGCCGGAGTCATACACCATCTGCTGTGTAACCAATCGCGTAATCTATCTCCGTTATCCGCGAGCCGAGCTGGTTCGTGCTAAGACATCTTTCCGATTATCGACGACTCGTGTCTGCCTCATGCTTGCCGAACCTGGCTTCTGCATGACTCATCACCGGCCTGACTCACAATTTGGAACTTGCTCAATCATGCATCTTATCATATCATCCGTGCTCCCAGAAAGCGCCTATTATACCAAGCATAACCGCGGTACCAGCCTTTCCGAGGGCCTCCAGCTATATCGCCCCTATATTTCTCCCGACCTTGGACCATGTCCATTCCGGACGCCCTTCACGGCCTCCCATGTCTTATAATTAAAACAGCTATTTATTTGCATTCTCGGAGGCTCACCGTGAGCTGCTCGGAATGAATTTGTCCCCTTCTCCTCCTTTCCCTTGAACATGTCCGAGAAATGCGATTTTGTTGGCTCAATTTTCCGTCTGCTCGGAATCTCCAACTTTCCATTCCGGGAATTCGCCGCACCACCTGGAGAGGTCTACGTCAGGTATCACCGTAGAGACAGAACGATATAGATCATTAGTAGATGATAAGTAGGTAGGCAGCCCCGGTTCGCATCAGCCCTGGATGAGCTCGAGTAATTTTGGCATCAATACATGTCTCCTCCCCACAAATTACCATCTACAGCAGAGCATGTGAATGCAATATCCTTTGATACCTGTGGAAAGACCGTGGATGTCCGACTTGGGGCGCGAGGGTCAAAGGTGTGTGTAGGGAGGGAGGTAGTCAGTCATATGCCACCCAGGTTGCTGCATCTGTGGGCTAGTACTACACATTCAGAGTAAATGCGCGGAAATGAACGCCTTGCGAACTGCAACCCTTAGAACAGCAATTTCCTGACACCCGAAGAAGAGGGCCCTACGGAATGGAGACGAGCGACCAAGGGCAATTATTCGCACGAGTGGCGCAGAAGAGGGTGAACCATGACCGGAGACGACCATACCATATTCCAGAACAAGTATATTTCGGAAATGAGCTTCCCCTCTCCCGTGCGCGTCACTGTATGGCTTGAGTGCAACCGGCCCGTGCAAATCTCGCTGAGAGGGATACGATATAACACCAGGGAAAGGTTCAACGCATACGGAAATGAACGCAGCGGGGCAGAGTGGAAATCTTTCGACAAACACTTGCATTTCGTATCAATAGCACACCATCCGCAGATAACCGTGCATACAAACCCATCGTGCCATCGGAAGTACATCTTATCGCCTTGGGATCCATCTATTGGATTGAAAAGGGGAAATTCCAAAGGATTCTCAATATGAGAACGTCGATAGCGATCCGGATTCACCTGATTAGAACATGCACAAGAGATGAGGCTTGAATGAACAACTGTCTCCAGCCAGGTGTCCATTCGATAAACTGCCTCGTTTCTGGAATGTTCTAAACGTGGGATGGATGGCAGCTGATAACGCCTGGAGGGGAGGAGAAGGTTGTATTGGGTGCATTGCTGCGCCATTCACCGCCTCCGGAGCTTGACGAACCAAGCCTGATGACATGCGGATACTGCACGATAAAGCGATAACAGGATCCGTTCGCAGCCTTGCACACCCAAGAGGTGTGGTGGTGACGATGAGACCGTCATGTGATGGTTCTGAGCAGCGAGGCTGGCGCGAATTATCATCCATTTCAGTGTTCGGTCCGTTCTCGAGCGAAATGGTTACCCCCCATCCCCATCGTGTATGCATCGAGGATCCTCATGTTCACTTTATTCTGAGATCACTATTCTTATCTCAAAGCGGGGCGATCGTTATCTAACCGCCGGGAAAGCCTTGCATCGTAATCACGATGACCCGACGCCGTGGCGTGGTACCTTTAACAGCTACGTCATACAGCCAATGTTGCAAAGACACACACAGCCTTGGCTACAGCGGAATTTCATTCGAGTCTTCAACGTTGTATAAGGCGCTCATCAATTCCACACCACTTCTTATCATCTCTCTGTCCCCGTTCCAACACGAAAGGAAGCCTTTGTTCGGCCGGTCAGCCTCCTCGCATTCCACGACACGACACGGATCGATCACCGAGTAACAGCAGAGCCTTGAGTGTGATCGATCAGCCGATAATGGTACAAAGGCTCGCAGTGCGTGAATTCATATCACAAAGGCTCGAAAGACTCATGTATCACGAAATACGAAATCCGTAGCAGAATTGAATGTGAGACCGCATGTTGTGGGGCCATAGACAAAAGCCGCGCGCGTATGTGGCTCGGTTCGAATCCGAGTCCCTCCTCGTTCAAGTGGCTCCTTCGCAGGGTTAGCGCTACCCACATAGCTTTCTGAAACCTGAGATTTCAATTAGATCAGAACTGGCTTTTTCGTTACTAACAACCTCTGCTGATGACGTCGTTATGAATCATCTAGTAAGCCTAACTTAACAAGCAAGGCACCACGATATGTTTCAAAACTCAAGGCACTCATCTTCTAAGGACTTTGTTTTAGGCTTCAGCTCCTTCTGGGACATAGCGAGACTTGTATCGCAAACGACATAGAAAACCCACCAACAGCTGGCCTAGCCTACAAGAGGGTATGACAATGAACGCGGGAACATCCTAGGCCGAACGTTTTCGTATTTCGGCCGTACGCGCTTTGAAACGCGTCAGCGCGCCCTGTCAAGGATGGGAGGTGGACCTGATTGTCGTGACTCCGGACCTGGCGGGAAATCCCGGCTGGCTATAGGTTTTAAAGTTTTCAACGTGTACGGAATCGGGTTCCGAGATGATTCGACGAGGAGGGGCCGGAGGGGGGGGGGAGATCTAATTCATTGGGGATGACTGAGCTTTGTTCGAGTCAGAATGACAAAGCCCCTTTGAGAGGAGGATGATTATAAATGATGCGAAAATAGGTCGGGGGGCGCGCGCCGATCTTGAAAATCCGTGGCTCTTATGGAGTTGACCATTACGAGAGGATGATGTTGCAATGGGTTGATCCCCCTCCTGCTCGCCCCCTTCCGAAGGACACATGGGAAGAAGTTTCCTCGGTTGCGGGCTTCTCGGTGGGATCATGTTGCAGTGAGCCTTTGGGAGGATACGGCCATCATAAAAGAGACGGATATAAACGGATGATATGTGCGATTGCCAGGCTCTGATTCGTCGGAGCACAGAGAGGTCCGACACCCTCCTACGAGAAGCATCATTGAGCCGGTTCGTCCGTCGTAGACGGTGCGTGGAAGACAGGCGCCTGCTCGTCATACTTACTCCAGGACAAAGTTAAAAAATCGGAATCGATATCCAATCCTGATGTTCGATGGAGGGCTCACCCGAAAGACGCGGCAGGAGGCTTGTAAGAAGGATACCTTCCGATTCCGCTCCATCAATGGGCCGTAGAGTTGTTAAAGTTTTGCTCCCCCAATGGGATGAAATGAAGGTCATGCATGTTTCTCTTAGCGGTAACCAACTGTCACCGGTTCCAACGTCTATCTCAGCAGCGTACGATAAGGCATACCTTCTGTCTCTTGGGTTGAAAAGCCATCCATAGCGATCGGAACGGATAGAACATCTCGAGCATGTGCTAAGGAAGACAGCTACCCAACTCTTGGGAGCACCCCGGCGAGTTGATTATTGACCGACAGCCGGGTGGGCAGGAAACACCAAGAAACGTGGCGAGTTTCGCGTCTAAATGGGCGTCACTCTGTGGGCTGATATAGTACCGTATGAGTTTCTAGTGGAACCCGTATCTCTTCCAGCGCATCTATGCAAGCAGTCAATAGATGAAGAGCTCTAGTCTGAAAAGGCATGACAAACCTTTCTAGTTCCCTGGCGTTGGGAATAGGACGGAACGAACAACAGTGAGAAGAGAGAGAAGGAGTGTCAAGGACAGAACGAAGTCACGGCACTTTAACTATTTGCCGACAACCGGGGAATAATGAAGCAACGCACTAAAATTCGTTTTAACTGCACATTACATATAGCACGCGCGATACAAGCGAACTGACCTGATACGCGGTTGGATTAAAGACGTGGCATGTGAATGCATTTTGTCGCCTAGCAGACCAATTTACCAAATCCAATCGTGACTTTTCTTTTAGTGGCATGGCGATCATCGCGAATTCATTCATTGTTTAGTTAGTCGACGTCTATGATCATCGTCATGGATTAAAAAAAACATGTCAGTAACCTAGTAGTTTCTTGCACCGCGACTGTTCGGGAGCAAAAAAAGAGTTTTCTGCCGGGCGTAGACAACGTTTGGTGTTGCGGCTTTCCCACAAATAAAATCATGTAGCTTGGCGGCCGAGTTGACAGGACGGGACTGCAAGAAATTCAGATAGAGGCTTCCGTTCCACACTTTTTCCCGTTCTGTTCTATATGCAAAGCTACATTTGCACGCGAGGATGGAGCAGTACTATAGGTCAAGGAAATGCAGGCATCCAATTGGGTGTCGATAAGGTGGCGGCTGCCTTGGTCTTGACAATCAGTAGGATGACGCATATATACGGTGTAGATAGTAAAATACACGTAAACGTTTATCTGGGACATCTGACCGTTTCTCAGAAGCGAGACAAAAAAGGTTTCCAAGAAGAATTTGAGCGCATATATGCGTCCAAATGACGGCGAAATGGTGAGCCTGGTCTTACGATCTTGTTTTACCTACCATCAAATAATTAGTTGCTCCTGCAAAAACCACATAGAAACTCGCCATCAAACTTAAACGTCTTAGTAGTGATCCTGAAATTTGTGAGTCTTCCTGTATCGCCTTGTGCGTAGCCGGGTCTACACTATATTGTTTCATCTTGGGAGCCTTCAGTTTTTGCGTGCCGTGTGATTTCGCCATCTGAACAGGCTCGGCAGACTCATCAAGTGGAGCACTGTCCCAGAATTTGAGATCAGCCCGGTGGATCCATTGCCGCAAACCCCACCCATTTCCGTTGGATGCTCGAAGGAAGTTGGAAAATACCCGACGACCCTTCTTGTGTTCGATGAGTTAGAATTAAATCCATGGTAAGGGAACACACTTGCCATCCAAGTCCGAATGGGAGGATCTCTGGACTTGAGCTGGGATCAGGCGACATTCCCAAACTGGTCATTTGTAGGGATAGGACGGCTCAAGTGCGGTCGGTTGTGATAGGTGTCCTAAACCTTGAAGCTGAGAAAGTTACCTTCGCTACCTCGCAGTATTCAATGGAAGAGAGCAGCTGGTTCGTCCGAAGAATGCTTTGTCCTTCAGGCGGGCAAGGAAACATATTTACCCAAGAAGCTAAGAGGGGGACACTGAAAGTTTTCTTGGCAGGAAATAGGGAGAAGCACCAGTCCTTTGAATGGCAGTGTATGTGCTACTAACTAAGCCGTGAACGGGATTCAGCCGTTATTTCCAGGTTCAGTTCAGTTTGACACAAGGCTGGTTAGGAGAGCCGCAGCAGATAACGCACGGAGAGTTCTAGTTACAAGGGGCATAGAATTCGAGCTCAAGTTGTCTTCTATTGGTTGGCCTGATGATAGACTTCCTGACCTGGGAATATTGGCGACACCGCAACAGGTACAGTGAATAAGAGGGAGAGACTTGGTCTGTGAGGGACTGCGAAGAGAAACTTCCGAGTCCGCAGCTGTGAAGAGAAGGTCTGGGAGTCTCGTGATTCTGGCTCAGACACGACGTCAAAATCCTATAAGACCGAGAAGAACTATTCGAAGAACTATCCAATACCACATCATGCATCAGCTTACCAGAACCAAGTGCTCAGAGACTTCTCATATCCTTGATCCCTCATATCTTTCTACTGCCAATAAGTATCCGACGCACATCTACGTCGACTGCAAAGGCAATATACATGACCCAGACTATCGTTATTTTCCTGTTCTGTCATCGTCTTACGCACCGACATCCTCGTCCGATTCACCCATGGCTATTTACAATGTATGGCCGCACCGGAAATCCGGCCGCTCATCCACTCGCGGCGACGACAATGACAACGACAATCAAGTGGACTACTTCAGTCCATTCGCAGTTAACGCGCGTAGACGAACATCGTTTACAAGCAACATGCCTCAATATCTCTCCCCGTTTATAGTCCGCCCTCCTTCCGACGATATCAAGGAAGGGTGGGAATGGAACAGCTTGAAGGACGTCGTTCGTTCAATTAAGTGGGGTTGTGCGTCCCTGTATTCGACAGTGAAAGAGTTTGAGATACCTCTGGTCGATCGACCAGAGTTGAATGAAGAAGTTGCAGAAGAAGAGCAATACAAGACAAAACGACCCACTGCTACATGTTCAGAGGGGATGGTACTGGATACAACTCCGTGTCAGCTTTGGTGTTTTTAGAGCGACACGGAGGATGAGAAAGGTCTTCAGTATCTGACCATCAAATTTCTTTCCGTGAGCTAGTACATAACTATATTATCAATATTTTGTATTCTTGCATTGTATCCCCCATGTATCCATTACTTTGGACTCTGAGAATGAACTTTTCCGCATGGTTGCACTGTTGTTCCGCAATAGCTCTTCACCAGTAGTCTGTTCGACCTGTTTTCTTCATACTAATTGAAGACCATCTACACCGGATTCAACCTGTTATATTCATCGCTGTGTCCAGATATGTCTCAACCAAATATCTCAGACACACTGAAAGGCTTGCTCACCTTTGAGGAAGAAGCCAAGTAGGAGACATGACGTCATGAGGCGATTGCATTATTCCTCCTGTGACCGTTTCTTGCCCATTAGCAGCCGGTCGAGATTTTATCCTTTCGGACTTTGAATACCGATCGGGCGAGTCTTCCTCGATACACCGAACATCTGAATGGTATTGAACACTGTACAGTTTTGCCAGACGGTCCGACTACACATTCCGTGAATTTTAAGTGGCGTCCAAGAACCCATCACGCAAACCACGCAGCAGCGGTAGATTGATGCAGGTCAGGTGGTGTAATCACAAAGATATGGATATGGCAGCGGGAATAAACATATACTCAAGACCCAAGTCATTTGACTTCAAGGGAGGGAGTGCCAAAATGCTTGTAGGTGATCCGTAACCGCGCAGAGAAATTGTCCGGATGAGTGGATCCGAATCTTGAAATGAATTTCCGTTGGCTTGACGGAGACACAGAATGGCCTGTTGCGGAGAATCGTCGTCTTTCATTCGAAGAATGGAGTTCGGTCCGAGAGTGAGGTTAATGTGATGCAATAGAATCCTGGATGACTCCGGACGAAAGGCTCCTTCTAAAATGCGAAAAAAAAAGTGGAGATGTAGCGATCGCTTAATAGGTCCGATAAATGGCCAAAGATCATTTAATTTTGTGGATGGCAAATATGTGATGACTCCGGAGCGGAGAGTCGCCCGATCGAGACTAAATCTGAACTCGTCCTCGATATCAGGCCTCTGTATGAACGAACCAAGTTCATCAGGAAGTTGCCGAATGGCAGATGCGGGGGTGGTTTGCGAGTCGGGGCGCGGTGGCGGAGTGAGATAATAACTCAGGACACCATATTGATATTGATGTCCGATTCGGGATATCGACATGAGTGTTAGTACATATCGATAATTAACAATAACGTCAAAAGAGATTGGACAAGTGCCCTTGATATTTCAATCTGACCGTGGATAGAGCGCTACTTGGTTCGGGTACGAAAATCTTCCTTTGCTAGGTACGCGAGTTGATTAGCCTGCACGCTAATGACGGGATGGACTTTGAATGGAAGAAGAGTATTATTACCAGTGAATGTATCACAGGTGTTCTCCTTCCGGCAGCAGCAGCGGACGCATGGTTCAGGCTTCCAATGGGACCTAGGTAGGCTTGTGCTCAGAACGAGTCTGTTATGCATCTACCGGGCCTCTGGTAACTGAGACGAACCATACAGCGTGTCCATGGTCAGCGAGCGCTACGCCCATGACATGAGAAAGGTGAGCTTGACACGAGGTGCTTGACTCCTGGCGTCAAACCTAGAAGTGAGGGTCCTTTTAGTTACCGATGCTCATAGCAGGTCAATCAAGGGGCGGGGAAGCACTGGTTCATACACATTCAGCATACAAAGTCCGAGTTCCGTTCGCAGGAAGAAAGGCCGACGTTGTTGACTACAACTTCCATCGCAGTAAACGACGTAAGTTAACCACGCTGGGCTAGCGGACCGATGGGTAACATGATAGAAGACATCCTGTACGTGTTTTTCGGGCAACAAACGACACATAGTAAGTCACCGGGGTACGAGATTACGGCACTTCTGTGGATAGCTGGGAAAATGAAGCTGTGGAAGAGATGCGGTTCGGCGGAGGTTTGGAAGATATGGATGAACTGTCAGATGACGGGCTGTTTCCACACCCAAACTCTTCGAGGGAGCGCGGAGGCTTGCAGTTGAACAGAGCTGAGAAACTTCCACGCATGTAGGCGACACCATTGCAAGAGCTGCGATTCAAGCTGTCGTGTAACATAACGGAAGCTATGCCACTTGAAGATTCGAACGGAGCCTGTCGCAGCCTATCTATGTCCTTAGTGCAATTTAACGACTGATCATAAACGATTCTAGTCTGACATGACAGAGCTCTTGTCGCGCCTTCAGGGCGATTGCGACGGATTGCATGACAGCAATTAATGAAAGAGCATGTGCCAGGTAGGATGACCGCCTAAAGAGGCAGCAAATCGCCAAGGCTCCGGTACATTGATTGTTTGCCGACAAAAGGGGTCAGGAAACATAAAAGGCGCTAGAATCCATGATAAATGCGCTTTAAGTCGCAGATTGATTCAGGATCACTGACCCGGATGCCTGACTGGGACTAAAAATTGAGCGTAGCACCGTTCGCGGATACAATCGCTTTGTAGACCACACCCAATTCGCGTAAAATTGCCTTCTGCGTCATCTATTCCATCCCGCGTCATGATGATCATCGCGAACGCAAATTCTGCGTCAAGCTGGTTCGCCTATGGTTACCAAATGTTGAAGTCCTCACGGCAAATTCAAATTGATGATCGTTGTACAACATTTGAAGACGATGAATGAATTCACCGCGAAGATGCTCGAATACAACGATATTGAATACTTTGCGGCACCAATGACTCTGTGAGAGAGTGGATAAGTCACGTATATGCTGCCAGTTTGACAAGAAACGCACTATACTTCGAAACACACTCCCGCCTCGTTCTTTTCATACTCAAACTTGATGTACGTACATCCAGAAACAGAGTTTCCCTCGACCGGTTGATCTTGCATGGGACAACCACTCGCAAGGTGGTGACAGACTGTAGGCATATGCAAGCTCAGGGATTAAGCCTTGACTCAGAAAATGTTCCAAGTTCTTGCACCAAGAGTAATATCGCAAGTATCCTAATACTAACCTGCTACCTGAAGCAGCAGGGACGCCGCACAACAGGACGTAAAAAGGCACCTAGGACCAATGTTAACGCATATATGGGCCTCAACGGCGATATAACAAACAGGGTGAATATTACGGTCAGTTTTGCCCCTACTAGACCTGTTGGTGAAATGCTGAGCCTCATGTACGAAAACCATATGAAAACTCACTGTGGAAAGGCTTTCATTACTGGCAGCTACTGGCCTTGGTACACGATAACGGTTGCACCAAAATTGGCAGAGGACCTTTAGACCAGGCCACTACTGCCGCCTGGACCTTTATTCGAATAAATCCAAAGTATTCAGTTTCCAACCATCTCCATGCTTGGGGTAGAAATTGTTTGTTGATAAGGCATATGATTATGCTGGGAATGATGGGTCGAGACTTGTCATGAATCTGTAACTCATTCTCTGAATTGAGATACACCCTATTCTCCTTCGGATTCCTCGCGCTCGTCCTGCCAACGATATTCTCCTTCTTGTCTGCGGCCACGGACGAGAACTTTCCTGTGTCCCCAGCCCTAGGGACGCTCGAAGGAAGCTTGTACGCTAAGCTATCGTTTGACAGGTACGGCAGAAAAGTCGAAATGGAACTTCGTATCCACTGTCGTGAACCCACCCATTTTCGGATGGGCGCTGAAAGGAACTCGAGTGTCTCAGACAGCCTACCTGTGTCCAGGAAATCAGACCAAATCCATCATAAGCAAAAGTCTCCTATTCACCTCTTAGTCAAGTCCGAAAACGATAACCTTGGGGCTGGAGCTGCATCAGGCGCCTTGGACGTTGATAGGACAGAGAAGCCCAAGAGTCATTTAGACTGCTAGCTGAAATAAGTGTTCCAAAGCTTGGGATGTGAGGAGATAATTGGGTCCCATTGGTATACTTCAGCATTTGGTGTAACAGAGCATCCGGTTCGTCGAAGGTGAGGAGCTGTAAAGATGGAAAGAAGACATAGTTAGCTAAGAGCCTAAGTAGAAAGCTCCAAGAATGCCTGTAAGAGAACCAAAGGCCAAACAAGCAAGCTTTGGCAGTCCTTTGACGGAGAGAATACGCACTACCACTTGAACGGTTGAACACGGTTCAATCGCCATGCCATGGTTCGGTTCATTCTACATGCTAAGAGACGACGCGAGGCTGGAAAGGTTCTTTCAGAGTATATTTGAAACCACCCGGCCTCGGGCATGGCTGGTGAAATGCTGGCGATACAGCCTTCGAGAAAGCTGCCAGTGAATGGAAAAGTTCAAAGCACCTATGCCAAAGGTAGCTTATAAGGCAGCTTCTTCAAACACAGGAAGACTTCCAGAGGGTGAGATTGTAGAATCAAGAGCGAAGAGGTGAAGCCAAATCGTGTCTTCGCCTCTTGGTCCGTGCAATTCACGTGATGGGAATATACCAGATTCAGCAATCACCGCGGGCCTTCGACTTGCTTCGACCCTAAGCTCGCTAAACTTTTCTTTGCTGCCATTGAGGTAACTTCACCCTTCTGTTCATTACCTGGCAGAGTCAGTTACCAAAAAAATTGCTCATATTGCGACATTTCTCCTTCGAAGAGTTCGTCGGTCAGTCTGGACTCCTGCAAAGGATATCTGGGTAATCTTAACGGTGGCGCAAGTGAGAGGTGCAATTTTTGGCAGCTCAGCCCTGCTGAGTCGGAAGGTTTCTGGTAGTTCCCACTCAGTGAGTACTGTGTGGCGGCTCCAAGGACGAAGTGTTTAGCTCATGTTTTTTTAGTAATGTCTCATCTATCATCGTACCCTCCTTCTGGGCCAGGGCCTTCCAACTCCTACGCACGGTCGCCGCCACCAACGACGATGTACGGTACCAATAACGTTGGCAATAGCTCCTTTCCTTTCCAATATGGGGGATCCGTTCCAACTCATATGAACCCACCAATGAGTGGTCGCGGACGTGGCTCATATAGTCATCACGCTTCCATGAGAGGTGGCCATAATGCACAGAATTATTCACCCCATCATCCGCCTTCATTTGCGCCACAATCCCCTTCTTCCATCCAGACCCATAATTCGATACCTCGTCAGTCCGGTCCATACCCTCCGAGCTATCCTCCTTCGTATACATATCCCCGACCACCTCCTGAGGTTTACCCCCAACAGTGGCAGACACAGCAACCCCTTTCACCTCTCCCCAAACAGCTTTCGATGCCGCCGCCTAAAGACAGTGTCATTCCGGTTTCTTCACAGCCTACACATATACCGCAAATCGACTCGACTACTGATGATACGCATCCTGATGTCCATTCGCCACCACCAACGTCTCCCACGGCGTTGCCTCGCACACCATCCTCACCTCTGACTAACGCGCAGCTAGTGTCCCCTTGTAGTCCAGCATCAGTCTCTTCTCCAAGTATCCCATCGCAAAGGTCACCGAATGCATTACCGGAGTGGGTCATCTGGTCTAAACGCCCTCACGACCCTTCCAATGCTCCGGGAATTATTTTCTCACCTAGAGCTAACCCTCCGGCTCATATTGTCCGCGATGCCCTCCCGATTCTTCCTCCACCAGAAGCGCCACCGGTAACTTTGGTAGCAGTTCCGTCGCAACCGGTGTTATCACCTGAGGAAAACAGAGATGAGAACCTTAATGATGAAGCAAGCGATGGTTTACATCAGGACTCGTCCTCGTCATCTTCTCATGCTTCAACCGTGCCATCCTCCTCGGCCACAGAAATAACAGATACGCCTATCCTCCCAGGGTCTCCCGTGTCCTCAAATACATCCGTATCACAATCCGATACACCTAATAGCGTGAAGCTCTTAGAAATTGCTGATCCCAGTGAAGCATTTTCGTCAACTGCTATAGTAGATACCGTAGTTCCTTCTCCGGCGAATATTACCCCTGCCCCTGTCAAAAAGTCGTGGGCGTCACTACTTCAGACACCGCCTTCAACCGGTTCTTCGACGTCAAAAAATGCCCTACCGACTTCATCTGTTATTGGGTTCTCAATACCAGCATCTGCACTAGTCCCTGTCCCACCTAGCAAAAAGCCTGACCTCATTGCCCTCCTCATGACAGGGCCAACGGCTAAAAATGCTCCTAGTACGAGCAAACTTAGACCACGAGGTCTCATCAATACGGGCAACATGTGTTTCGCCAACTCCGTCCTACAGATTCTGCTCTACTGTCCACCATTTTTCAGGCTCTTCTACGAGCTCGGCAAGTTGGTTGGCAGCGGGGCTAAGATATTGGCCGAGGCTCATCTGACGGAGGCCACCATGACATTTCTCAAAGAATTCTTCGAGGATGAGAAAGAAAACGAAAAAGAACCAGGTACTTCTATTGACAAGCAGGGGAAAGGCAAAGAAAAGATGTTGGCCAACGATGATGATTGCGAGAGGGAATCCTTCATTCCGACATATATCTATGATGCTCTGAAAGAAAAGAAGCGGTTCGACAACATGCGGGTGCGCACAGACTAACTAAATAGGTTCACGTTTCTAATGTCAAATATTTTATAGGGCGGACATCAAGAGGATGCGGAAGAATTTCTTGGATTTTATCTGGATACCCTGGAGGAAGAACTGCTGTCTATCCTTCAATCGGTAATCACTCAGAATGACTTGGGTCGCTCTCTGATGGAGGAGAAAGAGGAGACCGCCCTGCCTCAAGATGACGGGTGGCTTGAAGTTGGTAAACGGAACCGCTCCGTCGTAACCAGAACGGTAAGCATCTTCCATGATCAAGTCTTGATACTGGATTTAATCCTCCTCCAGATCAAAAATACAGAATCTCCCATAACGCGAGTCTTTGGAGGCAAATTCCGGTCGACACTACGTGCGCCAGGGCAAAAAGACTCGGTCATAATAGAAGATTGGAGGGCTATCCGCCTCGACATACAGGTGCGAAATGTTGTGTCAATGCTTGAGGAAATGTTTGACGTTAGCTATTTGACAGCCAGATCACATACACAAGATAGAAGACGCGCTATCTTACATCTCTCACCCTCAATCTATTCAAATGTCGCTTCCCACTCGACCAGGCGTTGTTGTGGAAGCGAGTCAGCAGGTGCTAATCGAAGCTTTGCCACCGATTCTCATCCTGCACATCAAACGATTCCACTTCGATACCGAGTTCGGTGGCGTCATGAAGGTGGGAAAGCAAGTGAGGTTTGGGCCCGAGCTTGAGATTGGACCTGGTAGGGATGCAACTATCGTGCACATCTTCCTTCATTTGACATTTCTGCGCAGAACTTATGTCACCTACTGTTCGGAAAGCTCAGTCTGTGAGGTATAGATTGTTCGGTGGTGAGTGTGGCTTCATGTTGTTCGCTTTCACGCCGTAATCATTAAACTTGCGCAGCCGTGTACCACCATGGAGTGTCTGCCTCTGGTGGTCACTACACTTTGGATGTACTGCACCCACATCGGTACCCCAGTTTTAGCCCGAATGTGAAACCTCGAGAAGGCTGGATTCGTATAGATGATGAATTGGTGTCAGACGTTCGAAATGAGGATGTCTTTGATGCGTGGGATCGGGATGATGCTCGGACGGCATACCTTTTGTTCTATCGCAGAGTTCGGTAGTCATATGTTGCTGTTGTTGGTAGTCGACACCAATGTATTCTCTATAATAATGCTATATACGCACTGCGAAAAACTGCGTTGAATAACCAAGGTATGCGCACCAAATGAACCGTCTATTGTAGTAATGTAAGGAGTGAGGGGTATAAATGAGACATCAAGTTCATTACTTCATCCACAACCACGAAATAAGTGTCTATGGACACCCAAAGAATTGCAGCAGTGCACAATAGTGAAGGAGAAGGTAACCAAGACAAAAGGCAATGAGACAGGAGGGAAACAAACAAATAGAATGCAGAATCCCCATGTATCACCAGGATTTTGGGGAGGAATTCTCCACCAGTCGTGAGCAAACTATTGAGTGTAAATGTAAATTCCACGGAAGGACTGCGAAAACAAAATTGAGTATGCAACATCTGGGATTGCAGAGAAATACGCACGAAGTGAACATCAGTATAAGCGGAACCGGTGTTAAGAATGTAGTTTGAAGAATCACTGTTTCCAGTGATTGTCGCACAGCTGCTGCCTTGACCTCCAGCGTTGTCTGATAAATGCCTAAATTAGATCATGTCAGCTTCTTTTGAAATTGCTACTTACCAGTAGACCAGATATTATCGCCAGCAAAGGTACCACCGAGGTTGGTGTTGATGACCATCATGAGGTCCTTGAAGTGCGAGTCGGGGTCACAGGAGGAGGCGGCATATTGTACGACAGCATCCCAGGTTGTGGGGTTGGGAGTTCCGGCGACGATATCATCAGGAACGCTTCCGGTGTTCCAGAAGTACAGGTTAATGCCGGACTCAGTGAACTCGAGACCGTATACACCACCATCAGCTTCGTTGAATGGAAGACCGAAGGAACTCGTGGAATCGAGAGAACAGCCACAGCCAGTCGTAGACACGTAGGCATCACAGTTGCTATCACCCTCCACAACCAAGGAAGCTTGAACAAGAGATGACAATGTCCAGTCAGACATAGTGCATCCGGAACCGGAGTGAATGGAAACGATGTTCTTGGTGTAGCTGCACCCAGTTAGTACCCAGAAACTGATAAATTGATATCAATACTCACTAGTTGACGCCTTCAACGACATCCTAAAGAGGTGTTGTCAATATCTACGGACGAAGCTAGGAAGATTAAGAACATACAATTTCACCATCATCTGGCCAATTGGAACCAGTGAACCAGACAGCAGGCCAGCTGAAACAAGGTCAGTAATAGCAATGGATACAGAGCACGCTACTGACGTTCCGCAAGCTGCAGGAATCTCCGCGATATCAAACAGGAACAAGTAGCCTGGAGACGACATCAATGATGGCTTGTAAAAGGAACGACATCATCTTACCGGGATTGAAAGTGGTAGTTGAAACCATCCGGACGGAGTTACGAAGAGATGACACAGTTCTACAAAGTCATTAATCATCTTACCTCACGAAAAGTAGATGTTGAGTTGCTCACTCAGTTGTATCGATAGCAATGATCACGTTCTCATTACCATCAAGATAAACGAGACCTTCTGAGGTTCCATCTACGTAGTTCGCGACTCCTTCATTGTCAGCGGCCTCGACGTCGCTGTTGGGACCAGTAAGCATCTGCCCTGATGAGAATAAAACGCCTACATACTAGTGGAAATAGTCGATCAAACTTTGGCCTTTCAACGCGGTCTGAAGTGTCCAACCATCCGTAGATGTAGTGTACGAAGTGCCGACATTACCACTCGATGAAGTCGAGGTAGAGGAAGCAGAAGACGATGTCGACGCTATTATAACGTCAATACATCACACTTCCGAAAAAGTAAGGGGTACACACAGGAGGTGGTGGCATAGTAGGTGTTGTCGGTGGTTGTTGCATATGTTGTGGTTGCTGCATATGTTGTGGTTGCTTCAGTTGTCGTGGCTGCTGCAGACGTCGTTGTCTGTATCGTAGTCGCATCTTCAGTGGATGTTGTTGCTACGGCTTGAGAACTCGTCGAAGCAGAGTCATCATCGAATGACCACGTAACATTCACTGCGTAAAAGAAAAGAAGAGTCAGGCCAGGCCAGAACAATGGATGGCGGCAACATACAAACACCGGTTGTCAATTCTGACAAGGCTTCAAATGCAGCCACAGAAAGATATACGTTGGCCGAATCACCACAATCTTTGCAAGCATCTGTAACCGTAACATCGACAGACGTAGAAGGATCATCCCTGAGAGAAACAGTAACCTGCAAAGCTTCATTAGATACCAGTCCGCAAACCCCCGACTATCGGCGTACATGTTTGAAACAGTTATCCTTGTTGTCCCAAGTCACATAATCTGTACCCAAACCAATGATATAATCTGTATCATTGGAATATACACCGCACGCAGTCAAGGTGCTGTTCTAAAGAACAACGCAGTTGGAAAATATTCAAAAATACCAGCAGATACACTTACTTGATACCCATAGTAGGCGAGAGCAGTTTCAGAGCGCGCACGCAAGTCAGATGACCTCCTGAAATGTCTTTTGAACCCGTGGGATGCAAAGACCGAGGATGCAAGAGCAAGCAAAGTGAGCTGGGATGACGGCCGCATTGTTAACGAACGTGAAGGAGGGCTACGATAGGTCGTTGGCTCTTAGACAGCCAAGAATACGTCGGGTTTATATACGAGGGCGTATGCCTAAAGAGAGAGGGAATTTTCGAAAGAGCGTAGTGCGTAACCGGCGGACGAGGGGGGGAGATGAGAGAAGAAAAGAAAGACTATGTGGGAAAAGCAATTGGTTTCGGGCTTATAGTGACGCAGAACTGCGCATGTTGTGACAATCAGCGCATGATCCATGGAAAAAATAATTACATACACATCATTTTCCAACAGGCAACCCCTCCGTTGCACGGCATCAAGATCTATCAAGATCACAAAAGAAGATTAAATGACTTTTAGGTCGAATTCCGGGCAAAAAAAAAGCTGACTCTGGAAGCATCCATCCTCATCTGCTACGAGTTTCTACGGCAAGACCTCGAAAAACAGCAAAGATTTGAACGTAGAAGCGATTCCCACGCCCCTCATGGAATTCCCATAACGGGTGTAGCAAGTCTTATCCGTCATGACAACCAGGGCATGAAAGCTATGTTTAGTTGTACTTCGGCATTCTTTTACGAACGATGGGTTCTTCAAGTCACGAATTCAATTCATCAAGGCAACATAAGCTGTGTCTGTTAGCAAATTGTCTGCCTCTCACAGGGAGTTGGGAACACTGCGAATTCAATGTCCAACTATACATCAGTGCGCTCATGATTTCATCATATTCGAGACTGGGCTCTCCATTCTTGGCGGCTATACATGTACAGTGCGCAGCCCTCGGGAAACCTGGCCGACGCATTGGCGTGGCGCCCAGAGAACATTTATGCAGATTCTTGATGAAAGCACAGTCAGACCGTTGGAACGCATACAGCGTAAAGCGAAGAACAGTATTCCGCGAGTTACCTTGCGCGCATTCCAGACTTCAAGATCCTGGATGGGGAAAATCGGATTAAATAATAAGGGTGTAGGACGCTGAAATGAAGTTCTCCGTCGTAAGTAAAAGCACACGGAGCCGCTGGTAATGACGTACGCGATCGTGATGCTTATGATAAGGTAACTACGATTCCTGCTGGACCTTCCAGTTTTCCAAATAATACATTTTATCCATCGCTGTAATCCAGTACTGCTCTGAATACATACATATACATGTACTATCATACCTACCACCGAAATTAGTAAAAAAAAGTCTTTTCATGGCATGTCGTCAATCAAGCTCGTAAAACTTGACACTTTTGATTTCCCAGTCTGAAAACTCCATGAACTTCGGAATACGTACTCAAGAAAGGGTTACTCACACGCTTCGTCAAACGACGCTCCACTAGCCCGGACGAAATCCTCGCAGTTCGAATATCCCGTCCGTGTAGCGCAACTTTGATCTTGACCTGGTGTCCCAGAGCTGTTCCATGCATTACCCGCCCAGTCACCACTGTCATCAAGATTAGCCATCATTTGTCCCCCCCAGAAGGAATTTGACTAACCACAGTGTCGTGTCGAAGATGAACGAATGATTGTAGAAATATTTAGTCGAATTACATGTTGATGAAGGCCAGTTAGCCATCGGCGTTCCCCATCTGTCAGGGACAGGAGTTCCAGCGTCAATATCGGACGGAACCGAGTCCTGAGTCCAAAAATACACCTTAATGCCATCGTCATCCCATTTCACTACCGCCAATGCTCAATGAGCGCGCGATTGTGTATAAAAAAGATCTATACATACTGGCATATACCCCGCCACCGTTGTCATTGAAAGCAGCGCCAAAGGAGACGTTAGAGGCGGAACGGAATCCGCAGCCCTCATTACTGGTCTCGTCTGCTGCGCAGTTGGTACCGTCAACCACGGTACCAGTCACATTAAGCACATCGGCACTTGTCGACGGTAACGAGCATCCAGATTCAGTATGGAGCGTTGCTTGATTATCCGTGTAGTTATTAATGCCTTCTACAATATCTAATCGAGATGATTAGCCCAAAACAGAGAAATATAGAACGGAATAAACCTATTTCTCCCCCATCGGGCCAGTTAGGTCCTGTGTACAAATGGTTCAGTGAGGGACAACTGGACCAGCAGCATTTCTCTTACCATTAGACCACCACGCACTGGATTACGAAAATGTGAAGGGAGGATCGGGAATGAAAAACAACTCAACTCACGGCCACGTTCCACAGCCCGTCGGCATATGCACGGAGTCCATAATTACAAGCACACCATTATATGTGCTTTCCGTGGTTATGCGAATGCTTTGACGGTTTTCGGATACCATTCCTGTCGTCTCGACACGCATGATAGTATGGCCATCGGAATTCACTTCCACCAAATTATTCGACCTCTACGTTGTTGTCGTTATATGGGGAAATATTCAGTGAATTCATAAACGTACTCCAGTGGTCTCATTAACATAATCGACAAGACCTGCAAAAGGTGGTTAGCAGCATGTACAAAACGGTGAAACACGGAAAACACGCGCCATTAGTTGGGTCCGAAGTTGTCCAGAAGGTCCAGCCAGTAAAAAAATCTGTCCCATTCTAGACCTTGTATATCAACACTCGTCGAAAATCCACAGAAATTTCAACGCACATGATATTCTGCCAAGTTATACGGCGAGGAATAAGACGACGCTGTGGCTGAAGCACTCGCGGCGGACGCTGTTTTAGTGCTGGTTGTCGATTTACTGCTACTTGCACCACTATCGCTCGAGCCAGATGATTCAATTTGACAATAAGAAAATCGCATCTGGGGCACGACTTGAGTTTGTTGAGAGACCAGCACTGCACGAAACGCCAAACGCAGGTCGCGCGCTATATTCTTGGTATGGAGACTTGCAATATCGTGGACACGAGATAACAATGTTGCTGAGGTGTCATGGCAGGCGATGAGGAGGATGATGTACAGAGGTAATGCATGGAGAAGGAACATCTAGGGGGGCTTGGGCTGAGGAGTCCGTCTAATATTTTCAGTTCGTTGGAAAAGAGATCTATAAAAAGTAGCGGGCAGAAGGAAAGGGACAGAATATAGGAAGTGGTGGTAAATGAAAGAAAGAGGACCGACACCTGTTAGTAGAACAAGGGGCAAGTGAACGATCACATTGCTGGCGCACGCCAACAAGTAAAAGGTCAATCCGGCATGCCGGGCATCGTGCGTAAAATGACGTCAGCGCAGTCGACTATGGACTCCACCTCGACGTCCCCTGCTGGGCTAGACCAATACCAGGTGAAAACATGTTTCTTATAGTAGTAAGTTATCCTTTACTTGACACACCTGGCTGTAAAGGGCTGAGTCTGACAGTGACACAACTGCCTGGCCAAGCTCAATCAGGCTCAATCATGGTGGCTGCGCTTGTGATCACTGCGGCGGCTCATATTTTTGACATTAGATAAACCAACACTGATTCCTGATGCACATTCAACACACGCTACTTCGTCTGACTTTCCTTTGTCACTGTAAGAGGTCGCAGAAGCGCCATTTACTTACTGTTAACATTGAAAGTCCCTAGGGTTAGAAAATCCGCTGCGAGAGCCTTATTTCCCGTATCTTTTCCCTCCATGGTTATATATATGTAGTATTACATCGCGGTACTATAAATGTGAAATTTCTAAGAGATACGAGAGAAAAATTACTATTCAATCGACGGGACAGCTGCTCAAGAACTTGGAAACCAAAATCGTCCTTCCCGAGCTCTCTCCTTCTCAAGAAAATCCAGGAAAGATTTAAGAGATGGGTAAGACATATTTCCATCTAACTTCAGTATCACTTTGTTTTCTTAGGGGATGCTGGTGAAGCAAAGGACAGGGGCAGGACTGAGTTGGAGTCCCGGATGACAATCGGACACGATATGTCACAGAAAAGAGCAGAAAGTCTCATACTCCGCTTGCTGCTACCGCGATTGTTGACGTACGTATCGGTCGTTGTAAGCCGTATCTGGTCCCTTCGTAATGACGTATCTTCCGCTGTTTGGGCAGTGACGAGTGCGTCGCGTACTAATCTCCAGAAAGCCCATGTTGCAGGGTCGCCTATTCAATCATACTGTTGCCGATGTTTTTGTTAACGACGTATCGTTCTTGTCCTGTTCTTTAATAAACGAACTCGGAGAATAAATTGTCACAATCATTGGTCTTCTCCTCCGTTGCACCAGCATACGGCCCCATGAAAATAATACCGCTACAGTTAGATATAAAGACGCCATACCCACCTCTGAGAGCTTTCTCGGATTTCCTTGGAACGTAGGAAGCACGGGAAAGACTCATTTTGCTCGCAGGAGCTTCATCGCCTGTCCTGGCGATTGAGTGGCAAATGTCTCTTGCATTGTATCCCTTAGATATCCTATAACTATGATGCCGGGATGTAATATTAACTTATATATGTAAGGGAAAAAGTGTGGAAATATGACGCTACGACGGTACAAGATTTTCTAAAGCTCAGGGACTTTCAATGTCATAGTATCTGTGCTGATTTCCGCTACCTGCCCCGGTTACTAGCGGTTACTAGGGATATTTCTTTTTATAAATTTGGACAAGTATAGATTTACGCTAGTAGTATTTATAGCCATATGGTGAAAAAAAAAAAATAACGATCAACAGGCACATGTACCGTATCGTCAGTAGTGACGGCAGCATCAAATTCCATCCCTATTTCGTTGACGATTCTGACCCTCCAAGGTCCCCTCACAGTCCCTTTTATAACACTCACCGTAACTCCAGTCCTCGAACTTCCTTCCACCCTCAAGAGTGCCGCAATGTCACCTTCACAATTCGGGAGCTCAACCTCGATTTCCATTCTTTCCTTCGAGGGCGGATTCACGAGAACAATAAAATCCGAAGCGTAGTCGTAAACAGCGAGCTTCCGACCACCGCTGCTGCGATTTGGTTTTACCATGACAACAGCGCCACCAGGCTTCAGAAGTAGGCTTCCCGGAAGACTCATGAAATCGCGAGTCTCGGTAAAGTATTTGGGCTCGGTGCGGACCTTCCTATCTATTATTTCGTACCAATTACCTTCTGGAACGTAAAACTGCACAGATCCCTCGGCGTTGAAGATGGGAGCAACCATAAGATTAAACCCAAGCATGTACTGCGTATCAACGTTCCAAGCCATCGGATCTTCCAGAAATTCAACGAACATTGGGCGCATCATAGGAACCCCTGTCTGGTGTGTTTTGATCGCCGTGACGAAGAGATAAGGCATCAAGGTCAGTTTGAGGTCGATGGATTTCCTCAAGACGACATCCGCTTCACCGGACTCGTCCAGAAAGCCAGGGAACCTGTACTGCGTATCAGTAAGCCTTTATCTTTATGACAGCGGAAAATTTTTACACGGAAGCTCCCACTTCCATGAAGACGGGAATGGCTTGACAACGCCCCAAAAGCAAATCAGCGTTTGTAAAGAGCTGGATCTAGCTTTCCTCCAAAACCGCCTTGGGCATACGTCAGTAACAGTGTGCGGCGCTGACGCAACACAAATACCGATATCATGAGCCCAATAACCAAATGCGCAAAGTCCCAAGCTCATACCACCTCGCAGAGTCTCAGCCATAGCCTCAAAAGTCGACATCAGGTCACCTCCCCAGTGAACCGGGAAGCGCTGACTTCCAGCCGTTGCTGAATGAGCAAAAACCACGGCTTGACGTTTCCTATTGTACTTCTCGATGACATCAAATGTGACCTTGTTGTACAAAAAGGCGTAGTAGTTGTGCATTTTTTCTGGGTTGGACCCGTCAAAATAGACCGTGTTTCCTGTGGGGATCCGTTCACCGAAATCGGCCTGCACGACGTTAATGCAGGTGAATAGTACACATACAGGAAAAGATAGCACCTTGAAGCAGTCGACACCTATATCCATGAGTCTTTAACATTGACTGGTACCATTCACATGCCCCGGGATTCGTAAAGTCCACCCATGCCATACCAGCCTGCTGCTTTACATATAAATACGACGGAACAGGCGATAAACTCGGAAGGACATACCCAACAACCATCCTGCCACACGTTTCCATCTTGCTTCTTGATAAAGTAACCCTTCTTCACACCTTCATCGAAAATCTTGCTCTCTTGCGCTATGTAAGGATTGATCCAGACACAGATCTTGTACCCCTTTTCCTTGAGCCGAGCCAGCTGGCCTTTGGCATCCGGGAAGAAATCGGTATCGAACTCGTAGTCGCACCAGTGAAATCCTTTCATCCGAAAACAATCAAAATGGAAGACCCCAACTGATATGTCGCGGTCCTCCATCCCTTTCAAGAATTTAGTCACAGTTCCTTCATCATAGTTTGTCGTGAATGATGTCGACAACCATAGATTGAACGTCCACGCAGGAGGAAGGGCAGGACGGCCAGTGATCATGGTGTATCGCTCGATGATGGCCGCAGGTGTAGGCCCGTGAATAACGTGGACGGACAGTCTCTCAAAGGGCCCAGATACATGGACACGTGTAATTCCTGTGAGAAGGTCAACATATGGCTGATGTTCTGTAGACGCAAAACGCACTTTCACTTTGCTCACGGCACCTGGACACGTGACGAATATCCCATATCCCCCAGAGCTGATATAGAAAGGCACGTTCTTATACGTTAACTCAGACGACGTCCCGCTGTCCTCGTTCCACATGTCTACAGTCTGACAGAAGAATCGATGAGTCATAGACGTGCGAATGAGATGAAAGACAACCAACCTGACCATTCTTAATGAAGGATCCAGATCGTTCCCCGAGGCCGTGTATCTTCTCGCCAACAGAAAGCTGGAACTGCATCGTCATCCACTTCTTTCCCTTGTCAGGATCGGCTAGATTGAGATTGGGGTGGTCCAAGTTTGTATCGTACTTGACATATCCCACAGATCGCCAGCCAAGTTGAGTGAGGAGGTAGTTAGATAAGGATGTGATACTCGTCGGATTCTTGACATTATGAGACCTGATGTCAAGGTTAAAATTCCCGGACGTGTATCGAAGACGGCTGAGAGGGTTTTGGTCGCGATCTTGAGCTCTGACTCGGTCTTTGATGTTTCCAGTCCATCTTGCCGATCCGCGGACTAGTTAAATAATTTTTAGACGATCTTGCAAGCATGGCGGTGTACATAAAACCTACGAGCTTGCCAATGTCGACATCAGGGAATACTTCATAGTTTGGTCCAGTTGACGTCAGCTGCTGCGACTTCCAATGACATGCCTCAAGGAAAAAGGTATCGGGGATTGGAGAAGAGCATTCTATGGTAATGGTCGGTGTGTTGAGCGTATCTCCACGATGATTGATAGGTTTCATCGACTGCACGTTCATCGTAAGCGAACGTTCCGCAGAAGTTCCACAGGCTTACCACCACACATCGTATGCGATCTTCGAAGGCCTCGCTCTTGACGACTTCTGTCGCCCAGTTGACGGATATGTGCGGACCAACCGTCCACGTACCGCTGGAGAACTTGACCATGGTAAGCGAATTGGAATGCCTTCGATAACCGAAGCGACTGGGGGAGTTATATGAACAAGGAGAAAGATAACACGGGACTTCAAGGATCACTGATCAAGCGAGAAGATTGATAGTGACACGCATCTCATACTTCGTGCATCACCTGAAGAGGAGCATTGTGCGAGCGTATGCGAACCAACAACTTCGCGCTGATATTATTCTGCGTCACTAATTGTAGATTTTATAGGCAGTATTTTCAAGGCTGCCATGGTCTGAAGCGAGATATAGAAGTCAGTAATGGAGTAATAATATTGAAGAGAACGTTACAATGAGTACATGTGCACAAGCGAAGAGCTAAGAAGGTGTGGTATGCAAGAGAAAGTCCCAATCGATTTGTCGTCATCGATGATGCACATCCATTGGTATCCGATTTATTGTTGTTCGTTGATAACGCCCCAGATAGATGCTTTAAACTAGTCGCAGCACCTGTAGTCAGCCTGTGGTCAAAGTGGCCCGTAGAATGCACACACCAATGTCAATACGAGCCCCATCTTCTTCTCCAGATCCCTCAAGCGCGCCAACAGCTGTTCATCAGGCTCCTTCGATAATCCCTTGGCTTTACTAGCCACCTAAAATCGACCCTTTGTAAGTAGTGGTCTACATACAGGATTTGATACCCACCTGCTTGACGTTCGTAGCCAACTTTGCGTACTCCCATAAGACATCTGCTTCAAGTGGGGTGAGGCTGGGGTGGTCCGCGTATGGATTGCTGAGAAAGATGGGGTCTGAAGGAGGTGGGGGTAGGGTAGTGCTCATGATGGCGATAACACGAATTCAGACTCGAATAAAATATCTGTCCGCGCCGACGCCTAGTGTTACTGTGGCCAAAAGTCGAGAAGGAAGAGCAGTGGCAAGCAATACGCTCCGGGCCGATAGCCTTTTTGTTGTTTACACCCAAGAAACGCAACGTGTCACCGTTCCCAGTGCTGATAGTGGAAGTCATTCTCAGCCTATCAAATACAAGCAAGACTTGAGGAAAACTGTCGACATTATAATTATTCTACTTGCCCCTGGACATTTTCCTCAAGGCCGCACCGCGCATCGGATTCATTTACGCCGCCTAGTTTCTTCTAGTCTTCTAAACAGATTTTGGGGTCCTTCTCTACCTTTCTCGCCTTAACAAGGATTTTCGAAATGTTCTCTAAACGATGCACATTTTTACTTATTAACCACATCTGACGCTCTTGTGCGGCCAAGAGACACGTTTACAGGGCCTCGTGTCAATCATTATCATTGTCATTGAATTGTTGCACAATTAACTGGGAAGAGTAATCTATCAGGGATGAAGCGCCCTTCCAGTCCGTTCATGGCCTTAGTGTCTTCCTCTATCAAATAAATCATTAGTTTTACACCTGATCATGAAACAAGCTTGTGATAGGATTTCACCTAAGTGATCATACTAGTTCTCAAGTAAAGACCTGTCGATTGTTGCTTCCCGACTATGACGCAGAGCTACAGTCATTCCAACTTAGTGAAAGAAAACGCATATGTCCGGGTATCAATTACGATGCCAAGGAATATCATCATTCCAAGGCGGTGCCCAAATACATCCCTTTCCTCCAAGAAGCTGGATCGTGAACCAAGGACCAGGGTTCAGTATTCCGTTCCGTTGGCACGACTCGACAGCCAACATAGTGGATTCTCGAGCCGGTGCTGTGGAATTGACAGCCAACATCAAGCATGTCGGTAAGGGGAACTTGTAGAATCAGTTTCCGTAGAACGGAACGGAAGACCCAACGCGTCATTGGGCTGGTGCCTAGTCAGACAAATCCATGTCACATTCATCGTCAGCGTTTGAAGACGGTAGGGGAAGCGATAAATTATCCAGAAAACGGGAAATACATACAAACGAGTAACAGCAACTCTTGCCAAAACGTACGTAAGGGAAAAGGGGCCGACAACCGGAAAATTCATCCATCTAAATTCAAATTGACTCGGCATTCGCCGTTGTTGGTTTTCATCGATCCACCATCACTGAAACGCGACATTTCTTTACCAGTACGTGCTTTGAACAGAAATCTTTTATATGTCCTTAACATTGAAGCTATGATGCAACAGTTACTTTTCTATCACCAGACAGCTGCATCTGTCCCGTTTTGTGTTCCACCATAGATCATTGTTTCCTGGCAGGCATATACGATCCACTTACCGGCATGATGTCCCTATCCGACATGTCGTTCATCGAAGAGCAAAGATCAGCTCCTATCGACCAACTTTTTGTCAAAATTCTCATTTACATATTTCATCTGTGTATTCTCGACTGCAGTTCTTGCTTCAAGCGTTCTGGTGTTAATGACTACCTGAGGGGCCCATGGAAGCTTGGGCAAATATGCTCGCCATGGGGGCAAATTGTCAACAACACACCGACTTTGTGGACACAGATATCACTTGCCGATCGTGGAGTCGTGAAGGATCCCGTGTCTAGGTTCAAGGTAGCATTGGAGCGCTCTTCCTGCCTTGCCCTGGACCTGGAGTTATCCCTTTGCTACAGGTTTCCTCTCGAGGTGAAGAGGACGGTCTATCAGCTCACTATTGTTCAGTCGTAGCGGTGGGAGCACTTAACCATCACCCCTGATCGCGGAGTTATTCATTTTTTACCCGACATTCCTGGCTGTCAGCCTAACAAACTGTCTCATCTGACAGTCTATTGTCATGAATTATCGACACCTCAATATATCGATGCATTCCAGGACACCCCCGCTTTACATACTGTTGAGCCTCATCGCAACTACGAGGGCACCCAGTTCGAACTGCCATGGAATAATATCATCGCATTCTTCAACGATACGTCTTGGGGGACTTCTCAACACGTACGTCGTGTTATTGATATGATTCAGTGGTGCCCAAACCTACAGACATTTCATATGCAATTGATATGCTCTCCACCCTTGGCACCGGTTAGCCTTACCCCTCCGTTTCGATCAAGTTTGCGCGATCTCACGGCATGTGAAGGCCCCATATTTCGGAGTGTAATCTTGCCCCAATTAGAGAAAATACATGTCGTTTCTAGCGGGGATGAAATTTGTCATGATGACGCTCTCCCAGGTCTTCTGAGCCTCCTCCAACGCTCGCAATGTTCTCTCGTATCACTCGAGCTCACCAATGTCATCTTCACTGACATTATTTTTGACATTCTCCATTGCATCCCACACATCAACACTCTCAAACTTTCCACACGATGCTGGGCCACCGGCTACGATCGCATATTCAAAGCCCTCATTGACCGCTTGGCTTCCCATCCCTCTACTCAGCAAAGCTTTCTTCCTCTCCTCAGGAATCTTCATATCACTATCAATGATGTCCTCATAAAAATGCCCTGTGCTTTTATTGATCATGTTTTCTTTGAATGGTATCTTCTAGATGGAACACTAGGATCTTGTCAGCCGTCACCCTGGATGCAGCGCCGTTCAGACACTGTACGTGCCTTATCAATGCACAGAGAGTACTTGCCACAAACCCATGGCTACTACTTTTATCCACCGAGCAATCCTGCGTCATCTCACCGCATGGGAACCCGCCGTTCTTTGTTGTCTGGTATTGCCATGGCTGGAACGAATTTGCCTTTCCTCCGAGGAACACTAATGATGCGCTTCCCGCTCTCTTGGGCCTTCTTCAGTGCTCAAAATGTAGCCTCACTTCATTGACGCTTAATAGTGCCCTCTTCACCGAGATATTGTTCGATATCCTTAAGCTTACCCCGGCCATTGAACTCTTGCACCTATATACGCGTTGCTGGCGGTCACACTACAATCCAGTCTTCAAGTCCCTCATCGATCACCTGGCGTCCCACTGGCATATGAGCGAGGATTTACCTATGTTCGGTTTCCTTCCCTTCCTCGGTGGTTTCAAGCATCCGCATTAGTGACACCAGAATGGAAGAAGGGACGCGTCAATTTACCGACTACTCTTTTTTTAATATGGTGTCTTTGAGGTGGAAGAGCAAAAGGTTGAAGGCCGTTCACCTGACTGTTCCTGAGACAGGGGAAGACCTCAGCTGGAGTTTAACTTCGGAGCATATTGATGAGCTCCAAAAGTTCAAAAATGATGGATTGAATATACACCTTGCGGTGGAGCGCTATATTCCTGGTCCTAATCCTTGTGACAACATCGCACTTGAGAGATTTGTTTAGATACCCTTGGTTTATGCATCTCACTATGTAGCTGAATAGAGCCGATAACCAAACAGTTTCTGCCTCATGGACTTTGATCACGCACGAGGCCTTCATTTTTGTCTTGACAAGGAAGCTCTCACGCCATGCTACGGAGGAAGAGCAGGAGGCAATGGGGGTGGACTGGATGTAGGTGGCGGTGGCGGCGGAGGATACGAGGATGCTGGGGGATTGATGATACTTTCCCAAAGGGCACGACGCTCATCCGTGTACGTAGAACTGCCTTCAAATTCAACGGGAGGAAAAGCTATCCCCGTATAGATGGGCAAGAGCTCGGACGAGAATTGGGTGTTGGGATACTCAGCCCACCGTCGCGGTAGAGAGGTAGCGCTAGACGAGGATATTGATTCATGGCTAGACTGCATGGAATCCGAATCGTCAAAATTTAAATATTGCGAGCGGTCGCCCAAGATGTCTTCACCCAGTACGACCGAAAGATCTTGCTCATCAGGGCTACTGTCAGAGTATTCGTCCATTATTCTCTGTCTGACCAGAGCTTGGGGGTCTGTGACACCAACCCAGCCTCTGGGATATCCCCAGATTGCGATATTCTCCAACCAGTCGCCCTCCCCGGGGTCAATAGCCTCCCTCAACAGCTGTCCTCTCACTTCTCCCGGTTTGAAAAGCTCCAGCCAGTCTAGTCTCTGCTGACGCCACGCTTCTGTGTGATGCAACCGTCGAAAGTCGGTCAGGGCCGTTGGCTCTTGGAGGAACTCGAACAGCTGGCGCGACATCGCTATCAACTCGCGATCCTTGTGTTTAGGACACGACGAGACGGAATGGTCTGGAGAACCACAGTTGAAACATAGATGTTTATTCGAATTTTGGGGGACGTCGTTGGTTTCCTCGTGTCCCAAGACCTCCAGACTGTGTCGTACGTAGATGCCACTAGGTTCCCATCCATACGGACCCCCCCTCGCGAAAACATCGCTGAAGAACAGGTGCGATGACGGAGTCTGACTCAAGTCTCCGACTCCTCCGTCTTCTGCTTGTCCCAGACTTCCAGAGCCTGATTGACCGTGCTCGAATCCCATCGACCCTTTGCTATCTCTTTTCCATCCAGATGTAACGCCGGGATCCAGTAAACGTATTTGCGCTTCCACTTCTCCTGCCCGGGTTCTTGGATGTTGACAATGTCCAGCTGAAATTGGCGCTGCGATAAGTCAGCAAGGCCTGGTGAACGGTATGATGAGTATTAACTCGTACCAACTGCCTGACTTTCGCCAACTCGGATTTGGCCGTCTGTTATAGATTCCGTTGAGTTCATCATTTACGAACAATGTAATAAACAGCCAACATCACACAGAGAGCAATTGGGACCGGAGAAGAGCGTGAACCGTGGAATGCGAGGGAGTCGACCCGACATGAAGAATTTTGAACTCAGCTAGAGGTGAAAGGTTGGCCCATACTCAGGTCTCAATTTTGTGCAATGCAATGGGCAGATAATATTTTATCCAGTTACAGCTATAGAGAAGTATCTGCAAAGCCTGGATTCTAATTACCACAGCAGCATCTACCTCCGACCTCTTTCATCAGAGTGATCTCTACGGCGATTATTCATAGGCAGCATTTATTCTTCAGGCAGCAAAACCTTTCGTTTGTACTTTCCCTGGTCTCTGAGCCACTGAAAGCAACCATGAGATGAAAGTCATATCAGTAAAAGCCAAAAATCGCTCACTCTTCTGTAGTGATGGAGGGAACCGATGCGTTCACCTAGAGAACAGTGAGCATCATGAAAGACAGCAATTCAGAGGCCGATTACCATAATAATCTGGTACTGGGCTTGTTGGACTCTGAAGAGTGGCGTCTACCCTGTTTTTTGCTATCCGTTGATAAAATTCGCGGTCTCGAGCATCCATGAGGCGCGCGCTACGGCGATAGACAATACGCCACAGTGAGGACCCCAGCGTTGGGCCGACAATGTAACCCAAACCTGAGTAACGTGAGCGACCTTTTGTATATACGAATGGCGGACACCGTACCCATACACGCGGCGGTACAGGCGCCATAGAATATAAAAGGATCTATGCCCTAAGGCTACGTAAGACTCGGGAATGCGACAGGACTTGTATCCATTACATACCCAGATTGGCTTCATAGGATCCGTGTCCAACGATCCAAAGTAAGCTGCCCCACCGAAAAGACCCAGAGCGCAAGAAGGGATGGTCATGGCCTGCATTTCGGTGCTTAGAAGGGTCTTAAAACAGGGAAAAATACCCACCGTCTGCCATTTATGCCTGCTGCCTCGTAGCGCAAGGTACTCCGCCCAATTAAGAGTCTTCGTTTCGCTCAAAGTTGACTGACATCGCAAAAACATTGGCCGGGCTGTCGTTTGGATCCTTGGAGAGGATATCCGCAAAGAGTGGGTGAACATTCGCGTGCACCGGTCCATGTTAGAAACGCGTAGAATGGACTCGGAGCAAACAGGTGGTGGTGGAAGACGGGAAAGGCAATTTTGAACGACGCACGGACCACATGACCTACCAGACAATTCCCACGATTCGAGTCGAGTCAGAATTTGAAGATATCATACTCAGTCCTCCTTATGATAAAGATCCAGCACTTTATATTAGTGTGTTCTTTAGGATTTTAGAAAAAATTGCTTTCACCCGTGAACCGGATATCGGGCCGGAACACTTTCCCAAATTGTTGTCGTGCGTGTCGTCTTTGCATCGCCTCCATCACTGCACTACACCATGATCTCTTAATTCACTCTCTACCTTAGCTTTATACTATACGCACACTTTCTGCTTATCGTATTCCACATAATAGGATATTGACCAAGGTACGTGCGATTTTCTGCAGCTAGAATACACTCCAATTCCTTAACAGATGCCGTGCGCAGCATGCTCTGGTCAGTCCTCAAGCGGGCCAGTTTCTTCTCCCTGGTCTCTCGAAAACTTCTTTCCAACTGGAACGGTGTCATTTTCGCTCACATCTGACATTGCTTGCAACCACATACTTTCCGAGGATGGATGGCATGATTTCCACAGTGATGCTTTGCTGTCCCACCTGCAAGACTCCACCCGAGACGACACTCTCTGTAGGGAAATAGAATTTCTCGTGAAGCACCGATTCATTGCTGCAACATACCGTCAATGTCTTCCGTCATTGCTGATTGTGAGGATCTATATCATCCCATTCGACCTCGCCGGGGTTCAGGGTCAGCTTCGGATTCGAAAACAGCCTGTCCTTAATCATGCTAGGCGCTCGTTACGGCTTCTGCTTAGTGCCATCGAGCAAGGTGTGGAGACGTGGGATGGCAGTGCATCTGGGGGAGTTCCATTGTTTTCAATAGCTTCTGTACGTTCAGTTTTGTTGACTGCAGGGGCTGGTACATTCTCGCGGGCAAAACAATCTTGCATTCCAACCTCTTTTTTGTTTGCATTTTCATGGTTTCGATCTAAGCGGAACAAAACGAGATGAAAAATTGCGCCCATCTCTACACAGGAGGGCACATTCTTCATCTCGTTCTATCGACCGTTCTTTTCGAAGTCATGGAAAGGTTACTTCAACTAAACCTGTTAAAACGCACCAGTCCCTGCCGCGACCTTTTCGGCGGATCAAATGCGTTAATCTTATTCTTAGGACTCCCGTACTCTGGCCGAAATTTATGGAGAGCTTCCATCGCCCTGCGTTTGTGAAAATCCGACAAACAACATGATCAATAGACTTCTCGACACTTCAGATGACCTTCAAGGCCTCGGCATAAGGAGCACGTTGTTTCTGTACCAACGACGCTCAGTGGCGACGATGTTGCAGAAGGAGATATTGATAGAGAAAGACATACCTGACCCCCTTTACGTACGCGTTCTTGCCTTGAACAAGGAGGCTTTCTATCTGCAGCCAGGTACAATGGAAATCTTGCGAGAGAGGCCAATGGTTGCGCCCAGCCGAGGTGGCGTACTGTGCGAGGAGCTTGGTAAGTATGTTCCGCTGTCTACAAAACCCGACTGACTTAAATCTTAGGCACCGGAAAAACTGTGATGACCCTTACCCTCATCATGGCAACCTTGCATCAGTTGTCGGCCCCAGAGGAATCAATCATCGATGCGCGGCCAGTCTTGACTCCACTATCGCTTCGATATTTCCCATCAGGGGAGATGGCAGCGACGCGGAACCGTCTCATGCGCTCTCGTCGTCAAAAATCAAGCAAGATTCCCGCTCTTGGTGTCCCATCTCTCCCTGAATTGTTGTTGCATCAAATGTGCACCAACCCAGATGAGACCGTTTGGGAGCACAGGATTAATCCCGACTCGGAGATGGATAGTGCACTTCAGATTTTCGAACAACACCAGTTTCGGGTCCTCTTCCAGAGCAACATACCATTCTACCATCATTATGATGCGGAACCTACAGACAATGAACGCTTTCATCGGCGTAAAGGTACTGCCGGTCCCCGTACCATGTATCTGACTTCTGCTACCTTGATTGTTGTGCCTTCTAATCTCATCAGCCAATGGGATCGAGAAATACATAAGCATTGCGAGCGTGAGCTCAGAGTCCTCATCCTTCGGTCTCGTTCGAAATTACCGGATGCAAAGACACTGGCGTCGGACTACGATGTGAGCCACTTTTGAGAACTTTTTTTTTCTTTGCTTGACGAGTCCATTCTTTATGTAGATCATTCTTATGACCTACTCTCGTGTGTTCGTCATCGTTTTCTGATAGTACTGAGGTGTTGATCCTAGTTTCTAGGGTTCACCGCGGAGAATCTTGCAAAAGACGTGTCAAAGCTCCACTCCTGGAAAATCTGCAAGTGTGATGAATTCCCAGGAACCCGGATACCAAACTGTAGTTGCGAGATCCCAAACGTCTCCCCATTGTTACAAATTAGATGGAAGCGTCTCGTTATCGATGAAGGGCATGTCTCAGCAACCACGTCCACCACCTTAACGCCATTCACAAAACTCCTGAGCATCGAGCATCGCTGGATCGTAACTGGGACTCCAACAAGGAATCTTTTGGGACTCAGTTTTGGCGCAAAGGCGGATGACATTCAGGAGCAGGATGCCGATGATGAAGGAGATGCAGAATTTTGGGGGCTCTTCAAAGATCAAGAGGGATCTGCGTCTCAATCGCGCGAAGTCACCCCTCCTTCTGTGAAACCAGCTAGGATATGGAACAAGTACGACCGGGAGGACCTCCGGAAACTTGGGAATATGATCACGCATTTTGTTGGTGTGCCTCAGTTCCTGGCTGATCCACAGCTTGTGAGAACGCACGTCACCGAGCCTCTCATGGATCCAGATGGTCCTCGGCCTGGTGCAATTGAAGTATTGACACAAGTGATGAGCATGGTGATGGTACGGCACAGGTAGGTTGTTGTCTTCATCGTTCTTGAGGCGTATTTGACATGTGAATATCTGCAGGGTTGAAGACGTGGAGGCTGATGTTGTTTTGCCTCCCATTTACAAAGAGGCTGTCTTCTTGGACCTAGATCCGTATGCGGTGCGCTCGTACAATGCTTTACAGGCCGCAATCGCAATCAACGCCGTTGACTCTGAGCGACGAGACCAAGTATGACGGTTACTTTCATCGTTTAACCTGCGCTCACATGTATCCCTAGGACTATCTATTTCATCCTGGGGTAGGTCGGTCGTTGTAGACTGTTCCTTTCTTAACTCCAGATTTGCACAGAACTCGGACATGCTTCAAGAGTTGGTTTCAAACATGACACAGTGCGTGGATTCTAGGCTTTGCTTTCGCAGAATTTTTACATCAGAACTCCTCATTATCAAGGATCATGTTCTGGTCTGTTGACGATCATCTGTACAATGCCGACGAGATCATGTCAAGGCCGAAGGTTCACATCGAGACAGCGATTAATCGTAATGCATCCCAAGAAGACGTGGAGTTGATCACTCAGGCGATAGAGCACATGTAAATTCAAGTGTACTTCTCTGTTTCTTTGGGATTCTCACTGTTGTATAAGCCGACTAGCGGGGGAAGATAAGACGTGGAGAAATATCCAAGATCACGTCGAGGTCCCGTATCGACTGTATGATATTCCTGACCGTGTCTTCCACAAATGGACACGAATACCAGGGGTCCAGAGCGAGGACGATAGCCACAGCACCTTTGCTGGTTTTATGCACCCGGATAGACTGGTTACCATGAGGAACACACTCTCTCAGCAGCCTCTCATCACGGAGGAACGTATGCTCGAGCTGGGAACTGCCATCTCCATAAGGGATCATGCCAAGCATCTCTTGTTCGCCGAATCGACAAAGAAAATGGATCTTCGTAAACGCAAGGCCAGTCGACTGCATGAGGACGCCAAGAAAGCCTCATCTCCCGAAAAGCTGAAAGAAATGAAGAAGGAGCTAGATGCAGCACTGTCGCGGCTTGAGCACCTAGAGAAAGAGGATGCTGATCCTTTAGACACAACTACTCGAACTCTTCCTGACGTACCATCAACACTACTCTCTCGCTCGCCCTTTCGACATATCCGGATTAAAGATTCGGCATCAAGTAAACTCAATTATATTATCAATGAGGTAGAACTATTCCAATGACTCCATCTCTGGAGCTAACTTGTTTGTGCCTGGCATAGGTGCTTCGATACGCGCAGAATGAGAAATTCTTGATCTTTTCGGATTCGGCCTTGACGTTGGCTCATGTTGCTGACGCTCTCGATCTTCTACAGGTCAAGTATCTGCGCTTCATGTCGCATGTACCTATACAAGTTCGTGAACAGTTTGTCTTGACGTGAGTTGTAATTTTCTGGCGTGTCCGACATTGACTTATGGAATGTTTGGATAGCTTCGAGACCTCGGAGACGTATCGAGTATTCCTCATGGAGTTAAAGCATGGAGCTCGTGGGCTGTGAGTGTATTTTACCGTATGCTCTAAGCTGAAAGTGCTGACATTTTGGTATGAAGAAACCTTGTATCGGCGTCGCGGGTCATTTTCTGTGAGCCTGTGTGGCAACCGGATGTTGAAAGTCAAGCAATCAAACGTGCTCATCGGATTGGACAGACCAAACACATATCAGGTTCGCACGGGTTTCTTTGGTGGCTAGTCTGTGGCTCAAAGCATTTTAGTCAAGACTTTGGCGATCCGAAATACTGCTGAAGAAAATATGGTTAGCCGACGGAGCGCTCTTCAGGACTGCCAGGATAAACTGCCCAAACTTATTGATGAGAGCGGCATGAGGCATTACATTGCGGTTCGTTAGCTTGTTCTGGCTCGCGGATGATCCTGAGTTTTTTCCCCCTTTCGTATAGAATCCGCGGTTCATTACTGAGCGACCAAAGCATCTACCATCTGTGGAGTTTCCTCTGTTCAATATTCCAACAGAGGACCTGGCAGGGTCAGATATCGATGCCATGGTGGGAATGGATTTACCACAGGATGCAATGACGCCTGCAGCGTCGATACCGACGAAAAGAAAGGCTCGGGCACTCAGTCCGTTACCTGCTGATCCAATTGAAAGAGTTATGCAGAGGGGTGTGTATGTTACCGGTGCACCTCCCCTCCCGAAAAAGAAGAAAGGCGTACGATTCGAAATTAGCTAGTGGTTTTATGTATTTTAGTGTAGAAAACTTCTAATGATCCTTGATGAAAGGCATTTCCAAAGAGGGAAGGTATCGAGAAAATGCTGGCAGTCCATCGAAATTTTGTTACGCGCTTCTGTCCAGTACCGTCAGGATCGTTCTCTCTTCGGTTTTTCTTGTTTACATCTCTCCCTTCTAGACTTGCAATTTCTTGCACGAACGATATCGATGGCCGCTCCTCCCGCTCCTCTTCCGTCTACGACAGCAAACTGGCACTGGAAAAACAAGAACATCACCAAGTGGGGAGAAGATTGGTTTGAACAGGAGCTCATGAGCTTGAGAATAGAAGGTGATAAAGAAGGTGAAGCAGTCTGGATAGCGAAGGTCTTCAGTGTATCTGGCGATGTAGAGCTGGGTCAAAGAAAGTCCAAGTGCGTGTATGCTTTTTCACCGGAGTGGCGCAGTGCTCAATTATGTTGTAAATAGACTTATCACAATCTATGATTGCGAACTTAATCTAGAGTGGGAGGGTACCACCAGCGATGGTACTGAGGTCAAGGGGCGCCTCAACATCCCAGAGGTGTCCCACGAGATTACTATGGACGGCCTCAGCCAATACCAAGTCTGTGCAACTTTCTTATTGTCGTTTCCAGTTACTCATCCGATGTCAATCAATAGTTCTTTTGGACCCTGATATCCGCGGAATCGCCAGAAATCAACGAATTGTATGCGATGGCTAAAGCGCGCTTTCCTAAAGCTCTCGAGGACGTGTTTGCGAAATTCCCGGCGGCCATTTTCGAGACTCATGGGAAGGACTTGACGGTCAGTACTGAGCCGAGTCGTGCGAACACACCTGGACCAGCGGCGGCGGCAACACCACCGACTACCTCTGCGCCTACGCCCGCGCCTGAAGCCGCGCCGAAGCCTGTGAAGAAGGAACCCAAGACGGTCAATACAGCTACGGTCATTGCCGATGGAACTTTCAAAGCCACTGCCGATGATCTCTTTGGTTTGCTTACGGATGAAAAGAGGATTCCGATTTGGACTCGAGCTCCCGCAAAGGTATGCCTATACGCGATTCGTCATTTCCTCTCCTTAACGCGAGAATAGTCTGTAGCCCAACTGGACACAGAGTATAGTCTATTTGGAGGTGGTGTGAAGGGGAAATACGTCTCCCTCACGCCACCGAAAGAGATAGTGCAGTCTTGGGCACTTTCCAGCCCTACGTGGCCATCAGGTGCAGCTGAACATCTTGCTTTTCGTGGAAGTTTGCCTTTTTGAACTCTGTGCTTTTAGACCATACCGCGACCTTGACCACGACACTTGATCAGTCGGATGATTCGACCAAGATTACGTTCACCCTGTCTGGTGTCCCACTCGGCATGGAGGATGAGATCAAGCGGAATATAGAGGGATACTAGTGTGTTCACCATTTTTCAAGCTGAAGCTTTGCTGATATTCCTTATTGCAGCATTCATGGATTCAAATCTATTGGGTATGTTCAATTGATTCCTTACGTCCCCTCATATACTCCAAAACCAAAGCCACGAGACGTCAAAAAGCTCAACGTCGATTCCCGTTCATCTCTCGTTCCCGTTGTCGCTGTTACTGTTTTGATCCTTGCTGCTGCATTCGCTATACCCTTTTTCTCTTCCTCATAATTTATGATATATCTGTCAATGGGATTCTCAACGCCTTATTTCTTTCTAGGTTGGGTACCGTTCTGTGATGAGACCCCGTTTGAAGGGGAAGAATATAGACTTTCTGGAGCTTACCAATGAAGAAGAAATAGAAGATTTGTAGATGTTACCCCGATAGTTTTAAAGGTGCTGTTCCAAGTCCAAACTAGGAATGCTGTTTGAATTTGCAATTTGATCGGAACTCGCGTGGACATAAAGTCTGGAAGTGCCTCATCACGACCAACATCTCTTGCCTGGTACTGGTCACTGCAACACTTCTTGATTCAAGTACTCGCGACGAACATCCATGCACGATGAAGGATACACCGACGAGGATAGCTGGCAGTCAACTGCCGCCCCACTTTCCAAAGATGCCGAATCACTGTTGTCAGGGATGTCGATGAACTCCGTGCAAGAGTGCGAAGGTCCGTCGTCTTGCTGCCACTTTCTGTTTTCTTCTCATGTAATTGCAGAGCTGGCATATCGACTATTGGCGTCTTTGCCGAGGTCTCGTCTCGCCACCATCCAAAGGCGGCTGGCCCCATTATTGCAGTTTGATGTAGTCGGTGTACGTCGTAGTGTGTTCATTCGCCGTGCTCATGCTGATTCTCCTTCAGTCTCTACCCACAGAAGTATCTCTGCAGATATTCTCACATCTATCTGCGGAAGCCCTCTTAGCCTGTGCTTTGGTCTGTCGACGGTGGCAAACATTGGCCAATGACCAGTCTCTATGGAAGAATCTGTGTTTATCCCGTGGATGGCAGTGGCGACAACCACGGAGAACTCGCGCTTTTGATACTTCCAAAGGTTCTGAGGCATGGCAGGACTCTGATGACGAGGGCATGGGCGACTCGGACGAGGAAGCCGATGAAGACGAAGTGGCAGATTCGTTGATGTCAGATGTAGAAACAGCTCGTGTGGAATCATCAGTGATGCATTCAGAGCAGGATTCTGGATTTGCCTCCATGTCTTTCGGTGGTAACGCCCTTCCATTTGAAGTCTCCACGAACGGTAAAAGCGAGAGTGTGTATCCCCGGGCCGGCGAAAGCTCTTCTGCAAAGTCTCGCATCCCCTTTCGCCACTCCGCGCCGCCTGTCCTAAATGCACTTGGGCCGTCCTTGTTTCTAAAAGCCGACTACAAACTCCTCCACCAAACTCACGTTCGGCTTCACAATCGTGTTTTATCCCCGTCCTACCGACTCTCTGCACTGCAAACGCGCGGGGCACCTGCGAATTCTCACACGAACACTATCTACTGTTTACAACTCTACACTTATCCTTCCACCGGCGTCCAAGTTCTGTTTACCGGGTCTCGGGATAAGACTGTTCGAGAATGGAATTTATCAACTGGTTTGGTAGAAAGAGTCATTGGCGAGGTTCATTCGAGTTCTGTGCTCAGTATCTGCGTATATAATGGCCTCCTTGCCAGTGCTGGTAGCGATCGCAGGGTGGTCGTGTGGGATCTGGAGAAGAACGAGCTAGTCAAGGTGATCTCTGACCATGAAGACAGTGTGTTGTGTGTACGCTTCGACGATGAACGGCTAGTTTCCTGTTCCAAAGGTCTGTTCAAGCTTTCAGTCGCCTAGACAGTTCACTGGAATTTTCATAGACCGTTACGTGAGGACTTATAGCTTCCCGGACCTTGAACCAGAATTCAGACTCGGTGCCCATCGAGCTGCAGTTAATGCAGTTTCCATTTCTCAGACACTTATCGTCTCCGGGTCTGGAGATCGGTCCGTACGACTCTGGGATACGAAAACAGGCAGCCTTTTACGGACGTTTGAAAATCACCACACCCGAGGGTATACCCTTTACTGTGGATGTTTAAGCCTAGGCTGATTCTGTGGTAGGATTGCTTCAATCGACTCCAAACTGCCGTATGTATTGTCGGGTTCTTCGGATAAACATCTTCGTCTCTTCGATATCACGACCTTGCAAGGGTGGTCTACGTCGCCTGATGTCTCGTTGGAAGGAAATGCCCCAGCGACTAATACGCCATTGACAACGTCATTTCCTCTACAGAACGGTCAAGTCGGAACTCATGTTTGCAGGAGCTGTGGGAGCACGAATGTTCAGCCAGCGGCGACTTCGTCTCATGCAGAGACAAGATGCATGCATGGTGACTTGGTGAGGAGCGTGGCCTTGGGGGATAACTTTGTAATGAGTGGAAGTTATGACTTGACTATCAAGGTAAGCGACACCTCCACACCTCTCGTGCTCGTTCTCATACCATCTAGGTTTGGGACCGTAAGACCGGTGCCCTGGTGGCTGATCTCAGCGGAGGACATACTGGACGAATATTCTGCATCGGTTTCGACTGCACGAAGGTTTGCTATCTACATCTGTTGCGCACACTTGCATTTGACTTGTCCAACACAGATCGTTTCCTGCGGTGAAGATCAGGTGAGAGACAATCCCTTTTTTTGAGCTTATGCAATTTATTAACAAGTTAATCAGCGTATTTGCATATGGGACTTTTCGCATGGCATAGATACGAGTTTTATACAGCTTTAAATAACGGACGTGAATTTATGTAGGGGTAGGAATATACTGACGCTTGTGTAGACGCTCAGCAACATGGAACCTGACGAGATGTCAATGCGCATCATGTAAATTTTCGAAACATCAGTTGAATCGTCCAAGCCTCACAGATCGATAATGCTAGAAGTGTGGCCAAGGGCTTAACACATAGCGGCAATAGGTATACTGTTGACATTCTGCTACAAAAATACATTCGATGACTTGACTTCTACTAGTACAACCAATTGGCTCCAGGTCCTATGATACACGTTCTTCAATTCTTCTTTTCCTCGGCATCCACGTCCCTCTTCTTGATGGTTACGAAACCCGGTTGACCCGCGGGAGCTGCCTCGATTACGCCAGGAACTTTATGTTTAGTTTCGGGACTGAGTTCTCTCCTCAATTCGCGAGTGAGTTCGAGGTCATGGGACAAGAATCCATGACCGGCGACAGGTCCGTAATACGAAGTTCCGGCAAGTGAACCGATGATGCTGTATGCGAAAGATGGGCTTAGAATCGGGTATCCCATTCAGCCAGATAGTACACACCATGCGCCGACGAGCACAGATAAGTAGAAACGATACTGGGAATACCAAGCCGGCGCTATCATTGCCATCAGATATTATCATTCTAACGGAAATGGGCTTGAACGTACCCCACCCATTGCTTGTGGCCTTCGCGTCGGCCCACCACAAAGCGGTGAAGCCAACCCATTGAGTTGTCAAAGCTGCCATGGGATCGAGCGCAAGACTTGGCCAGGCAACCAACATAGGTGCCGTGCCCAACATAAGGCGAGAATAGCCTTTCTGGCCGCCGTAACCTGCGAATTCCATACCCCAATGTATGGCACCTAGAAATAAAATCTGCATTAGATCTTAAATCTCGGTATAATCGTAAAGATAACTCACCAAGGAATGAGAGCATTACTGCTCCGTAAGTCATTTGTACATTTAGGGCTTGATCGAGGATGGTGAGAGCGACTCCGGGATCTATCTTTGTCGCCACACCGCTAGCTGCGTGTCCTGCCTGTTGAGCCAGATAGACGGTCGTAGCAGAGGCACCAACGTATGGAAGTGTACCTAAGTTAGGTTTTAGTTTGTGCACTAGCGCGTAGCAAATTCATTGTACCAGCAAGCCCAAATACCATAGCAGGCTTAGGCACAGAAGATGCGATAGCGCCGGTAATTCCAAACTGGCGCGTGTTCGTTTTGAGTCCAGACAAACGGATAAAGAACAGGTTCACGTACAAAGGTAGATTTATTGGGTGGAACATCGTCTCGAATTACGTTGGTCCCTGCGATGATTTTGGCTACATCCGAGGCAGCATTTCCGGCTTCTTCCTTTATATTGGTAGCAGTGTGCTCGAAAGTTTGGCTCGCAGGGCGGTTGGATACGCTGCTAGCGACAGTCCGGGACTTGAAAAATATCAAAGGCGAGACTGCAGGCCTTGAGAGAGCATAGTGAGTTAGACGAGGAGCTGCCGTGCGTCGAAGGAGCGTGTTCATTGCAGACTGTGGGAGAAAACGTCCTCATGTCTCACAGTGGTTCTTATAAGAGGAGGGTCGTGGGAATGACGTCAATCCTGGAAGGTTTATGTCAGCGGACTGAAGTTACATTACATTTCACAGTCTAAGTTACAAGATACATATTTACGAATCCCAAAAACTTTAAGTAAGGCCCTGCCTAGATTAAATCTCTATTCCCTTAGAGGGAGAAGCTGCACAAATCGCGTCTTCTTGACCTCAGCTCCAGCATCACCAAAGTACCGAGTCGTCATAAAACTCCAGTGAAGCGAACTGGATGAATAACAATGAGTAAAATCGAGCAGATGCAATAGAACGAAGGCGTACCCCACAATCCAATCCTGAAGCCCTTGGATGTACTTCTGAACGACGTCGTCAATCTCGGGACCCCACGAAGGCACATGCTTCCTGCCTTCAATGAAGGCGTCGATGGTCTCCCGGCAACGATCTCCAACGTAGTCGACCGCTTCTTGGAGAGTCTTTCCATGATAAAGCATCATGATGACAATCATATTATGGGTGTCTCCCCGGGATTGCTCGACATTGTAAGAGAAAATGTCCTGAGTATATTATGAGGCAAGGAAATCGAAGGTGGATGAAAGACTGCTTACATTGGACCAAGTGACAAGATCGTTCGTGTGCTGGTTCAGCGCCTGAATGACTTCGTTTTCTGCAACCTCGTCGGGGAGATCGATGCCAAGGGCATATCTAAGGAACAATTAATGTACGGACTAGAAGATGGCTAGGCTGTAAACTCACTCTATTAACGCCCAGCATGGCTTGCAGCCTATACCATTATATTAGCAAATGTTGTTGAAATGGAGCAGTAGAAACTTACCAGACGTGTCCCTTCTAACATCGATGTAAGACTCAAGGTCAGGAATGACGCCTCGATCACGATCGCGGGCTTGGATGTTGACAGCCTCAAAGAACAACTCGAGAGTCTCCTTGAACCGGGCTTGCGCACCAGGCGCGGCATCGGGAATGCAGCGCGCCCAAAAGCTACCGGACAAACGAAAATCAGTCCGTGAAATCATCGGAGCACATGCAGACAAACTTACTCCCTGGCAAGTTTACCCGCGTTCATCTCTTCTTCCGGCTGAGTATGATCGCTTCTAACTGTGGGTTTGTAAAAGCCGCTGAACCAGAGCGCATTCATAACGCAATCGGCGAGAACGTCAGTCTCTTTGGTCATCATGCCGTCACTGATGTTGTCCCTAGCCATGATATGTTAGCATCATGGGGAAGAAAAAATTATCAAAGTTAGGCTCACAAGTGGAAGAGGTAGTTCATGAAATCAGAGACCACTCTCAGGCGCGCGTCCGAAGAGGTATTGTAGCAGTAAGCTGTCAGTTCTCCGGCTTGAAGTCCATAGAGAGCCGCTCGCTGCTTCGTATTCAAGTCCGGGCAGTTGATGTCGAGCCACTTAACTGACTGAGCGGCAATGGCGTCTCCGTTGGGGTGGTATATGAGGGGGAAGGTACAATGAGAGACGAGATCAGGGAGAATGAAAGAAGTAGGGCGCGCGGTCTCGGTGAGAGTTTCGATGGTCATGGTATACGACGAGTGGGGAGATAGCTGAGTACTGCAAACCGCTGGTCTATTTATGAGAGCCGACGCTCTCTCCTATGTCCCGCAGAATTTAGCCCGGAAAAGGAGGACAAAACAAAAAAAGTGAAAACATTCAAGACGAAGATCCAAATACAACCAATGACCGATTTTTCGAGACAAGACGAAGGCTTTGTTAGATCCAGAATAGGAGACGCATCGGCTCATAGAGTAACTAGATATTACGAGTAACCGATACCAAGAACAATAGGATGCTAGCCTCGTTTCAAACACAGAAAGAAAAAGAGGGTTCCTGGATTAGACTGAGATTCAAGGCAGATCTTGAACTTTTTAACGCGTATATCCATTTGATTTTGGTTTTTCCGAGCTTAAAATGGAGGAGGCAGCAGACCACTGCTCTAAGATTAATGAAGAGGTCGACGCCGCAGTGTTAGCGGCATCGTGTCACTGATTTTTTGATAGGTCAGTCGATCAAAACGGGATTTGGGTCAGGAAAAAGCGATTCCCATCAGCAAAAAGTATACTATACTAGAATTACCATCGAAATCACGAAGTCCGAATCTATGGATGCAGTGCATCGCGTTTGTCTCGGATTGACCATTGTGGGGAAAATTAAGCAACAACATTGAGACAGCACGTGGAAAATTTACTCCGATCGGAAATGACGTCACCTGAGGTCCGCCGGCTATCACTTGGTTGCCTCTTCGAGCTTTCTGCTAAGTTTCAGCAATAAAATAGGATGCTAGAGATACAATGCTTGGTATATTACATTCTACAACTCATTGTCAGGGCGCTCCCATCCTGATTCTTGTGGACCTGAAGACTCATATAGCTTGGCAGTAATGGCATTTACAGTACTTTGAATCTCTGTGCATACTCAGGTCAATTTGAAGTGGAACGAAACAAGATCTTTCGCCACTCACCAGCTAATTTTTCCTCCAATTCCTCTGTCGTAGCACTGGATCCGCTATCCTCGATCCAATCTATAGTCTTATGAATTACCTCCGAAACAGTTTTCTTGTCAGAATCGTCGAGCTTTCCACCAAGTCCCTCTTCCTCGTGCAGTTGACCTTTGAGTCGGTATACGAAGGACGACAAGGCGTTCAATGCTTCAATCTGCTCCTTTTGACGTTTATCCTGTTTGGGGTAGGTTAGCAAAAAAACAATCTCAAATGTCGATCTGACTCAACCTGTTCGGCAAATCTCTCGCCCTCAACAACCATCTTGTCGATCTCCTCCTGACTAAGACGACCCTTTTCGTTCTCGATAGTGATGCTCTCCGTTTTCCCGCTATCACATCTAATAAGTGGACGTTCCTGACTGAGAAAACAAGAAAAAAAAACGCACGTTCCCTTATCAGCAGCAGAAACTTTCATGATTCCATTGGCATCTACTTCAAAGGTTACTTCAATCTGAGGAACACCTCGCGGAGCCGGCGGTATGCCTGTCAATTCAAATTTTCCCAAGAGGTCATTGTCCTGCGTCATCCCCCTCTCTCCCTCGAATACTTGAATAAAGACTCTGGACTGGTTATCAGCCGCGGTAGAGAAACTACAAGAAACAAAAGTCAGTAAAATGTTCCACCGCACAATCGAATACATGCATTTGACTTTTGCGTGTGGGGATAATGGCGTTACGAGGAATGAGTTTTGTCATTACGCCGCCGGTTGTTTCGATACCCAAGGTCAGAGGACAGACGTCTACGACGATAGCTCCTTTTTCAATACCGGAAAGGATACCTCCTTGTATAGCAGCACCGTAAGCGACAGCCTCGTCAGGATTGATACCCTTCGACGGCTCTTTCCCGAAATAATCCTTGAGCATTTGCTGAATTTTGGGAATGCGTGTGGATCCGCCAACAAGGACGATCTGAGTAACGCACCATCAGGCAAGGAGCAGACTGAGGAACCGACATAACATACTTCGTCGATATCATCTTTTGAGATATCCGCGTCCTTCAAAACCTGTTCAACAGGTTTCATGGTCTTCCTGAAAAGACTCATATTGAGCTCTTCGAACTTTGCCCTCGTCAGCATCTCTGAAAAATCGTTCCCATTCTCGAAGCTCTCAATCTCGATCCTGGTGCTTTTCTGCATAGACAGCGTGCGCTTGGCGTCCTCTACCACCTTCTTGAGCTTTCCCATCGCTTTCTGGTTCGTTGAGACGTCAGTTCCCGTATTCTGCTTGTACTTCTTCACCAAGTGGTCGATGACGCGATTGTCAAAGTCTTCACCTCCGAGGTGAGTATCTCCGGCGGTGGCGAGAACCTCGAAAACACCATCCTCGATAGAGAGTAGGGATACGTCGAAGGTTCCTCCGCCGAGATCATAGACGATGATCTTGGATTCAGCACCTTTCTTGTTGAGGCCGTAGGCGAGGGCAGCAGCGGTAGGTTCGCTCATGACGCGAAGGACGTTGAGTCCGGCGATCGTTCCCGCATCTTTCGTGGCTTGGCGCTGGGCGTCATTGAAGTCTGGCGTCAAAGGATAAGCAACTGCATAACCATGAAAAAAAGACGACTTACACGCAGGAACAGTGACTACGGCGTGCGAGACCTTTTCCCCCAGATATGATTCAGCTATCTCCTTCATCCTGGAAAGTACCATGGCGCTGATTTCTTCCGGGTACTACACGTTCAAATCAGCGTTATAAGAGGCTCATGAGAGCTTGAAAACCCGTACAAAGTCGCGCGTCTCGCCGTTACATTGCACAGAAATCGTCGGCTTTCCGTTCTTCTCCTGAACTTTGAAAGGCCAGTGCTTGATGTCCTTCTGTACATCTGGATCGTCGACCCTACGACCTATCAAACGCTTGGCGTCGAAGACCGTATTGTGCGGATTGGAATGAAATGCGTGTTTGGCGCTTTCCCCGATTCTAAGAAAAGAGGGATTTGATACTATCCTTGAGCACCTAACTGAGGAAGTTGACTTACAATCTCTCATCATCCTTGAAGCTGACCCAAGACGGTGTGATACGATGACCTTGATCGTTTGCGATAATTTCAACACGGTCGCCTCGCTGTACCCTATGATAGCATTGTCAAAAATATGTAACAGCGAGATAAGTGAAAATTCTTACCCAACACAGGAATATGTAGTTCCCAGGTCTGTAAGGACCAGCGGTTAAAACGATCCACAGAGTGATACGAGGGTACATACCGATACCAATGACAGGACCATCGATTTTATTATTGTCATCAGAGCCCGCCTTTACAGAGGTCGGACATAGACATATGATCGCGAGTAAAGCGAAGAATACGATAGACAGAGAAGAATACGCGGTTATTCGCCTTCGAGCGCGCCTTCGATTTTGACGTCGTCGTATTTGAGCGTGAAATGACATTATGGGGATAAATATATTTTATCCAGCAGCACAAACTTGTCATTTATACTCGCCATGACGTGTCCTCTCTAAAGTGAACACGTTTGCCCAGGACATGCGGTAGCGACAAGCGACGTGTCAAGACTCGTGGCTGTTCTATTCAATTGGTCTTTCGCGCCATTATCATTTTTATCAATGATAACAATCAGATACACTACACTTACCGTAACATTCTGGAGCATCCACCAAGTCAGGAAGGACCATCTACGCGACGACGGCTGATAGAAATGACCACTGGTTTCTTCATACTCCGGACCGCTCAACGACATCGTCAGAAGTCACCGGCACAGTGGTGGCTTGTAAACCATCGGGTTGCTGAATCCAGAACATGAAGAAATTGATCTTCTGCCATTAAAGGCGACATTTTCTATTCTTGTTAACGAATTTCCACTCTTGGCAGGGATCATGCAGCAGGTTGAAGAGATATACGTAGAGCAAAGGCCGACAATCATAATTTAGTGGTCGCTGAATTTTTAGAGTTGCAAGGGAGCTGCTCAGCGCTGAAAGCAGAGGGGAGATAGCTGGAGCGATGTTGGGGAAGCGTCAAGCTGAGAGAACACTCGATGTTGGACGCGATTTTGTAGAAGCACCAAGGAATTGGATTAGTGTCCGGTAGCGGAGCCGCAGGTGTATCTAGAAGGTTCGGTAAGCGCTTCAGTGGGCAATCACGAAGGATATTCAAGATTTTCAGAAGAAGCGTATCTGAAGCGAGTGGGATGCAGGACGCGTCATCAGATAAAAATCAGTCTAGCTCCACATATCTCGAATATATGTTCAAGATGGATGAATTACTAACTAGTGTCGCAGGTACCGTAACGGCATGAATAATAAACTTGGTGGCAAGTTAACTTTTTCCCACGAGTCAGTATTTACTTCTGATTGATATAATTAAGTATCCTTTTTCGGAGTTCAGTGGGGAACAAGGAACTTGACAACGGATTTCGGCCTATTTTTGCTGGACCGAATATCAACTTCATTTACAGCCTCAGCTTGAAACTTCGAAGATCAATCGGATGGGAGTCAGTCAACATGGTCTTTTTCTTGATGCGAATAATATTTGCGTTCAACCGTTTCTCCGAATCCAATCAATCTTGGCGCCGATGATGCGCTCTTTTGTTTTGGCAGTGGAGCCACACTGAAGTTCCTAGCGATTGCGCCTTCCTCGGTCTCGATTTCGTCCCGGGGACTGAATTTTACTCTGAGTGATATTTCATGACTCGGGATTTGGAAGTTGTGATTTTTTATCTGGGGAGGACGCTCGGTCTTCAACTGCTCCTGAGAATGGAGTATCGTAAACGTATGAATGTCCGACAGTCGCAGGCTGTACACTACATGTGGAGTTCATGGATGCATTTGCTTTAAGTTATTATATTGATACGCTGCGGACCGTTCTGGTTGTAAGCCCAGGACTTTCAGGCAGAAAATAGAACGAAGGATGGCAGCTTAGACCTATTTAAGGACTGCAGAATATTTTCTCGCTTCATCGTCTGCAACTTACGAAGAACGTTCGCGGTATCGCCGGGGCGATGTCGTACGACTGCCAGTGTAACGGTACACGAAGAATCGTCACTCTTGACAATGAATATCTTGACCCGAATTGACCGAGAATGGTTCCTGTGGTCAGTAGCTTCTTGGCAGCTTCTTGATGAAGTTGCATATGCTTTTCATATTGGACGATACTAGGGCGCACCCTTATTGCGCCAGTCCAAATTCAATGGAACCGTCCGTCCTGCGTGCTGTTCCATTGAGATAGTCGACGCGTGAAGAGCCGATAAACCGCATTCCGGTACAACGGTACTCACCATGAAGAAGATATTCTTCGGGAGAAATGACTGTCGACTGCGTGTGATGGTAGCACGACGGGTGCATTGATTGCATTGATTGACGTTGATTGCCAAATGAGAACAGGGCGGACGTGACGCGTGACCATTGACAGTTATTCTCGGCAATTCCATGTTGCTATTCAACGCCACCCGACGACCTTCCTCTGTTTGAGGGGTTCGCATAATTTCTGTTTTATAACTTTCATTTCCTTCATTTCTTCATTTTCTTCTCCTGGCGTTGTTTCCTACTCAGATCCGACACTCTCCTTTACGATGCCCTCCAGTTCTGATCACCTTCCCGCTGAGCGGGTTCGTCATCGAAAATGGGCACAGCTACCACAGATTTCAGTACGAGACGAGCAAGAGGGAAATGCCACCAGCACTGTTCCAATCACAACTATTACCATAACCAAGTCGTTGTCCTCTGCAGCATCCAGTGATGTATCTCTAACGACAATGACAACGACAGCCACGAGCAGATCCTCATCGTCCACCTCTTTGCTGTCTTCCACTTCACTGCCTTCCTCTTCTTCCTTCGGCTCATCAATGGCGGAATCAACCTCAGTGGGGTCGTCCTCATCAGAGTCGTCGACAACCTCGATACCCCCGTTGCCATCAGTGTCAGTCATTGCTTCCACATCCGCTTCTGCATCCGACGTACAGCAAAATGGCGCGGTGTCTAAGCAGACCCTGCCAGCGGGCGCCATTGTTGGCATTGTCATTGCCGTTATTCTGGTACTTGTCGTAGTCGCTCTCGTTCTACTGCGGAACCGCTTTATGCAGCGCCGACGCTCTCGCGTGTCAACGTGGATTAGTCGGCCGCGACTCGCCAACTTTGAACCGGTTTCCGGCACGTCCAACGATGCCCCCCCGTCACCGGCCATGCAATTCAACCAGTCGACTGTGGTCACTCCTCTGACTATACCCAGCGCATCGTGGAATAATACTGCAAGCACTGGTATTGGCCAAGGGACAGTTCCCTCGTCCAGCTCTGCAATTGTCACGTCCAGGTTCATTCCTTCATTACCTGACGAACTGCCTATTACAAATGGCGAGACCATCCAAATCATACAAGAATTTGACGATGGGTGGGCTTTGTGCGTCAATGGCAGAGAAGAGCAAGGCATGGTGCCTCTAGAATGTTTGGAGCGTGTGACATCGTCTTCCGGCCTTCCTGCCACCACGTCGGATTTGAGGAAATCGGCCAGGGAGAGTTCGTTGTACGGCTTAAACACTGTTAGGCACTAGGTGAGTTCTATGTTACCTTGTCGTCTTTGCATACAACTGCATACAACTTAGTATCAGCGACATTTTCGGGCCGTCTTTCAGATTCATTCCTTTACATCCTATTTCTATTCGTATCGGCCATATCTTGGACTGGTGTATTGGGCCCTTTATATTTTTCAATGACTGGTTCATGCATTTTCTTATTTTTTACTCATTATTTTACTCCCGCAGCTAGGCGGCCTTGTACATACTACTAGTATTCAGTGTTGTGTCCTGTAATCTGTACTTCTGTACACTTCACTCCTGTTGATTAGCAGAATCTCTGCAAGGGAGGTAGAACTCCTGTGACCGTCGTCTACAAATGAAATGGTGATAGTCTACAAATAAAATGGTGATAGTCGGCAAAAAACAATGGAGAACACTACGCGTCTATAGTGCGCCAACGAGTTTGAAATTCGAATTGTGGCGATCGTTGTTTGTGTGTGTTGTTCCAAAGCCAGATTTGCCCTGCGCGGGTCGTGCGTTTCTTCGTCGTTGACCCTACCCACCACTTTTTTCTCTGTCCCGCAGCTCGCTGAATAATGGCTACTGAGGAAATACGCGCCGACTCCTACGTTGGTTTTGACTCCATCACCCAACAAATTGAACACAAGTTGCTCAAAAGAGGCTTCCAATTTAATGTAATCGTTGTCGGTGCGTATTTTGTTTTCTTTAACTTCTTCGATGCTATCAGCACGACTGTAATGCGTTGTCAAGCAGCTGAAAGACATTTCTGGTGACTAAATTGCCATATTACAGGACAAACTGGACTGGGAAAGTCTACGCTCATAAACACCATTTTTGCGTCGCATTTGATTGACTCGAAAGGACGGTTCCAAGCCGATGAACCTGTCAGGCAGACCACAGAGATCCAAGCTGTTTCTCATGGTGCGTTGGCGTTCGGCTCGTTTATATGCGATTAAAGTCCGTGTCTGGCACGCATACTGACGCCTTTACGTCCGGCCTAGTCATCGTGGAAAATGGCGTCAAACTTCGCTTGAACATCGTCGACACTCCGGGGTATGGCGACCAGATTAACAACGAAAACTGGTGCGTGATCGTGCTCGCTCCTCTCTTAGCACGTAACTCATGCTTATATGCCATTGCAGTTGGGATCCTATCATCAAATACATCAAGGACCAGCACAGCGCTTACCTCCGCAAGGAGCTCACTGCTATGCGAGACCGATATATCCAGGACACGCGAATTCACTGCTGCCTTTACTTCATCAACCCAACTGGCCATGCCCTCCGCCCAATCGACGTTATTGTTATGAAGAAGCTCAGTGAAGTTGTCAACGTTGTCCCCGTTATTGCCAAATCGGACAGCTTGACTGCGGAAGAGCGGGACATCTTCAAAATGAAGGTTAGATTATATCCTCTTTCCAGAAGGCCGTCATCTTACGAGGAGACCATAAATAGATCCGGGAGGAGCTGGTGTATCATAACATCCGGCTGTATCCTTTCGACACAGATGAGGATGATGATGAAGAGGTTCAATTGAATGAGACGATTCGAGTATGTCTATCCTTTCTTCTCCTAGACTCCCGGCCCAACTCGTTGCTAGGACATCATTCCGTTCGCCATCGTAGGTTCAGAAAACACCGTAATCATCGAAGGAAAGTCTGTTCGCGGTCGCAAGAACAGATGGGGTGTTGTCAACGTTGAAGACCCTAACCATTGCGAGTTTGTGAACTTGCGCAATTTCCTTACAAGGTGCGGCGGTCCGTTTTGGATTTACGTCAATAATTGCTGAACGATACCCCAAATAGGACTCACTTGCAAGACTTGATTGAGACAACTGCTCAAATCCACTACGAGGCGTTCCGTTCAAAACAGTTGTTGGCATTGAAGGAGGGTGTGAACCAGCGCCCGCCTGCTGATCGTTAAGCTCATCTGACGGTGAGCCGAACCATGCCTACATTCTACCTTGTCTTATCACTGTTGTTTACGTTAGTAGAGAATTGATGATACCCTCGCCTTTCGCTTGCTATCTGGATGGAGGCGCGAACGTCGAATATTCCTTCAGTTTTTGACTCTGATTATCTTCTCTGCTCCTTACTTTTGTTTTACTGTTCTGGTCGACTTTATCTCGCACACACTCTTTCTTCGGACTACTACGGGTATTCTATATTGCAATGCAAGACATACCCCGCACATGATGATTGAGTTTATGCCTGCTGGATGTAAAAACCTCACGTCCAATACTTGTACCCGAAGTAGAGCCAATCGCTCAGGCCTCGATGTTATCGCAAGGTAATGTCATTGGGCAGTCTTCGTTGACAACGTTGATGCACTAGTGCCTCGTAATGTGACAACTGGGTTAGAAATCTTTTACGATTTTTCTGATCAAGAGAAGGGATCAGCGGAAGGCACATGAAAAAAGAGTCGGCCGAGCAAGTGACATCGTAAATGAAGTCTGCACTGTGACTGTGGCTTTTACCGGCTTTCTTTCGTTCGATATCTCCTCATCTCTCTGCACCACCGCTAGGGATTGGAAATACTTTGTATCTGCGTGAGTGTCGAACTTTCGCCGTGCAATAAGCTAAAGTATAAATATTTCCTAGGAAAATGGGACACCTAGACCCTCGTGTTGAAAGCGTTGGCACCATCGGTTCAGGCGCTGCAGGGCTGATCACTGCGCACATTTTAATACAGGATGGATTCTCTGATGTCCAGATCATTACTAGGGACCGCACTCCATGCGGTGTTTGGAGTGATGAAAGAGTCTATCCAGGGTTGACACTCAACAAGTATGCAAGAACTCGTGGCTGATTACATGGCTAATAACGTCCACGGAGAGTTCAGGTTCTCCAGCATGCCAATGCCGCCTCCCTCTTCCAAAAACGGTGACCAACTAGGCGGCGAAGACATGCGACAATATATGTAGAGATTTAATGATAAATTCTTAACAGGAAAAATCAGATACGAGACCAATGTTCTAAACATAGAGCGAACGGAGGAGCACAGTCCGTAACGTAAAGGCCGCGGACTGCGAGATCCTCAGATTTTCTCGGATTGTTTTATGTACAGGAGTGAGTGTTTGTTTTTTTTTCCCGATACCGAATCTCTCAAGTCACTTGTTTTTTCTAGGGCTGCAGTGCACTGAAAACGCCTGCCTACTTGTCGCAGGAAGCTGCGAACAAAGTCGGTTTCCAGGGACTGTGGTGCATTCAATTGATTTCGGCCAGCATTTGGATGAAATACTTGCTGCTGTACCTTCGGGCGGATCCGGTGATTCTAGTCCAACAATTGTTGTCGTCGGAGGTGGAAAATCAGTGCAAGAGTTTGTGACACACTTAGGATGCCTTCGAGGATATACTGACAAGCGTCATTAGCGTTTCCTCGTATCTAAGTTATCGTCGTCTTTGAGACCGCTGTATGAACTGAGCTTGAGGGTCACCTTGTAGTTCCCTGGCGATTCTTTCTCCCCATATCGAACTACGGACGAAATTGGAGTATGCAGTAATCATTAAAAGGGTCTCCTGCGTCTGATCTTCAAATCAATAGGCGTTTTCTCCACGGGACGTGGGTTGGTAGCAAGATCGTCCATGCCGCCTGGAATTTCTTGCAGCAGGATTCTGTTTGTATATTTCATGATTATTTGTTCATAAACTTGAGTAATCCTCATATTGTCCTTTGTAGTATACTGCCTTCGAGGTGCCTGCTAATTCTTCGTTGCGACGAGCGCATTCCCCATTCTGGAGTGTGCGATTGAATAGCGAAGGGGTCAAGCGTGACAACAGCTTCTTCTCTCTCGTTCATTAATAGCGAGAAGATTAGTCTTGTTGCACCGGCTCGCGTTACAGGATTTGGTCTTGATGCCTCACTTGCTAATCCACCCTCTGCGCATCCAGAAAATGAGCAATGGGCCTCTTCTATCTACCGGGGCATTGTCCCAGCCAAGAATATATTGCGCGGGGGCTTCGCAATAAACGGGGCTTCTGTGCGTAGGTCTGTTTGCATTCAATATGCTTTTATTAACGGGATCTCCTAGTTCACTACGAACAACGGGTATGCCTTTTTGGCGTGGGTTCTTTGGTTGTGTTCTCGTCAACCCAACTTCCCACCAGTTGAACCTTTAGGTGGCCGCAGTAAGTTGATGAACCACTGGAAGATATGGGTCTCAAGGGTATGCGAAGCGGCGGAAACTGGCTGACATGGGCATTCAAGGTGATTGATGTGGATGAGATCAAGACACTTAAGGAAGAACGGGATGCACAGAGGAACAAAGTAAAAGGTTGATGCTTTCGCTTTCACCGTACCAATGTATCAATGTGAATTCGAGAAATGCCTTTCCTCTACCGTGTCATCTCCCTCCTGCCATCTCCCCATGTCTTCCCACAGCTCCTTTCTCACGTAGGCCTGGCTGACCACTTTAAACGTGATTCCGTCCTCCTTCAACACTCTGAGCGCTTCCAATACCCAATCCTGGCAATCCCAGTTCAGATTGAGCCTGATCACAGGGACATCTCTCTTCAGGCGCTCATCTAGTCGATCGATAGACGTAGATGGTACTTCGCCAACGTGACAACCTCCTCGATATGTCGGTATGGATCCAATCGGGACCGATACAGTATCGTGCACATAGGTGAACGTATCTGAGTTACCGCGCAGTTCGAAAGTATGTGATAAGTTGGGTGACACGAGAACTGCAAGGTTCCAGTGCTCGGTACGTCGATGATGACCTGTGATCTCGTACTGGGCTACGATAAGCGGGTAGGTCTGGCCTAGATTCATCGCAGCACTGGCCAAACCGGTGCTCGGGGCTGAGAAGACAGGAAGTAATACTGACTTCTAACTCCGACGTACTCATCAGATAAAGTACTGTTTGAACAAATTACAGAAAACTATACAAAGGAAGGCTGCAGTGCTTGATTTGTCCCAGAATCAGTCCTTTACTTACTCAGATTTGAGCCAATTGCCAGATTGACACAAGACCTTAACAGCTAAATTGAGAACTGACCACACGCATAAAAAGGGAGACTTACTGTCGCGGCCACTATCTCTTTGAGTAGATTATCAAGACAGAGAAGACCGCTTAGAGATGACAGACCATTGGTACGCTAAGCACACCCGCAAGCAAAAGCCCGACTACACCAACGATTTGAGTCAAGGGCTCTGATAGAAAGGCAGGAAGATTTTGGCAAAAATTCCTAGGTTGAAAGGCGCACTTACGGCCTAAAGCGTAAAGCATCAAGAAGGGGACCAAGATACTTTTCGCTTTAGCGAAGGAATCGAGCTTATTATTCTTCAACCACTCAATCGCGCTACCCACTTCTTCCACGAGCTAAGAATGAATATGAGGTGCTGAGTTGAAGGTAACATGTAAAAAGGTACAACAAGTTTGATCGGCTGAAAGTTTCGCAATCCAGCGTCGGTAACAGCCGGTCAGAGTGCTTCCTCCGATACCCTTATGTCCGTTGGCATTCCACAGAATTGTTGATCAGGAAGAAAAACGACCGTGACAATCTGCATCTTTTTCTGTTCATAATATATTTTCATCCCAGCACATTTCTCTTGCCCCTTATGCTACTAAATCCACCCCCGACCGCTACAAATCATTCTCGGTCCTCATGATTCATCGCTCGTATCGGTCCAGTCCTAAGGCTCTGCAACGTGTGGAAGACTTTAGGACCTTCCTCCATACTCGTGTCTTCGTTAACGTATATCCAATTGAACTCTGTGGGGTCGTTCTTGATTGTGCTCACGAGTCCCAATAATTTGGCATTCCATGGGTATTCAGCACAGAATTATATCCTTCTGCGAATTTCCTCCGCAAGGGGTCTGGGATCATCGAGATAAAGCTGCGGAATGTTATTTAAACAGATATAGAAAAGGAACATATATTCTCACACCTTTCCGTTCCGCAAGACTAATTGCTTGTCTTCTATCTCTTCCCTGAATAGAGAATCTTTCTTGTCACCACAGTGCGCCATGAGTGTGAACTTCGCTAATCGGGGGTCATTTGCGTTAGCGCCGGATGAGACTTCTTGCGATCCGCTGTTCTGTTGCTGGGCCCCAACACCCTACGAAAGGCCAGCCACGGAAATGGCTGCTGATACCGCGAAAAGAGGTATCGCAATACTGCCAGCGACAACACCGACCCACCCGAAACCATGACTCACTAGAGGAAATTGGGTGATTTTGAAGATGAATAAAAGGTGTACTAGCCAATGATGTAACTGACAGGACAACTGCCCTGGTCGGCGCCTATGTATGATACAGTCGAGTTCCGTGGCTTAATCTTCTAAAATAGCATTTAATTACGGAGGCTATACGTTAAAGTTCAGGAGTTCATATCCAAAAGAACCTTTTAAGGAGGAGAGGATACACTTTAGGCTTAAGAAAATCTGGCAGAACAATCATCCTCTTTGAAAACCCTCGACCAGGAACCAGCTCTTCGAAGGGCTTTTCATAGCATTATCAGTACAGGTACTACTCCCACCTCAACGTGCATATTTCTGTAATTCTCAGGAAGGCACCAAACGCAACTAAATACCAGAATAACACCTTACCAAAAAATAGTCAGCCGCAGATCGTGTGGGTAGTCCAGTGGGTGTACATGCACTGTAGACTTTGATTCGAGAATCTCGACGAGATCAAAAAGCGCCTAGTTTAGCGTTGTTGTCAGCACGACGCCCAAGTGCCAGGGCGCTCGATGCGAGTATTAAAAGATAACTAATAAGTAGTAAAGCTAGAACAGAATATATAGTTTAAACTCACTCAAGCATTATGTCACCAGAATCAACCAGTCGATCTCTCCTTTTCGCGCTTATCTAGAAACGAACTAGGTCGGCCAAACCGCGAGTGGGGGGGGCAAAATTTTACTGGAGGCGAGAGGTGAAGTGAGGGGACCAAATATGATTCCCAGTGATTGGTTTTGTAGCCAGTAACAAGAAACATAGGTTATTAGGTCGATTAGTTCGTTCGCCTGCTGGGATGTCCGAACGTGCATAATGGTACTCATGTACGAATCAGATTCGCAGAGTTTTGAGCTTTCAGACAGTGTAATTATAGCTCCATAGCATTTATTTTCACAATCAGATAAGGGTTACCTGTTAGCTGTTGAACACGAAGACAATGCAACGAAAAAGACACATTCAACCAGGTGCAGCAGAGCTACGATAGAATAGTCGCCAAGCATAAGTCGGTAATATATTCAATCGTGACACGACGTGTCAGAAAAACCTTCCTTCAGGTCCAAGTGAGGTTTCTTGATAAGTGATTCAGTTAGAGGAGAAAACGGAAAGAAAAGTAAAAAGACTTTCAAAAAGGCGGCAGCAACAGCTCGTCGGCATGCCGCCGGCAAGCTGTGCCGACAAACGGTCATCAACTTATATCAGCAGTCGTCGATCATCCGTTTTTTGGGCTCGCGTTCTCATTACTATCACCATTTCTACGATGTCAATTGACCTCGAATGGGACAAACTGGATTCTTCTCTGTCAACGAAACTGGTCGAGATCCTTAACAGACAGCTAACCTCAACCTCTCGCCCGTCCTTTATCGGTCCAGTGGAAGTCACTTCCCTTGAATTCGGCTCTACGGCACCTGACGTTGAGTTGGTCGATTTGCGAGACATATACCGCGATTTTATCGAAGATGACGATGAAGAAAAGGATCCGGTGAAGGTGACGGAGGGTGGGGACGATGATGACGAGTTTGAATGGGTGTCACGACGGGCAGCGCACAAAGAGGAACGCCTTGCCTACCAACAGCAAACCTCAGGCCATCTGCGTTATGCGCCTCGCACGGGTTCTGCTGACATGTACACTTCTGCTCCATCCCTGCACATGCCGGGGGATATGTGGAATCCAGGATTCCAGAGCATGGTTGATTTTCGACCAGGATTCACAACCTGGCCCAATACTCCGGGATATCGCAGCCCTACCAAAGCAGCGGCGCCCGTGTCCGTTTCCCTTGATCATACCCACATTAATGGATGTGACTCCCAAGAACAATCAATGAACACGCCGTTTCAGAGTGACCTGCCAGTTGAACCGGAACCGCCGACCCCTTCTACTCAACACCCGAACCTTCAGCTCCATTTCAGTATCAACTGGAATTCAGACTTGCGCATAACGTTGACGACTTCTTTGCTTATTAACTATCCTTCTCCCATGTTCATGTCGCTTCCAATCAAGCTCTCTGTTACTGGTCTCATCTTTACAGGCGAGATTGCTGTTGCATATGAAGGGGAGTGTAGGCGGGTGCATCTGTGTATACTGGATGAATTGGATCCCTATGGTCCGGCTGGGGATCGCCCAAAACGCGACCCAGCTAGCAGTACCCCGCCGGAACTCGACGACGACTCTAATGTCAGTGAAAACAGACTGTCTAAACCCCTTCCTATAGGACAACGTCTCCTTCCGTCCATCTATATCGAGAGCGAGATAGGACAAACAGATAAGCACGTACTCAAAAACGTGACGCGCGTGGAAAGATTTATCCAAGATGTTATTCGGAAGACCGTCGAGGAGGAGTTGGTGTTCCCTAACTTCCACACATTGATTATGAGCGAGCCATAGAATGCCCAGATGCATGTGCTCAGGCGAGATAACGAGGGATTAAAGAGGCATTACAGTATGCGTACACCATGTCCTAAATATACAGGTACAGGTACACTGTCTTCCATCATAGCAGAAGCTTGCTCATGTATGGCCCATCTAGCTCATAACCAAGTTTTCGATAGTAGTCTCGTGTCCCAACGCCTTGAGGAGGAATGATTCAGCACATTGGATATGGAACCAACCAAAATACTGCCTACCAGAAATAACGGCCAATTTCATGTTCCCGTGCTCTTCGCGGGCAATGCGCTCGGCTTCCTCCATTAACAAAGTTCCAAAGCCCTAGAAATGGATTATCAGAAGCCTATTTCGCACGAAAAACGCAAGAGCTCTGACCTGGTGTTGGAACTTGGTTGGGTCTCTCCCGTGGACTGGTACCGCCGTTCCATACACGTGCAATTCTCGCACGATGCTACAGCCTCCTTCGTCACCCCCCTTCCGCACTAGCTCCGGCCGGAATGTGCCTTCATCGGAGCATTTTCGCAGTCGGAGCAGTCCGACGAGGATGTCCCTTTCCGGATCTTCATATGAAAGGAATGTCTCCCACCCGCCATTTGCAGTGTAATCTCGTCGTAGAAGCTCAACAGATTCAGGTCTTACTTTCTGATGTATTTCGTGTATCTGGAAAAGATTAGGTTCAAGGTCCTGCTCAGAAAAGCGGTGGGAATGGTCAAACTTACCCCAACTTCGCGGAAGCGCACGTCACGGCACTCTGCGCCAAAGTCTTTCATGCGGTTGAGCGCTAACTCTCTCAAGTTGCCCGAGTTGTCACAACCGCTTGTCACCAAGGGAAGGGGAATGTCTCTGCAAATGCAAAACGTTAGAGAATTATTTTGAACATGTCGATAAGGTTTCATGCCTTTGTACGCGATAAACTCTGGTCCAAGGTGGAACCAGTGCGAGAATTCTCGCGACCACATCTACTAATACATTTGGCGTATAGTTCTTGTACCTGCCTGTTCGCCATAGCTCGTATAGACCGGTTCCGCGGATGACCAGGGTCGGGTATATTTTGAGACCATCGCTTCGAAATGCCGGGTTCTCGAAATATTCTTTGAATTGTTCCAAATCCCTCTCAACGCCGACATTGGGAAGGTCGGGCATCATGTGTGCAACTACTTTGAATCCGGCGTCTTTGGCTAGGTGAAAAGATTCAGAGACCGCACGGACGGTGTGCCCACGATTGGTGTCACGAGCAACGTCCTCGTAAACCGATTGCACGCCAATTTCGAGACGGGTACATCCGTATCGAAGCATTTGACTATAAGGTTGGGTGAGAGGCGATAATTTAATTAAGAGGGGGGAAATCACCTAAGATGCGGTCGGAGGCAATAATCCGGGCGTGTTTCGATCGTTATTCCGATTGCTTTTGCCTTGCTTTGTTCAGAGTACCTGGGGGATGTGTTCGTTTATAGTGAATAGTTTACAAACGGAGGCATTACCGTACGGCTTCATCGACGTCTGTACCCGTGAACCCTGATAAAGCATTATGCAGCTGTGCGATAAATTTGCCTCGGTAGTCTTCTGGCATGCTCATGAAAGTGCCCCCCATGATGATGAATTCAACCTTGGAAGAATTGAGCACGGTATGCGACGAGAAGAAAGTTACATACTTTGTCGACATTGTGACCAAGACTCTTCAGCTGCTCCACGCGACCACGGGTTTGTTCATAGGGATCATATCGTGCTCGTATGGCCCGCATACTCGTGGGCTCGTAGCCGGTGTAACTTTGAGTACTGTAGTCAAAATCTGAGTCAGGTCCTCCAGGACAGTACCTATTTTAAGATATCAGACGCATTCAACGATATCAGCGGGGAAAACCCACACGCAGATATTGCCTGTCATGGCAATGTGGGGACACCGATGCGGTTTGCACATCACAGCGACAACAGCGATCTACTGAGACATCCACCAGTCAGAAAAACGGCGTTTATCATGGAGAACTTACCCCGCTAGCAGTCCGGATAGGTCTCGCTTTCAGTTTTGGCAAGAGAGCCTTTTTATATTCATCTGGAATAGCACTGATGATATCCACAAGGCGGGGGACACCTCCATAGCCGAACTTTTTACTGATCTTGGCTCGGATGACATTCAGAGACACAGTTTCGTTGGAGTCATGAGCCTTGATGAGTTCCGCCGCAATTCCAGAAGTTACACGAAGCAATTGCTCAGCCTGAGATGGTCCTGGTTGCAGGACGCTGATTAGATTTATTTCTGACCCTACGGCAGGGTTGACAATACCTTCTGCTCGTGATACCTGAACCATTATTGGCACTCGATAGTGTGGCTATAAATCACGGCTGCGTATATTGCAGTGGGTGCAGTCAACACTCGTGGAGGAGAATTGAGTGGGCGTCCAGGAGTTAGTTTCGTAACCCTAACCTCAGAGATTGAGGGTATCACGTGCGCAACTTCGACGAGCCAGTTTCAAAGTTCAACCTTGTTTATCTACACGCGCGTCGACGTCGCGTTCAATCGTTCGTGAATCGTTTCATGGCTGGCAATGACCCCGAATGGCAGGAAGATGACGCTGGGGAACAATTGGAACTACTCTTCGCGCCCAAGGGGATCACTCATACATTCTACCTACATCGTTCCATCAGGCAGCAGGGTGCGCGTGATGCACTAGCTGAAAAAATTCGGGTATTTCTACTGCTTTTCATTTCTGGGAAGCTTTGCTAAATGATGTCTTATCTACAAGGCCCATGGCGGGGAGGTCGTCGACAGCGACGTCTTCAAGACCGAGGCCGCCGACGTCCTCCTTTTTGATCCGAGACATATCAGATATCCTGAGAATGTCTTCATTGATGCATATAGGACACACTCGGATATCAAGCTGCGTAAAATGCATGCAAAGAAGTCAAGCTTCATTCCTCACTGTATCAACCTTGGGAAATTTGTGCTAGATGTTCACAGGCCAAGAAGGCCTATGCCGGGAATTCCACCCGGCCGCAGACCGTGTGTCTCTCGATTATTTGTAGTAATACTGGCTGACCTTCCCTCTGCTTCAGTTATCGCGTAGAATTCACGCAAGAAGACACGGAGAACCTTGCGAGATACTTGGCATATAAGGTTCCGGTTCGCTCTGCTGGAGGTCTTCTTGGCAATGTGATATACAGCCAAATGTGCGCGAAGATACAAGTTCTACCGACGGAATATGAATGGACTGCTCGCCACCCCCCATCATCCTGGCGTGAACATTACAAGAGAAACAAAGTTATTATGAATGAGATGATGGACCAGATTGTAAGGGAAGAAGGTGTTATTCTCAAAAACATATATGAAAAAGATCGACGTCGGAATCGTGAACGTCCTCGTGTAGACCCGGGTCTATTCAACAAAGAGGAGGAGGAAGAAGAGGAGGAGGAGGGGGAGGAAGAAGAAGTAATCGCTGACTTGGCACGAATTGGGGAGTCGGATGCCACGCGGCCCCCGTCTGGCGCCTCCGAGAACGCCGATGCGAGAAACGAGGAGATAGAGCCAAGCCCTGAAGAGCAGGAACGACGGGAGGAGGTCCGAACAGTCAGCCCGTATGTCTATCATGGTTACTTAGCAGCTACATTAATTGTTCTTTAGATCTCTTTTCTCTGAAGATGAGGAACCCATGCAAGTCGATGTATTCGACGATCCTGGGCCTTCGTTGAGTCGGCACAGTCCGGAGCCTGCTGATGATTATGTTCCTACATCCGCAAGCCGACCAACTACGACGCAGGCCACCCTCGTTGGTACCCAGTCATCTCAGCTTGCTTCGACCTTGGTAAAGAGTCGGACCATTAAAAAGCCTACGTCATCACCCCATCACTCCCGCCACTCTCAGGTTATCGAGATCGAAGACTACGACTCGGTTGACGAAGACTCGCCAGGAATTGAATCCCTTCACCAGGAAACGCCTTCCAAAAATCGCAATGTCAAAACCTCTATGCGCGCACGAATAGTCGTTCCATCCACCCGACCCCGACTCCGACCAATTGTCAAAAAGGCCAGTGTCCTCAACGACGATCCCCCTTACCGCAATTTGCGCTCACACTCGCGGTCTGTCGAGCCGAGGCAAGGGCAGTCCATTGGGAAGTGGAAGAAGGCGAACACGCTTTCTGTGGATCTTGGCCCTGTTTTGGAAGAGGAAGTCAGCGGAGCAAGCCCTTTCGATGAACACGAAATCCCGGATGTGATACCTGCTGAGGCGCGTCCTATTTCTGCATCTGGATCCGAGCTCGTGGTGGGGGCTGTGCTGGAGTCAGAGTCAGAGTGGGAACCAGATCCTGTGACAGGGCTACAGTCAGACCTCGAACCAAAGTCTGAGCCAGAGTCTGATGTGGACCTGAACTTACAATCGCAGCTGCTTAAACGGAGAAGGACAACGTTTGACACGGATGATGAACAGACAGCGAGGGACCTTGGTTTTTTGGGGAGTGCAAAGGTCCCTAGGTCCATGGCGTTGACGCCTATTGGGCAGACTGTCCGAACTTCTATTCGGCGGGGGTGGTCCACGTCGAGTGAGGAGCCATTTCCGGTGCCTAACACCAAAGCGAGTGCGAGGAAGGAACGCCTTATCGAGGAAGCGAAGCGGATGCCCTACATTCCTCCTTCGGGGACAAGGGCTGCTAGGAGACTTGGCGTACCGTAGCCAGTAGTTTATTTATGACCGTCACTTTGTCGTGTACCACAACGTACTATGTCTTTATCTGTACCAATAAGAACCTCCAAATCAAAAAATTGTGTGAAATAAGTAATAGATCATGCAATGAATAGATGTCCCAACGTTAACGTCTGAGTACTCGTCCGAAGCCATGATACATACTCATACATAGTGCTGTCATATCAGGAATAAAAGCAGTCAAATAGTCACGTTTCCTGAGTGCCTGCATTCGTCCTCCCCGCGGAGAGCCCTCCCTTTGCGTGCACCCTAGATAGATACCTGTACGTCGGGATAGCGGTAGTGTGGGCATGAGGTAGAAATATGCAAGGGAAATGACAGCATATACAGATAGAAGGCCCCCCCCGCACTCGGCCCTACTCGTCAAGGTGCATGTCAGTGATATAATGCATGCTATTGATCCTCGATATGGCTCCCGGTCGTGGAACAATACCGCCGCCAGATAGGGTCAATTGAGAAGTATTTAACGACCTCGAATATAGGCCATTCGATAGGTAATTGTCGTCGACGAGGCCTGGAGAGGGTGATGGAGAACGAGAGATGCTTGCAGCGGACGTCAGTCCATTCGGCATCGAAAACGAACGAGTGGGCGAAATGCGGGGTGGTGTGACCCGCAAGATCGAGTTGGACGAAGGTATAGAGACGAATGAAGGATTAACGGGTCGATGGACGAAAGGAAGTAAGCCTCGCAGCGGCCATAACCACTTCTGGCTCTTGAGTGTCGGTGAAGGGGACCGTGAGCCGGGAGAAAGTAGCTTTCCTTCCTCTCCCATGCTATATGCTTCCGCATCACGTTGTTTCGCTTTGCTCCTCCGGAAGCGCAGGCAAGACGAACGAATCCTTCGCCGGATAACAAACAAAAGCACAAAGAACAGCAGGGGATAAAGCAGCAAGAGTACGGGTGAGAATCCAAGAGATGATCGTGTCAATGAAGTCGGTAGATGTGGTGAGATCTTGTCTTCAATAAGATCGAGGAACGGTGGTCGTATAGGCTTTATAGGAAAGGTTTCTGGGTTTGGTATATCATCCAAGGGGTCACTAAGAGGCTTGTCGGCCTTTGACAGGAGTGGAACTTCCTTGCTAGCCTCTAATACCATCTTCCCAAGTGTCCAGCTGATAGCAATGTCCCCAACGGTGTCAACAGACTGAAAAGTCGGTCTTCCTAGTCCTTTACTCTCGGCCTGCTCCGCAACCCTTTCTCCATCAGTCGTCCCATTCCCACCTGGATCCACTATCCGCGGCATTCCAATCCCATCATGAAGCACGTTAGCAATCCAAGCAGCCTTGAAGCATTGCATTCGCAACCGCGGTATCTCCACCTTCTCCCCCCACTTTCCAACTTCAACAATCCGACCGCCATCTTCTACTTCACCGTCGCCCGTAGGTCGACTGTGCTGACGAGATTCCTCATGTTCCTGGACAATGTTGGCCCAGTCTCTCGAGCAAAACTGAGATGCTGCGCGCTCGTATTGCACAAAGTCATAGGGACCGCCGAGCCCGAAGACATGTTCAGAAGAATACCAGTACTCTGATACTCCAATGAAATGGGAGACGGAGAAGTCAATTGGGGGAACATAAACGCCATTCATTAGACACGGCGTATCGGGACAAGGCGCATGTTTATTCAAAAGCGAGGCCGTCTTTCGCATGCACTGCTCAAAAGAGCCCGTGCCAACCAGACGATGGGTTTTCCTGTTGTGGTCCGACGCAAGTCCAAGATGTACCGGAGTCTCTGTGAGTTCCAGGTCCTTCGGCAAGCAAGGGTCGGGAACAACGTCTCTACCAAGTGGTGATATCTGTTGTGCCTCGAACTCATTGATCGCTAGGCCTACATATCGTTCTCTGGCCTGGTTCGTACCATAACCTAGCCAAGTGGTCACGAACACTTTATGAAGAATCTCCTCGCCGTCCAAACGGCGGAGACGGACTTCAATGAGGCTTTTGGCGTCTTCCTGGTGAACCTTGCTAGGTTCAAATGCAATTTGCGTCGAAGCTCCGCCCATATCCAAAAACCCATAGGTTGTAGGGTTGCTGGACCCCGTAAACCCATCCATTAAGTAGTTGACTGCGATCCACCCGAATAGACCTTCTTCTTCGCCAGTGATAATTCGCACACTTGAACCACAAGGGCCTGCAGCTGTCGGGCCGTCTAACCGAAAGTGAGAGTGGTGCACAAAAAAATGGCACGTCTCCGACAGAATTTGAGCCTGTTTCTCCGGCGATAATAGCCGCATTCCAGCGGTTGCGAGTAGAAATAAGGACGTCTCAGCGTGCAGAGAAGGAGGAATTTGTTCACGAGCATGGTTCAATAACGGGCGCAAGTGGCCTGGGAGGTCTTCCAGGTTATCTGCAAACGACGATATGCCTGTATTTGACCGCATTAGTGTCTGTTTCGGAACGACGAACACCATAGTGTACCTGGCTCGACCTTGCTGACCCATTCCTCACCCTGCCTTGTTCCTTTCTCAACTTGAGGCAACGTATGCAAGTTGTAGAATTCACTGGTCCTGTCCAGCCTGATGGCCTTGGGATCCTTCCAGCTATATATCTGTAGTCGAGAGCCAGATGAACCTGCATCAATGACTGCTCCAAAGTGACGGCCAACTAGCCACGGGTCACCAGCCGTTGGGGGAGGCATTTCTGTTCTTCACGGACGGCGAGGTCCTTTGCGGCGGCGCCCACTCTGTCGAAATGTAAGTCGGAAAGCAAACCGCGGATACAGGAACGCAAATTGCTGAAATGTGCCACGTGCTGTTTGTAAATGGCTGATGTCATTGCCACATTTCGGATATTAACTTCCATTGTCACACAGCGTACCCCGTCCTTATAATAATGATATAAAAGTCTAGGATCTTGTAAGGGTTACTTTTTGTATTCCCAGGAACTCATCTCCACCGTATTCACAGATTCCACTTGGCGCTTGTAGAGCGATTATTCCTATTAACCGAAAGTGACGGAAACATTGCATAAAATGCGATTGTCTCAGACTCCGAGGATTGTCTCTTCCTGAAGTATGTAGGTTATTACTCAAATAGAAATTTACCAGTAATTTCTGGGGGAGATAAGATAGTGTTCGACCCATCCACTTCTGATGTTGACTCCGTAGCGTATAAAGCCTATTTCTTCGACGGAGACGATTTCGTTCGGGAATTAGGAGAAATCCGAATGGAGTCTCGTCATACAACAACATATATTTCAACATAGCGAATATCCTCTGAATCTTATCTCGTGTCTTTGGATTTCAATGACACATTTGAACCCGCTATTTACCTCATCAGAGCCAAATGGAAATGATTTTCAACGAACCCGAAGGATCGATCCTACTATGACTACAGCCTACAGACTTGCTGCTGCGTTGCGAGCGAGGTCAGATATGAAGTTTCTAGCTACCTTGTTGGACTTGGTCGATGTAGAAAACGGCGACGGCGTCAGTACAGAGGTGAGCACGGGCTCAGAAATCCAATAATATGAGTTCCTTCGGACTTCCGAACCTATCACCATTGGACCACCATCTCTACTTCGATTCTGCAGTTGGAGTACCAGCCTGAGGATGCGTTCTCGCACATGACCTTGGAACGGGCCGGCATCCGCGTGGAGGAAGTTATCTCCACTCGACAGGTTTCTCTCTGAATTGTTGCATGATTGAACGGTGCCTGTAGCTGAATTTTCTTTCGTGTCCTGCTTCTGATTACTGTGTCCGCCTGACACCAGAGACAGAAGATCTTACTACTGACCGAGAAGCCTCCGAACTTGCATCTCTGCACCCGCTATGCACGGGAATGTAGACTTCTAGTCAAGTCCTTTTTGCAAGACGTCGATAGACTGTCGGTCAGCAGACAAATATCATGACCATTCGCGCTGTAACCAACGGTGCATATATAGTCGAAGATCCAGTATCCAGTATCCTCTCCTGCCAACGATGCAGCCTCCAACTCTTCTCTTCAGTCTCATCCAGCTCGCCGCAATCTCCCTGCTTTGCGTCGCACAGTCGCCTCCGGTAATTGACCTTGGATATGCTAAATATCGAGGAGTATTCGATCCCAGCATATCCAACAACACTCAGTTCCTTGGGGTGCGATTCGCAGCGCCTCCCACTGGTGCGTGATTTAAGGGCACTTCCTATATAGCTCTGTTCCCAAGGTGCCTTGTTTCAGGCTCCTTGAGGTGGCAAGAACCGCAAGCGCCGGACTTTGTGGAGGGCATACAGAACGCTACGTCAGAACCAGACAAATGTATGCAAGCAGGAACAGGCGCCGGTGCCACAAATCCTTTTCCTGCGAACAAAAGAGCCCCCCCTGTTGCAGAATCTGAAGACTGTCTCTTCTTGAAGTGGGTCGCAGACATGTTCTGGCGTCTATTGTAGCTGTTATTTATTTATTCTCAGCGTGTATATACCTGGGCAGCTCGATTCTCAAACCTCTAGCAAAAATCTACCTGTCGTCGTATGGATTCATGGAGGAGGGTATGGTGTTTTATTATTTATCGAAGGAGTCTTATCTGAATGTGACTACAGTTATGTTGCTGGTGGTGCCGATGGGTTCTCTGGCCCCGACGCTTACGATGGGAACGACCTAGTCCTTGAGTCTGGCAACCGAGTCGTAGCCGTAGTTATCCAATATCGTTTGGGACTGTTTGGATTCCTGGCTGGAGAGTCAGTTAAAGTAAATGGCGTATTGAATGCTGGCCTTCGTAGGTTCTATGTCTGCCGTTGGGTACGCGCTGATATTTCTGAGGCAGTGGATCAACAATTTGCGCTTCAGTGGGTCCAGGAACACGTGAGCTTCAAGTTTTCCTTTTTCCTGCATTTGCTTTGCCGTCGTATTTACCGATCCGTCGAAGATCACCAAGTTCGGTGGAGATCCAAGCCGAGTCACTATCTGGGGCGAATCTGCTGGTGGGAATTGCGTGTACTCAATAATCTATCATCTGATGTAATTGTGTTCTAGGTGCTGGTTCTGTTCTTCAGCAAGTCATTGCCAATGGTGGACAGACGTCCCCGCCTTTGTTCAGAGGTGCAATAACAAGCTCCAGTTTCCTGCCTTCACAATATGCGTATAACGACGTGGTTCCGGAAGTTCAGTATCTCCGTGCGAGTTAGAATTATACGACGTGCTGACATGTATGTTCTAGTTTCTGTACAACACCGTGGTGTCAAGGACGAAGTAAGTGCTCGCAATTTTAGGTTGTTGCATTGATCTCTAAAATCGTATGCAAGCTGTACCTCGGCGGCCGATTCGTTGACGTGCCTGAGAAATGCTGACGCAGGGGCTCTCGAAGAGATCAATGTTGACCTTTGTATCAGCGGGTTTTTCGGCACCTACGTATTTGTGCCAGTTGTTGATGGAGATTTCATAAGGCAACGGCCGACGGTAGCTTTGGGGGAAGGAAAAGTTAACGGCGTAAGCTAGCAGCCACTGAGTTTTTCGACAGTCTCTAATCATCCTTCAAGGAGGTTGTCATGTCCGTTACAAACTCAAATGAGGGGCTCATATTCGTCGACTTGAGTACTGCAAACACTGTCCAGGTTCCTGACTATCTGACACAGCTATTTCCGACCCTGAGCGCTCAGCAACGTGCCGTTGCCGTTGCAAAATATGCTAGTCTTGGAACTCCAATCGAACAGGTCACCGCCATAATGGGAGAATGTAGGTGTAATGCTTCAGTACCTGCGATAGCGGATAATAACGCCCGACCTTTGTTGCGGCAGCTATATTCGTTTGCCCCACTTATTTCTTGCTTCGTGCTTTCAAAGGAAAAGCATTCAAGGCATGTTCAACCACTTCATGAATGAATGTAGTGATGTTCAGTATCGGATACTCAGGGTCAATTCGCAATCCCACCGGGCACCCACGGAAGCGACGTTGCTTATTACTTTCCTTCGTACGTTCATTGCTACAACATCTTTACTCATGTTCTCATTCCTTTCCAGTATGAATGCGAATGGTGTTCCCGCCTACAACAATACGGACTTCGACAAAGCGTTCGCCGAGTCTTTCCTAGCCTTTGTCCTGTCTCTGGATCCAAACGAGACATTCGAGCCGACAATCACACCGACATGGGAGCCTTTTTCGTTCCAACCAGGTCACGAGGTAGAAATGCGTTTCAACGAAACCGAAAGCGGCGCTCCTGCAGTGATGCCCATTACTACTGCACCAGATCTGCTTGACCGATGCTCGTGAGTGCACCGGCTGCGTTTCTTAATCTTTCTCACCTGTTTTTTTATTAGTTTTTGGGAAAGTGTTGGGCCAGAAATAGGTCAATGAAACGTGTTCGTCAAAGATATTATTAGTTATGTGTGATTTACTGTCCGAATCCATCTTAAACACACATGGATCTTTCCTGCCTCCGTCGGAGCACATTCTATGTTGTCGACGCCTCTTCTACGTAATGAATACGGGCCGTGGCAGACAACACCATCCGCTCCACTACGAATCTACAGTCATCCAACATGCCTCCTGGACCACACGCTGAACGTCACAGTAAGCTCACGCGATTGTAGAAATCAAACTCAAATTACCTAAAACACCCAGAGATGAAGACGTCATTTCGATCTCAACGTCTGGCAGTGCTTGAAAGATGAGCTCCTCCATGTGTGGTCGCCCAAAGAATACTCTAGGTATCCACGGTGTCCACAAAGTCGGAGTTGCGCAGGCTTCCGCATGGCTTTGCAAATTTCCCTCATGACCCGTGTACCATATCTCGATTGATTCTTGAACCTCGCCATCAATACCATCCAAAAGATTCAAAACACTATCCACTTCCATCAAAGATCTGACTATCCATACCGCTCGTAGTCTTGGCTTGTGTTCTTGCGATGAGAGAACGGCAGACCAATTTAAGAGGTAAGGAAGCGTGAAGCTGATCCCAACACCGCCTGCTAACAACAAAACAGAAGTATATTCCCTCAGGTCGTGCTCGTGTCCATATGGACCTTCCATGTAAACCTTTATAGGAATCGATCTATCGACGTTCGCCTTGGCCTCGAAGCGTTCGTACAGGGACCGAGTCATTCCATCATAAGGCCGAATGATAAATGAAACAGCCTTGTGCGTCGAGCACTCATTCCGCTCTGTCGACGGAATAAGGGGACTGCTTTCCGTATCACGAGCCCTGCTTCCCTGCTTACAAACAGAGAATTTTCCTTCGACGCTATCATAATGATCACTTGCCGCGATTGAAAAGGGATGACTTTCCATGTACCTTACTTCTGGGAAGCGAAGGTGCGCGAATTGTCCTGGGCGAATTCTGACATCCTTGGAAATGCAGACGTCAAGTCTCATGACCGTTCCATAATCCGTTAGAGTTCCGGAGAGGGGAAGTAAACTAGTAGCCTTGAATGCACGAGAGAGTCGATCGATGGCCCAGTAGATGATGGTGATGTACAGCCATTCATTGGCGTATCGCCAGAGCGTGTGGTAGAAAAGAACGACCAGACATACGACTGTGGACAATACGTGGCCCGCCAAAAAAACTTCGTAGGACATACGGCGGATAAACCTTGCAGAAGGAAAGGATGACAGGACGAGATACAGTGCGAGAGCGACAAAGCCACAATTCCAATATAGCTTTGAGAAATTCACCCATAGCCTTCCTATGCCGAGTAAATCATAACTGTCAAATCCCAAAAAATACCAAAAAAAAGAGACCCACCGACGAGATGCGCATATACGATATAGAGGACTGTGTGGACGATCGCGAATATAAGTGCGAGTCTTCCTATCCAGCGATGAAATATATTCCACGAATCGTAGGACCAACGGGTCATCCAAACCAATAAGTTCATCCGACCCACGGTTAACATGAGCAAGGGCATGAGGACAAAGGACATGACCCCAAGTCTTGTCGCGATATAACGAATGTACCACGCGGTAGGTGGAATGTACTTTGGGTTACTTGGGTGTCGGAAGCCATAACCAAAGACCGAGAAGAATGTCAAAAGGAGGGTAAAGGAAGAAATGGCAATGAGTTGGCAGAAAGTTGGGATGGTGATTCCGAATTTCTTGAAGATATTATATGCTTGTATATGATGCCGCGGATAGTGAGAAGGTATTAGGCAGGATAAGGAGGGTATGATTCGTTGAAGTCGTGTCCGGACGACGATGCCACGTATAAACACGACAAGGAAAAATATTGCATGAATTGTTAATCTACTATCTTTTAGCCGACACATTCTGAAGAGTAGTATAGAACATACCCAATTAATACATTCAGGTGCCTCTGGTAACGCAGCTGCAGGATTATTTCCTTGACGCCGTCTTTGGGACTCGGAGTTTCCGCATCAGAGCGAATAATATCAACATCCAGGGCAGGCATTAATTCACAAAGCTTGGAATTTAAGCCGCTGGTAGAATAAAGCGTTGAGTTAGTAGGGGGGGAGGATAGTCTTTATCTGATAAGATGCTCTTACTGACCAGGTTATCATATCAGATTAAGTTCCCGACAATCTCCGACAGCCGCCATTTTGTCCGAGATGTCCCTTTACGTCCTCCCAACCTTCCCTGGACATCGCCTTTTTCTGCAGACTCGAGAACAAGTACCTCAAATCCCACTTGAAACTCCAGGCTCTGTATCGCTTCTGGTACCAGGCGTGCTTCCCAAGTGCTTCCTGTGGTGTGTCAATGTAACAGCACTTGCTGAAGCGAGAAGGGCACCTTACTTAGTGTGTAGTCTTTCCCTATGAAACATCCTTCACCTTTTGGACTTTGAAATCTAGCGTAGCTACGTGAACTGTGTAACCATAAGAACGTGGTCTGATCAAACGGGATCAAAGCTGATCGATATCAAAGATAAGCATCTCGTTTTGATCGTCCATAAAAGTCGCTGACAAGGATCAACGGATAAACAACTTATTTGTCCTAGAAGCGAATAAAATTTCTCTAGTCAGAACTCTTCGGAGTCTGGATCGCTAAGCCCTCTATGTTAATATATGTTAGTGTATATCTCACCCTTCTGGAATGTGAAGAGCAATTTAGAATCGTGGAGTTCTTTCTTGTTCTTTGGGGCCCTGGCGCGCGCCCTATATCAGGGGGGAGCGAACCTTCCGTAGTCACTCCAATTCTGTGCTCGATCAAATATCATAGGTCACTGTCGATCTCCAGGTTATTATACGTCCTCTGCCTTACTGATTGTTCTTTTCCTGGTTATTTTACGGGGACAGCCTGAGGATATTTTGGACATGAAATAAAGGGGTCAGGGTATCTCTGCCCTCGTTCCTGGATACGGTGTATTTAAACCTTGTGCCGATTGTCAAAGGGGGCATCTCCTTTCTTTCCGACCCCCATCTTTTGCTGTTGAAAAATATGCATCGTTTATCACTCTTTTTTGTGGCTGTAGCGGGCCTCCAAGGTAAGTCAATCAGTTTCCTGGAACTTCGTACCTTCATCATTGATCATATAGGAACGCTTGGACAAACCTCTCTTTATGTTCCCGGCTTTGACTCCCAGGCTTTGAGCGTTAAAGTCGCTGGTGTGAGTGACGGCCATACTACGTATATCATTCAGCCCGCAGCCGATGCTACGGATTCTGGATTCGTGGGCACAGGTACTCGTTCCGCTACATGTTTGCTTACATCGTTACTCATGCTCCCGAAGCCACACTCGTCGAAGGCTCAGATTATGCTTCTTTGACCTACGCCGACCCAGACTCATCTGCAGCCTTGACCCTCGGCTACGAGTGTTCGATCGCTGCCGGTGTCGCCGTTTGTTCAGGTGTCGCTGACGGTGTTACGATCTTGGAAACGGAGACTGTGTCTGCCTTTGCGGTTGAAGGTGGAGCCACATCTACAGCGGCCGGTAGCGTAACCACCAAGTCCTCGTCGACAGCCAAGACCGGGTCTGGCAGTTCCAGTGCTACTGCTACGTCGACCAGCACCGCCGCCTCTTCAACTAAGTCGAACTCGAGCAGCTTTGTTTTGGCTTCATTGGAGACTGTTATGGGAGCAACCGGAGTGCTTTTGGGTCTTATGTCGGTGTTGTGATTGAACGAGGTTCTGAACCATCACAAATTCTCGTCCCTCCTTAGTCACGTCGTTCGTTAATATATTGTTTCTTTTCGTATATTATGCGCTCTTTGGAAATCGTTTTAGCATACCGTAACTTTTTCATACCAAGATTTTTGAGACTCCTTTTTTAGATCGGCATCCGGGCCGCATGTTGCTGCACAACGATCGCAGCGTCGTGTTTTTAATTTACTCCCTAGGCTGACATGATCCCCGTTCTTGGACCTGGACAGTGAACACACTTATGTATTCGCATATTGCATGCAGAAAGGGAGCCGATGTCTTTCAATCAGTTTCAAGAGTGACATTGTTACTACATAAATAAGCGCAAGTGCGACGGATTAAAAATATCCGACCTGGATGCCGTCAACAAGCTTATTTTTTTATTTAGTGGTTAGCCAGTCGCGGAAGGAAAAAGGAATTAGCTATCTTCTCAGAGCGACATCTCGCAGTGGTATCTTCTGCGGCCTTCTGTCACTCGCTGTACCAGACCTTGGTCCCTGAGTGGCGAACGCATACCTTTCGAGACCGGCCGAAAGGTCCGAATCACCCGCCGATGTATGCCGAACGGTGATGTGGCTCGGTGCTGTGCCACTGTGATAGGCATCTGAGCAGTACAGCACCTTTTTGTACTTAACCACCATCAGGCCAGCTGGTATTTGCATCCCCGTAGCCAAGGTACAGTATGGTTCTCAGTTTCTGCGCTTCACGGCGCGAATATTCGGGCCCGTGGACGGCGAATCTGGCTTGTTCTGGGGTCTGCCTCGCGGTAAACACGTTCTGATCTGTTGATAACCCGGTGATAACCCAAGAAAGGGCTTGATCGCTGTCCAATCTCTGTCTTCAACCGCCAACCGTGGATCTCCGGCGAGTCTCTATAAGCTGTTAGGCAGGGGAAATACTTCCTCGTCGCTAATTCTCCACGACCCTACTGTCTTCATTTCCGCAGAAGCCGGCACATACAGCTTCTATATCGCTTATAAGAGGCCCCCGCTGTGAACACCTTTGTTTATCGATCTTTTCTCTCTTCACGTCTTTGCCGCTGCATGCCACGTTCCCGACATATCTAACATGTCGCACTACACCGCGGACCCAGTGATTGTGCAAGAATACAAAAATTCGCAGAGTCGGGTTTCGGGGTGGGTGGCAAGCAATGAAGGTGCTGAATTTTACTCACCCAACGCGCCGCCAACCGAGTTGGATGAGGGCGAGTGGATTCCGGGATCGCCTGTTTCCGACGCTTGGAGCTCTATCTCAGTACCTCCCAGGCTGAAGCTACGCTTTACGGATGGTCGACCGGACGAACCCATTCCCAATCCCCAACGAGATGCTGTGAAAGGACGCAAGTCCACAAGGCATGCTGAGAATCGCGACGATTCTCATCGTACAAGATCGCTCTCGGGGCGAAGTCGACATGGACAGATAGAGCGGCTGCCATCTCGTTCCCCCGAAGAAATCCAAATCCTGCCTTCGCAGTACACCGTCGACCAAGTACCAACACATCCCATTTCGCATCAATCACGATCGCGTTCTCTTCCTAGGAACACATTTTCTCAAACACATACCGACCCTCCCCCTCCGCCAATTCCTAATCCCCAGGTGCCTCTCATTCCTCCATCGATGACATCGATTCAGGGTCCTCAAGTCAAATTTTCGCAGCCTCAGCCAGTCCCTTCAAGGCATGGGTCAACTTCCCACAACCATAAGCGCACTCCCCCCGCTATTGTTTACGCTCCTTCTGGTCACTTCCACGCCAATTATCAGCCACCTGTCATCTACAACTATATGCCGAACGTCGGTCCGAACGGAATGGTATATAGCCATTCGGCTCCCATAAAACACCAGGCTCCTCGTTACCCTCCCTCTAATGCAACTCCTTATCCATATGATGATTACATTTCTCAAGTCAGTCGAGAGAAGGGTCACCTTCGAGCGGGATCCGTGCCTCTGAGTCACACGCCGTCCTATGCGGCGAGTGATGAATCCGGGAGCACATATTATGTGATCCCAACGGGGAAGCAGAAAGTGCATGTTATCGTGAGTCATCCGTATCCTCCACATGATGTGATCATGACCTATCCGTCTATAGCGTCCGGGAGATACTACCATTTACGCTTCCTCACGATCACCCCCGTCTTCTCGATCTCCTACGTCCTCAAAGTCCCCTGCATCTTCTAAATCGCCCGTGTCCCCCATGTATCCCAGTGCGATTCAGAAGAAACCGTTTTTACAGCGCTTGTTCAGTTTGGCGCCACGCCTATCATTCTCATCCGCCAGCTCTGGCAAAGGCTCTACTCATACCAGTCGCCGCCTTCAACGGCGCCATTCCACAGGGACCCGATCTCAACGATCGAACACCAGATGACTTTTCATCTCCTTACCAGAGCTTATCTATTCTATAACGTTTTATAATGTCCCTTTGCATCTCTTTATCGTCTTTGGTTTCGTACCGCCCAGTTCCAGCATGATTTCTTCTTGCATACTTTTCTCAACCCCTCGGCATTTCTCCTGTATCACTCCTCGTCAGCATCAAAAAGTGTATGAACCGTCAGTTACAACTGTACCCGGATCTCCCATTATATATCCTTTACTTAATATGTGCGCCTCCGACTATAACGATACACGTCTTTTTGACATTAGAATGGCCACGGCGTACCGTAATTTCGGATGTGGCAAATATTTAATGCCTCCATTGGACCAGGCGATGAAGGGCTCGACCGCGCCACCTAATTCCTCGTAGCTCTTGTTTGGGCAATAAACTTGCACGTGTTATTAATGAACCTACTACGCGACGTGGCAACATCATCGGATTTGCGGTCACCCACGGTACGTATAGTCGAACGTTTCACGTTTTCCATTTTCACAATGAAAAAGAGTAGAAGGTAAGTCCGGCGGCGGTTCGGCGGCGAAGCACTGAAGAATTGGCTGAGATCAGAGTCTGATGACGTGCTCCCTTTCGAGGTAGTAAAGACCAGGTGCTAGAACGTGGTGCATGTGTACAGTAACAAGGTGCACAGTTGAAGTGACTTTTGATGGCAGAACGATACCATCCAGACGTCGTATCAAGTTGGTGAGTAAACTTTCCGTTGGAGCCTTCTGACTCAAAAAGTTCAGCTAATGTAGGGAATCCATGGCAAATCTCGTGCTCTGCTGGGCGTGTGAAGTCATCTTCACGCAATACACAAGTTTTGAATTGTGGTTCGCGATTGGCTATGGCGTGATTAGCAGAGAATTTTGCGTGAAAGGTACATGGTAAGTCGCCAGTTGCCATTTCAAACTGGTCAGTATAATACGCTGACTTGCTGGAGAGATAGACAGAAGCTCCTATTCACTTTGCTCAGTGTAATGTCCGCCACACTCACTGTAACTGACACGGTGCCCGTCTCTACCCCCCCTCTTCCGAGATGGGAAGCACCGAAAGTAACTGAGACCGAGGTCGAATGGGCCGATATACTTACGGTTGATCTCTCACTGTACGACACGAATAAGAGCGAACTGGTCAAGACTGTTGAGAAGGCTCTGAGTCGTGACGGTTTCTTCTACGTCGTTGGCCACGGCATCTCACCAGAAACTGTGAGTAATATTACTTCTTCATCTTCTTGTCTGGTTGCTTACTAGCTGTGTTATCAATGATATTTATCAGCTGAATCGCCAGTTCTCTATTGGTCAGTTAACGTTTGACGGTGTGTCAAGAGAGGAGAAAGAGCAACACAGGGCTCCGATCAAGGAAGAGGGCTCGTTTATTGGCTACAAGGTTCGTTTATTCCTGGAAGACTTGTTCATTACTAACGGTCGTTATAGCTACAAAACTACTGGGAGATTAAGGATGGTGTACGAGACAGAATAGAGCATTACAACTTTTACCTGGGCCAGTAAGTCTGCTTTGCTGCTTGGCTATACGTGATTTTTAACTGTTTTTTTTAAAAAACTAGGATAGACCCGACGAGTCGACACCCGAAGCCTTTACAGCCTTACGTTCCAGAAATTAAGGCCTATCTGAATGTACATTGGTCTCTCTTCTCGTAAACACCCTTTGTCTCATACGTTCATCTCGCAGGAAACCCGGGAAAAGGTTTTGCGACGTATCCTTAATCTCATCGACGGTGTTCTTGGTCTCGAAGAAGGTTACTTGTGGAAGCTCCACAAGGATAGCGACGGGAACACTGGCCATGACGTACGTCATTCTCCATCTCAAAGGAAGGACTTGAGCTTATGCTTGGAATGCAGCTTCTGCGGTACATGATTTACGACCCTTTGACGAATGACGAGTCTGCAAAGACAAACGGCGTGATGCTGAACGGGCATACGGATTTCAACAGCATTTCCACGCTCGTTTCCCAGCCTATCACCGCACTCCAAGTCCTCATGCCTGACAATGTATGGCGATACGTGAAACACCGGGACAACGCACTTGTTATTAATATTGGCGATCAGCTGTCGTTCATGAGCGGCGGTATTCTTAAGGGAACAATGCATCGAGGTAGGTGTTCGTAATTGCCTCACTCTCCGTGTACTCATCGGTGGCATAGTCGTCAGTCCTCCCGAGGATCAACGACACAACCGCAGGCTCGGTGTCTTCCATTTTGCCCACTTCCTCAATGACATCCCTCTCGACCTGTTCCCATCAAAGAAGGTGCACGAGGAGGGCCATGTCATTTTCCATGAAAAAATTCCCACCACTGACGGGTAGGGCCTCTTATTTTGGTACGCAGCAACGTTCGTCTGACATATGCCAGGTGGGAGACGGCCCGAATCAAAAGCTACGGCACCGGTACGTTTATCAAGGGGGAGGAGTATGATGTAGAACTTCTGGCAGGTATCAGGGTATGTTGGCTGCTTTTTCCTATACGGAGGATATTCACCACTTTGTTCTAGATCCGTCATTATCACTGAATGGGCTGCTGCTGCTGCAAAGCGTACACCCGGTTATCTTGTCCGAAGCATATAAGTGTATCTAGAGCCTTGTACCTGTATTTCTGTATTATCCTCAACAAGTTATGAACAGTTCTTATGCGAGATTATTACGAGAGAAGGATAGTAAGTATGCACTTTGCAAAGACATTTTCCTTCCGGCTGTTGGTCACAAATCACATTTTCTGTGACCCGACGTATGCTGACCTGGAAAGTCTCGGCAATTTCCTCGCCGGCAACAGCTGCCAGCAACGTGATCTGTAACAACTTTCTGGGTTCCACTGTATATTCTCGCTTTTATCACCTATCACTACATTAGACATTCTCACCAAAGGGGCCTCTGAAAATTTTCGGGGGGTCAAATGGTGACGAGTTGTACACATACCACCCTAGGTCACCCGAGGTCAATGATGAGTACTAATGGCAGTCCTTTAAAGAACAAGATTGTCCCAGCGCGAAACGCTGCAAAGAAAGCAAGTTCTAGCTTCTCTAGCCAACTGGACGACTCTCCCGGAAACTCTGATGACGATGAGCGGCCATCGCGACAGCGAAGAGGAACGGGGCGAGGAAGAGGAAGAGGAAGAGGAAGAGGAAGAAGAGGCGGCGGAAGTCGAGGAGGTCCTCGCAAGTCTATTGTGTCTACGCCGTCGACACTGACACATACACAGAGTCAGGGAGAGCCCGCTCCGGATTTAGCCACTCCTCGCCCATCCACGCCGTCGATGTCAAAGAAAAAGCGCTCATACGCATCCTCTGCCCTGTCGGATAGTGAAGAGTCTCCGCTATCCTCTGTGCCTCCTACGCCTATAAAACGATCAACGTCGTTTCACAAGGTGAACCGTCCTAAGGCCACTCCCTTGGCGAGGTCTTCGTCGTCAGTGAGCAAGCTGTCCACTTCACTCGAAATACCATGGTCTCTCGATGGCCTTGGAAAGTATGTATGGGTTCTTGTCAATAGCGCAGGAAGCGTCTTTCAGGAGGAGGATCAGAAGGAATATGTTTGGTGGCCAGCGAAGGTATGGCAAATCACTGCTTGTCGATATACAGACAAACCTTGATTTCGCGTATAGAAACATCGCTTAATCGGACATCAACTTACTGTGACACCCTTCGGCAAACTGAATCCATGTCTTACTCGCATTAGCATCGAGCATCCTTGCTCCGATAATGTCTTATCCTTGACTGACTCCTTGGGACGCAATCGGTTTAATGATCCTATGTTCTCACCTCCTTCAGCTGTTGATGACCTCCAAGGTTCTCCCAGAAAGAAACGGAAAACGGATAGAGACAACATGAGGTCACGGTGGCAGGATGCCCTACGTATTATGTTGCAGGAGAAAGAGGAGGAGGAAGACCAGGAAGACGACCTACCAGACATCGCCTTTGCTCTGAGCGTTCGTCATACGCATACCTCAATGTCTGTTTCTCCCGGGAAAGGGAAAAAACTAACAGGGTTTTCAATATCCGATACCGACGAAGCAGAGGATCTGGAATCATGGGACGATCCCGGTGCTGATCCGGAACTTGATATTCCAGGTGAATTGGTGCTTGCGAGAGAAAAAGCGGACTTGCATTTGTCATACTGGCCTGCCAAGGTCATGGAGTATGTCCCGCCCGTTTCGAGGAATCAGAAGGCGGGAAAGTATAAGGTTTTATATCTCGATAGGGTGACGCGGACAGTACCCAGGTCATGGTTTAAATGTCTGGGCGATGAAGGGTTTGGTACATGCAAGGTGAGCGCGAATGTCGCCTTGAAGATGTTTCGGTCTTACATTTTTTCCTAGCTTGGGACATTCGAAAGCACTATGGTCGGCAGACCTAATAAAGATGATAACGACGACGACTGCATGGTGGGTCAACCGCACGACAGAGAACCCAGTCCTATCCCTTCTATCCCTCCGCCTTCTTCTTCTGACTTCATCTTACTGTCAATACGCGAACAATTCTGCTATACGAAACCTGTCTTACAAGCCGTCCTAAACGAAGCATACCCTCCTGCGATGCAGGTACATAACATGTTCATGTCGGGAGGGAAGGCTAGGAAAGTCCTAAACCAGAATGCAGGGGAGAGAGGAACGGTGACCCCGAACGATGCTGAGAGATTGGCGCATTGCATCCTCCATTGGGCTTTACGAAATGAGATGGTGGCGAACAAGATAGCAGATGACGGAGTTGAGGAGACTGCATCTGGCGACGCAGAGGCGCTGCAAAACGCGGCAGAAGTTGGCGATGAAACAAGTCGAGATACACATACCATCGCCAATGGCATTACCAATGGCACACCTCATAATGTTGAAGGAAAGGAGCCACTGGTAGCAGGCCATGAGGTTGTAAGTGCTGTTCTATTCTATTAGAGCCCTTCGGTAAGGCCTTACGTCTTCACAGGTCATCTCCCAAGCAGAAGGAGACTCGCTCAGACCTCCGTCGACTTTATCTGATATTGTGCAGGACAGTGAGGTGCCGTCTATACCTTCGCGACCGGCTTCTCAAGAATCCGCAGTCAGGGTAAGCGATGCGATGCTCAGTGTCAGATATGTTACCTATGTACCCAGGCTAAGTCCCCAGGATTTGTCGCCGAGTCTTTCGTGTTGTCGCAATCGGAAGAGCCTCCGCCATTGTCCTTGGCGCCTTCTGTCGGTCATGATTTCAACTAGTATGCAACTTGCTCATCCTTCTATCGCAGGAAGCTGAAGAGGACTTGAACGGCAGACAAACACCACGTTTTAATAGTTCGCAATGTGCAGATGATGGTGTACCGCTGACGGATTTGGTTGACCAGGTTTGTTCTTTCTGAATCGTTCCCAACAGTTTCTCAATGCACATCAGAACACGAGTCAGCCTGAGCTGTATGCGAACGGGGCGGCATCTGTATGTCTTCTTACTGCGGCGGCTCAGAAATCCTAACCCTATATAGGATGCAGATACTGTGGTCGTCGAAGGTAACGACGGGCCTGCACCAGCAAACGACGTCAATGGAACGTATGCAGGCCTTCCTCGTCAAATCGGATGTGAAAGATATGAGTCGCTTTCGCAACTGGAGAAGATCGAGGTGAGTTTCACATGCACTGCCAATTATTCTAATCCTCATCGGTTTACAGTACTGTCAAAATGTATTACTGCCGGAAGCCATTTTACAGATCCTTTTGTGGAAGGAGGGTTCCCGTACATCAGTGGAGCTGCTATCCAACGATGAAGAACAAAAGCTGCACGACCAGGGACAGGCTTTGCGTAGGAAGACTGACTGGGTCTTTGATGTCATGCATTTGCGGAACCAGAAGGTAAGGGCGTTGGAGCGCAAGAGTAGGAATTCGAAGGCGGAGTTGATGGTGGTTGGTGGAACAAGGACGAGACCTACGTACGGAAGGGCTCGAAGATTTTGATTATTGCTGTAGTTATTTGTTGCCGTGCATTCTGTATAACACCATTTCAATTTGTGCTACTGACCGACAAACTGTGCTGCAGGTGAGAAGGCTAGGATCTAATCTGCGTGTATTTTAAAATCAAAGTGTGGTTAATGAACTGAGGTAAGACAAGATGTAAGCTGGACTAATACACGGTAAGATACTGTACACCTCATGAATGACTTGAGTTAATATACACAAGGATACATAACGACAGCATGCGAAACAGCATAATAATACGACTAGATACGAAAAGAAAAACCAAGAACTACGAATCGAGCTTGACCGTTACGCCGTCAGGCTGGTCAAAAGCAGCATTGATTGACATTTGCGTCAAATCATTGTGTCCGTTCATCAAGGGGGTGTTGTGGCCAGAATGATAGGGCGACAAACCAACTCGAGGGGTGATGAGCCCACTGCCGTTGGCGCCAAAGACGAACCCGCCACTGAAACCATCCATGAGGCTGTACCCTGCCCGACGCGTAAGACCGATGACTCGAAAGAAAGAAGAGGAGCCTTACCAGGTACCAACACGCTATCCCAAAAGTTGCTGCTCAGTATGCTATCCATGGTCAAGCCACTCGCATTGTGGATGTCCTCCTCCGATGGATTGGGCGCCATCGTTGGAGGGAAGGTGGATATGTCCATAGCGGGACCCATCTCGCCCTCGAAATGGAATTCGCCAAGCGCGGACGAAGGGTCGGAGTAACTAGGCGGAGGACCATTGTTCTGTGCCTCCTGCTGCTTCGCGGAAACGGTAGAAGCAGAATGATGACTGTCGCCATTCGAGGCTTCCATTTTTGCCGTGATGAGTGCTTTCAAAAACCCGCCATATAATGCCGTAGTGTGGTGAGGACTGACGGAGACCTTCTCCAGCACGTCCGCGACTTCATGGCACAGAGTGAGAGTCTTCTGCGCGTCCTCTAGATATGCGGAGAATTCTGGACGGACCAACTACGTATGTTGATATCAGCTTTGTACGTATAACACACGAGAAGGAAGAGCAGACCTTGAGCAAGCTGAGTACCGCGTATGAGGTTTGAACACAATGAGAGTCGGGGGAATATTTCATGAAACCTTTTGGACCCAAATGGTCGCGGACGATGGTAGCGCAAGTGATCGCGGACGTATGGACTCTTGCGAAGAAGTGACCGATGTTGAGAGGCGCAGATTCAATAGCATTTTGCAAGCCGAACGAATTAAGAACCAGAAGAGTGTAGTTGAAGTAAAACTCTGAGATTCTGGCTTTGTATTCATGCTCAAGGGAAGTCTTATCTATCAAAGGAGGCAATGAGTCGCGGGTTTCCTAAAGAGACGAAGCTTACCATTGGTCGTTTCAGAGCTGGCAATCCATTTCCGCCTAAAAGTAAATATTTGGTCCTCAAATGTCCTGATGATCAACAAGTAGTCCAGGGTTGTATGCAGTCCATTGCCGGTCTCGGTATTGGAATAAAGGAAATCAAGACTGTGAGACAGTATCGCTTGTAGTTCCTATACGCAACTAGCATTAGCAATTATTCAGAATCTTGATGAACGAGAACGTACAGCGTATGCGGCCAATGACGTATCAGACGGAACGGCGCACGGGAGACTACACCAGTTATCGACATTTCGAATAATGAAGCTAGTATAGAACGGAAACCGTCAGGAACTGAATCGACCCCTTATCATCGACACTCACTCTTCTTTGATTGAATAAGGTTTACCCATCTGCGCACTGAAACTTTTGTCAAGGCAAAAGCAGAATATCCATGTTCGTTCCCGATTATGCACTTCGATTTCGCGCGCTCGTGCATCCGGACCATCATGGATGGTAGCAGTCGCGGATTTCCTATGCAAGTTTAAATCCGTAGCCATCCTAGTGCGCGTGAGGTTAGTGTACCAAAAATACTACGTCATCATGAGAAACAAACCTGATGGCCATACCCAAAAGAAGCCAAGTCTTATCTTGTTCGAAACGTTCGACAGCGCCACAACCCCAAAGGGTAAGAAGCAAGTATGCTTGAACGATCTCCACAGACTTGTATCCACGGGCTGGAACATTGAACGCTAGTTTCTTAGCGAGCTCATTGAGCCGTGGGTGTAAGTCTGGCTTCTCGGTATAGAACTTGCTGGATATAGCACAGACTGGACGTGTCTCAGTACACGCTGTAGTCTAACGATATAGACACTCACTGGTGGTCAGTAGGAATGGCGACCGAGAACACACGAGGGAGGGAGTATGGAAACTCCTATCCAAGAGATTTGTATGCATCTAAACGCAATATTGGAGGACACTTAGGGGAACTGCTATCAAAACACACTCACGTTCATATGATCAAAGTAACTAGAAAGTAGCATGAGAAGCGACGTATCGGAATGCAATGAAAGAACTAACATTTTAAACAGCTTGACAACTTCATTTGTAGAGACAAAACTAAGCATTTCGGGTTGCACTTGGCGCTCAATATAGAGACGACGAAGTGGCAGAATCGTCATAGGACCTATGAACTTGTAAATATCGGGGCCAGAATAAGGACGTTATTCCTACCGGGTTTGAAGTAATTGTCACCAGCAACACCGAGAATCGGCCCTCCATTCGATTCAGTACCCCTCGCAAGGATACCACTGGCGTGCCCTTGAGCACGACGATTGGCGAGACTAGCCTCTACTAATAGACCAAGAGGATTCAGAGCGTTATCAGGTAGAGAATGAAGTTTCGGTGAACCCGGCATTTGGCGATGATATGATGCAGGCGAATGAGGAGGTGATGCTGCGATCAATGCCTGGGTGGTTGCCGTTGCAGGACTAGGCGACGGAGAACGCGACAAGATCCCAGAAGCAATAGATGGGTTGCCAATCGACTTGAGAACGGTGTCCAACGTCCGTTCCATTTTCCTGATTGACCTCGTCAACAATTCGTGCTTTCTGCGGAGATAATGAGTCGTTTACGAGGCTGTAGATGAGTAAGACGGACTTGGAAGATCTTTTACCCCTGTTGGATTCTTCGAAGATACATTCATGGTTGCCGGCCTGACAGCGTTTACACGGAGGTCCTTGTTCCGCACCGACGCACTTCATTTTCAGTCGGCGACATACAGTGCAAGCGCTAAGCAAGAGTCAGAAAGAAGGTTCGAAAGAGAAATATATATATATATATACCGAGATCCTCTGGTGGGCTTTGCTTTCTCCTCCTTCTCCGCAGTTGGGCTACGAACGTCGGAATCATCATCCTTGCGCGCCTTTTTCCTGGAATCATTGCCAGACGGTGCTGGCCTCTTGCCATTGGCATTGGATGACGTTGGGAACATGTGTTCAGTTGGGGGGGTTCCAATTGTGTCAGAACCTTGTGACGAAGGCGATGAATAGTTTGAAGGCAGAGACAGATGAGGGGGGATGTGTTGGGGCGGCTGGGAGTAGTTTGTGTAGTATGGAGGGTACAGGGCTAGAGCAGGATCAATTGGCATCGACGGCGAGGGTGGTGGTTGCATGGAAAGCGACTGGTCAGGCGAAGACAATGAATAATCCTGCGGTGAGAGAGGAACATGGTCAGAATACGGCAGAGAATACTGGTGAGGCGAATGGTAGTAGGAAGAATAAGAGTATGTCTGCACCGGCATTGTGAGGAAGAAGAAGGTCCGTTGAAAGGCAACATCCAGAGAATTTAAAAGAGGATTGCAAAGACTCACGTGTGGAAATGGCTATTTGACCTTGTCAAGGATGATGGGAGGGGCGCGTGGCTAATGAGAACGAGCAGCCCGTATTGGAGCTTTCTGAAAAAGAGAAGTGTGTCCCTCAGGATCCCTCGTATTTTCCACGTTTAGAGAAACTCGGACACGGTGCAGAAAAGGAAGATCCCAGCACAGATTGAGGCCTCTGATAGCCCCGCAACTCTATACAGCTGTGAGAACAGATATCAGCAATTCACCGGCTATCCTCAAGGAAACAAAAGGGTTACAGTTACCTCTCCGATAATGGTCTTCACCGTATGCAGGCGGGGATGTGTGGGGTATTCCTCAAAGTTATCCCTGTCACACTGTCACGCATGTCCCATTTTTCTTCTGATCGAATGGTCAGCTGGTCGCGGTCCTTCAAATTCCAAAGCTGGACGGGCGCCCCCCGCGTCAGGTGTAATTATGCACTAGGCTAAGAAAGCTGAACTGGTCTTCCACGGGTTCCTCCTTGGCAGTACGGCACTGATTGACCGCCCCTCTTCTTTGTAAATACAGCTTACGGTGGCTTTATCATCAGTCCCGGCCAAATTTGGTTCACCTTTTGACGCGAAAGATGTACAGGTCATCCTTTTGCTACAAAATCTCTACCGGTTCTCTATTTAGTCTCTGGGATCACCTTTCCACGTCTATTTGTGCCGTCTCGGGTGTCGACATCAAGCCGACTGCTTTAAGCAGCATAGGTCCCAGGAACAGGCTCCGACTCGAAGGAAAACAAACCCCCAGATATCTCATGTATCTGCAGTATAACCTACGTGCAATGTTTCTTACCTCCCCGCTCTTTCGGACTGATGGGAGTGGAGCGCCTTACCTGTTCTCTGGGTTCCCTTTGACTGGCTCTAAATATTGGCCCCATCCAGTGTGTGGGCTACTTTGCTCGTCACCCAATGGTATGAAAACTTATACACAAGGTACCAGTAAGGTCTGCTTACTATACTGCGTATACTATTTCTCAGTATCAAATGTGAGCCGTGGTCGAGTCTTCCATGTTTTTATATCCCAATACTCTGGTACACTACAGCAGCAAACCTTCCAGAGGTCATCGCATTGCCCTGGTGGACCCCGGTCTCTGCTATACAGAAATCCTGGACTCATCGCTCCCGTGAGTCGTCATTTCTCCGCAGCGAAAAACCAGTTACAACTGATTTCCCCATCGATTTTGCTTTTCAATGGTCTACATAGATACTGCCGTTTCAGGCGCGAATTTTATCCACGAATCCGTATTCAGTTTCATAACCTGTGACGAACACCGCGTTCATTGCAAGGTTGATTCGGTCAATGCCGTACATTTAGATGCCGTCAGTATGCCCTGATCTTCAAGCAATGGGGATTTACCTCAGTGGCAGCAGGTGTATCAAATGCTCCATTCATCGCTGATCTGCTGGCTGCCTGTCCCACAACAGAGACTCGAAAAAAACAGTCTATATATGATCATCTGTACAGTGTCCTATTTTTATTTTTCCAGACTTTGCTACGGCCTTGTGTCCACGATCACTATGCCGCTAAGGCAATCGGCATATCCGAAAAACGCAATTGTCACATTGATATGCACTCTCTCTCTCTCACCACCTATCAGTCTTTGACGTTTCTCCACGCGTGTCTCTGAAATTCGGTGCTACTTTTTTGGTGCTACGGCACCTTTTGTCGAACGTTTCATTGTTGAAACGCTACCTGTAAGCGAGGGGGTCTCTAACCCTCAAAAGTTTTCTGCACAAGGTCATATATCCCCGTCGTTCGACTTCTTTTTATCCCGTGAACTGTCACCCCTCGGCCAGAAATTCTGAAGGAGTTTTTATTATCCGATAAAGATTCAACCGAACTGCTACGAGTTACAAAGACCGACAGTCTGAAGCTTCTCATGCACATGCGGTATTTCACGGTGCGCTGATGCCACTCTGTGTCTCGATCAAACACTGATGCTTGACAGGTTCGGCTTAAACAGCCATCGCTTTGTATCTTTCTTGCTATCTTCTTTCACTTGGTTCCAGGATGACGTCTCTCATGTCAAACCGGATGATAAGAATATGGCGTGTTTTGGGAGGCTTTTGCTCCCTTGTCAGTATTGTGACCACCTATAATTGTTCCCTGGGCATGCGCCTCCCTCTTTATCGCTCAATAGCAGGCCAGAGGCTTTCTCTCCTTGTGTTCATCGAAGTATGAGCGGTGGGGAAAGCATCCATCTCTCTCACGGGTCGATATCTGACAACTCTCCTCCATGTGGTACCTTAACCTGCTTACTCAACTGCACCAATGCAGGGGTATGCGACGTTATGGAACATAATCGTCTATCCCATAGACTTGCCATTGGAATTCGAGGATGGTCTGCGGATCCTAGTCATGAACTTTTCGCACTGGCGGTCTCGACAGCGAATATTTAGGCATCGCAGGGCCAATAACCATATGTGGGGCTACGCAATCTCGGCCGCATATCTCTATATGACTCCTTGCTTCTTTCTGGGATACTGACGACGGTGCGGTTCCTTGCCTTGTGCTCCTGATATCAACTCTTAGCGTTATTTTCAGGTCAGCTTTAGGGAGTCTCACGGCCACAACGCTGCTCGGTCCAGTCATATAGGGGCGTTCCACAAGCTCTTACAGTGTCTCATGGATCGTCCAATAGCCCCGCATGTGCCTGGTATGACTACCTTTATGGTGTCGTCATCCAGTAACTACTTATCTTCATGGTAAGCCGTTCGACTCAGTTCGTTTTGTTGCCGGGCATCATCTGGACACTGTTTTCCGACCGGGGGAGGCCTCTTCAAGGTGTGTTCTAGGTAATCCAACCGCCTAGACACGAAATCTTCACCCATACCAACGCGCCACAAGTAAGAATATAATTTATGAGACCCTGCGTCAAGTCATTACTTCGTTTTCTCATGACGGTCATACCCTGCCACTAAAATTTTGAATATTTTCCGGCGCTTCTTACGACCTCATGTGCGCTTTTCTTGAAAAAGCAGTGGTGAGCTTTACACTGTAACAATGAATATTCACTGTGCCATCTGCAGATCAGAGTCGCCTCACCATTTATGGGAGCCCTTGGGGACTTCGGGCACATCTAAAACGACCATATGCAATGCTATGCCCAATTCAATGTATATCTAATGTCTCCGGGCATCCAGGTCGAAATGTCTTTAAACAGTTCTCGGAACTAGGATTTCCTTTGATAAGAATCGAAATGAGCAAATGATTCAAGCTCACGAGAAACCTCCGGTGCCTCATTCCCAGTGCATAGTGACTGTTTGCTGCCGATCATTGCCCTGCCGCGGCATCAAAGGCGCCTTCATGAGCGGCTGATTTTCCGACTGAAGGACTTTTCATTACTTGTTGCCACTATATCGTCATGTGGTAAGTGCTAGTGGTGGGATAGGACAGGATTTTTCTTGATGAACGTTCGGTGCTTATCACTTTTTCCCTAGGTTGGAAAGCATCCTTGGAATGGCACGGTGTCATGTAGCCAATGAATGTCGCTGTCACAAGCCCAATCAACCACGGCTTGCGCCGCGTCTCGCACGATCACCAGAATAGTTAATATCTCAGATCCCATAAATTCGTTTCCTCGGCCGTGATGACGTCTGTTTTCTGTACTTGCCGTCCTCGACCTTGGAAGGTTTGGGCGTGGGTGCGTTGTGCCATGCCTGCGTGCAACTAGGAATTTTCAGGCCCGTGAAGAGTTCTACTTTTACTTCCTATCGGGGACGTCCGATTCGCTAATAGTATGTGGTTATCTCAATAGCGAGGACACGATATACGTCGCCTTCGAGCCAAGTCTTTGTGATCATATTCTGCTGTACTCCAAACGGGACTCTGCAATATGCGCCGCCTCCGAAGTGCGTATTGCTTCTCACCTTCCTCACAATATTAGGCATGGAAACGGTGGCTCCGATCGGTGTCAATTGTAAGCGCTCGGACCTTGATATTTTCAAAATTTACTTATTCATCTTTACGATTGGGCATATATAAGTTTCCTGGGTTCTAGGTGCTGGGACATTCTCGTACAACTGCCGAGGACCTAATGCTCTTACGTCTAAATTCGTGGAAACCATCCCGTGAAACTGAATTCGTCGTTCTTACGCATGACTGAGAAGTTCTCGCGTCAGCCATGCAAATGTCACGTTGCGCAGCGAGGGAATAACTTCGAAAGCAGGCACAAAAGTTGTTTCTTCCGAGGAAAAGGATGGTCAGAAGGTTTCGGTTCTATGTTTTTTTAGGACAGCAGTATCAGCCTGCGAAGGAGTCAGTGTTGCTTTCTCCTGTATCGAGTGCATTTTGTATCCTTAATTACCTAAAACCATATCTGCAGTTTTCTTTCCCGCAATGATCCGTTGTGACGAGTCAAAAGCGTCCAGTTGAACGGATCGTGAGTAGATCATGCCAGAATTGCACGCGCACGAGAGAAGGCAGTTTCCGGTGGCGGTCCTTTATTGGTGGATCACGTCTGCCAAGAGGATGAATGCTACAAACCCTTTAAGACTCTTGAAAATAGAGAAAATCAATGAGCCTGTGAAGAAGTGCACACCCCTTACAGATGATCAGGAAGGCCAAGAAAAAAGATTAAAGGAGCAGCTTTAAGTGCAGCAATCAGACGCAACGCAGAGATGGGTATCGGTTGTTGACAAAGTCAGAGAATAAATGACTTGACTTGTAAAGAAATCGTTAGTGCTTAGGCATGGCACTAGGAAATGTTTCCGCCGATGGCCAGTAAGGAAAGGGTGATCTCGAGAGCATACTTGGGAAACTTCTCCAAGTCCTTTCAAGGTTTAATGACGAATGACGAAACGTTAACCTTTAGAGTTGCTTCTTGATTGGGAAATAAGGAACCACTTTTGTCACTCTTTTCACAGAATCATGAGAGAGAGTCGGTGGCGCTCATGAAGACTAGACGACCGTCGTGTCCTAGGCACAAGGGTAATCGCCACCCATGCTGTGACAACTAAATGCATAGAGGATTCGGCACCGAGAGATTTCCACACATCAGCACGAGACGGATCCGAGGCTAAGAGCAAGACGCGCCAAGGGCAGATAGCGCTCAATAACAGACAGAAAATGACGCTGTCCTATTCGTCACCTGGCCATTGGCCAAGACGCATCCTTTTCAGAGACCAATGAGAGGACGGGGCAGTAGTATACACACTACTATAGCTTCCGCGACGCGGAATGCGGCGTCAGAACCTAGCACAAGAGAAAAGGCAAGTCAACAGAAAGGGTCAGGTGTTTCAGGGCTACAGACTGCGCGTCCGGGGATATTGTGACAGAGATCCGTGCTGAACAGGATAGATTTTACCACTAGTACTCAGGCCCATAAGGAATTAGGATATGATGAACGTGAGATTAGTCCCCCGAGATGAGCGAGGATAGATTAGCACCCGCACAACATACAGTCTCAGTCTGTAGGTCCCGATGTAAACGGTAAACCGCAAACTCGACTTTGAACCTGGTCAGGCGTCACGATGAGTAAGGTGTCACAAAGATGGGCTCTTCCGTTAATCTCGGAAATGATAATATGTGGCACATATCAAAAGAAACTGTAGGCAAAGCATAGTAGTAACGAAAGTGCAGTAGATGTTAAGCCCGAAGGTTCGGAGAACTTCGGACTTTGGGACTGTCGGACAATGAACAATTGTCCGGTCATGTGATCATAAACTTGAAACTCCGCTGCCATATTTGGAACTACAAGCTTGTAGTGTGCTTCTGTGCTCTTTCGGCGTTGGACTCTTACCACCATTCTGGTCCGCGATGAGCCCTCCACAACGTCCTTTGCTTGTCTTACAGCCATCTGTAAACACGACAACGTACGTATCTTTTCTATTGAGTGCACGGGAACCTACTGACGGCTTGCTAGCGTGGTCACAACGACTACGACTACGACGACGTACGCGCCAATACATTTGCCTCCGCTGCCGCCTCCGTCTTCGCCCAAAGATCCAAAGAATTACCCTCTACTTCATGCCACCCTTCCACAATCTCTCCGACTCTTTCCTTTGACGTTTCCTGGAGGCTCACGCGCGACTTTTCGCGACGGTGATGACGGTGATCATGAGATGCAGGAAGAGCAGGAGCTCGCTTCGGGCAATGGATGGCGTATGCTGAGACGCGATGAAGATGCAGAGCAATCCACCGTCGTCGGTCTTGCCGAAGCTCTTGAGCGTTATGGCAAAAAACGCTCGCATGCTGGCGAAGGCATGATGGAAGGCGTGGAATCCACCGCGGACATGGATTCAAGTCCACCGCCGCCCAGGAAAAAGGCAAGATCGGGTGGACTACCTCCCATCTCGACAATGAATGCTGCCGCGCCGCCTTCGCCCTTACCTTCACCTCATGGTTCACCTCCCCCAGAGACAATATGGCCGTCAGCGCCGCCAAGTGGCACATCCTCGCCATTACCACAGGCGCCTCTCCAACCAGACCTGTCGTTAACCACTCTTCTTACTCTGCCCTCCCTGGTGACACATTTCACAAGTCTACCTGCTCCCCTACAGTCTCATTTCTTGTTGACTCTCCTCCGTCATTCACCCCTACCTGTCCTGCGCACCTTGCATTCCGTTTTGACGCCCACATTAGCTCGTGATTTCCTGACTCTCCTACCCGCAGAGCTCGTCTCTCTCATTCTGAGTTTCCTCCCTTATGAAGCGCTGGCTCGTGCTTCACGTGTATCCAGGCCCTGGCAGGCTATAATAGACTCTGACCCCGTCCTTTGGCGTGACCTTCTCAAAACTACGAATATATGGTTTGGTGGGGAGTCCGAAAATGCATTCGCCAAAGCTATTCTTGCTCGTCGACAGCGAGAATATAACTCCATGACCTCTGCATTGCCCCTGCCCCATCCTTACAAAATACTATTTAAGTCTCGCCATTTAACCCGCACGCGATGGGTTCAAAACTCTGAGCCCAAGCACAGATCTTTCTTCGCCCATGGTTCATCTGTTGTCACATGCTTGATATTTTCCCATGGTCGTATCATTTCCGCCTCCGACGATCATTCTATTCACGTGTACTGTCCTATGACTGGCGATCTCCTTCGTTCACTTGACGGGCATGAAGGAGGTGTGTGGGCTCTGGCCGCAACTAAGGACATTCTTGTTAGTGGGTCGACGGATCGTACGGTTAGGATTTGGAATCTGACTACTGGTCGCTGTACGCACGTTTTTGGCGGTCATACCAGCACTGTACGGTGCCTCGCCATCGTAAAACCAGAGTGGGTAGACGTGGAACAAGAGTCTGGAGTCATAACAAGGGAGAAGTGGCCCAAACGACCTGTCATCGTCACAGGAAGTAGAGATCACTCCTTGAGGGTTTGGACACTTCCGAAAGCAGGCGAACCCGAATATCGTTGCTACGGCTCAGACGATGCTGACCTAGATCCCGCGGATGTCTGTGTAGGTCTTTAAGGTTGATTATTATCCTGTTCCGTCCTGACATAATTTAACCTCAGGATGCCGAAGAAAATCCATACCATAGATTACACCTCGAAGGTCATGACCAAGCCGTACGAGCACTCGCTACTAGGGGACGTACCCTAGTTTCCGGAAGCTACGATTGTAGTGTTCGTATCTGGGATATAGTCACTGGACAGTGCAAATTTGTTCTGACCGGGCACACTCAGAAAGGTTCGTATCTTTATGTTCTTTATTCATGGTACTCATAACACCTTTTCACAGTGTATAGCGTCGTCCTTGATCCAACACGCAATCAAGCATGCTCCGGTTCTATGGACGGAACCGTCCGCGTATGGAATCTGCAGACGGGGCAGTGTCAGCATACCCTGACCGGACATACTTCGCTAGTTGGTCTTTTGGGATTATCGCCTTCCTATCTGGTGTCTGCAGCCGCTGATTCGACGCTACGTATCTGGGATCCGGACACTGGCGAGCTGAAGCACACTCTTGCCGCTCACACTGGAGCCATCACTTGCTTCCAGCATGACGAATTCAAAGTCCTCAGCGGTTCCGATGGGACGCTAAAGATGTGGAATGTTCGCGACGGTACTGTCGTAAGAGACTTGTTGACGGGAATTACAGGAGTATGGCAGGTGGTATTTGAAGGCCGATGGTGCGTTGCTGCAAGCAATAGGAATGACACTACGGTCCTGGATGTTTGGGACTTTGGGAGGCCCGACGATGAAGACTGGATCGGGGAGCCTCCCAACTGGACATATGATGAAGACTTCACTGACGATGAAGAAGACGAGGGGGAGGGGATATTCAGCATCCGGGGTGCTAGTGAGATGGATGATGAAGATGACGAGCAAGAGCAAGCCGATGTAGATGCTATGGATGAGGATCTGATACCCTCAGAGAGCGAGTCTGTGGGTGACATTGAGATTGACGACGAGCTGGACACTCACGCTACATTCACCCGACGTCACCGTCAAGGTGCTGCTAAGGAAACCGATGAAGGAGATCTTGCCCATGCGTCGGATGATGAAGAAGTGGACGGGGTCAGAGCCTCGAGGTGGGCGTCGGTGACTGCGACAAGCTCTTCTAGTAAAGTGCGCTTGTCGACCCGTCGTAGTGCGACCTCTTCTTCGGCTGTGAGCCACACAAACCTATCGAACGAAGGATCAAGCCGCTGCCGGGCACGAATTCATGGAACGCGACGACGATGATGACAGGTATTCTTTCTTTTTCGTATTCCCTAGAATACCTTGGACTGCCGACACAGTAGGCTTGTTGGCTTGTCCATATAATTTTGATACATATATCGTCTACTCGTTGGGATTTTAGGTTCTATCCGTTACCCTCATTGCTCTTCACGTAATGTACTGCTACCATTGACCAGGATCTCTCTCTGTTTTTTCTATATTTCAATACCTCAAGAGGACGGTGTATAGTGATCTGACTACAAGATCCCGGTATTGAGAACGAAATGGCTCGTATACACGTGTTCAAAAGTCGAATACACGGGAAGGAGGCGGGGTGTGCCCAAAAAGCCAAGCCTGGAAGCAGGTAATGATGGCCATTGGGTTGTTTAAACGAGCCGAGCTTTGTGAATTTTCACGTCTTCTCGTGGCCTAAGGTTGACATATTCAGCGAATGAGGTTTCGTGACCTGCAAAGAGAAAAACATACCGATCTTGCGCATCAACTGCTACTGCCCCCAGACGCTGGACCACCCTCATTCCGGAGCTGACCCTTCCAAAGATGGTATGCTTATTATCCAAGTACGGAGTGGGACCTAATGTTATGAAAAACTGAGAACCTGCAGACCAAGTCAGCATCCCAACTTGAAGAATACGGTCCCACCATGCCCTACCATTACTATTCGGTCCTGAATTCGCCATCGCAAGTATTCCGGCGCCAGTAAACCTCAGCTCCGGATGTATTTCATCCTCACTGCTTCCTTCGTCAGACGGAACTCCGCGGCGATACAACCAACTCTTCGCACGTACAACTTTTGCCCGTAGATGCTCGTCCCCCCACGTCCAGTTCCCGTCGGGTCTCCTCCTTGAATCATGAAATCCTACGGGAGGCGATTGGAAGCGATTCACCAGTCGACACATATCCCAGCCACGCACGGAAATGATTCTGTGGAATGTGACCCCGTTGTAGTACCCACGCTTGGCGAGCTCTGCAAAATTTTTGCACGTCTGGAAGCTGAGAAAAGTGGTGGAAGGGAAGAAAAGCGCGAGAGAGAGGTACCTTTGGCGCATGATCAAAGTACAGTTCGAACTGTATGTCTCCTAAGCTTGTTTCGAAAACGACTGTATCGGACATGTTCGAGTTCTGACGGAAAGCAGAAATCAGCACAGCCACTCACGCCGGCGGGTCCCTTCAAACGAACACCACTTCATTGGCTATGCGAGCCGTTATACAGCGTGTGTCTTCGGCGTCGGTTACAGGTAATGATTTCCTTCCGACTATCTCACCCTTTGACCATCACGTTCCCCCCCCAGTTGACAACGACCTCGTATCTAAAATATCTCGAGGTTTGATGGTCTTCATCGGTATAGGCTCAGGTCTGTTACCCACCACTGACCTCGCGCTTTGCCATCTTTGATTCAAATCCAGAACAGATGATACTACCTCCGACGTCTCTTCCACGATTAAAAAAATGTGTGTGCAACTTTGTCATTGTCTTCGGCATACATTCACTTTTCCGAACTTGCGCCGTTCGCTCGATTTTTTCCCTCGAAGGTCTGCCACAAGCCCTTGTCTTGTGATCTCCCTCTCAGTGACTCTTCGGACTTGGCCAGTCTGTCGTTACGCGTGTTTTCAGATCCGACAGATCCCAACAGGATGTGGAAGGCCAGCGTGAAAGATATACAAGGGGAAATTCTATGTGTTTCGCAGTTTACTTTGCTGGCAAATACTACCAAAGATAAACCAGATTTCCACCTTGCGATGGTTCGTCATCCGTCGGGGGTACGGACGTCCGAATTCCCTGGCTGATAATTTTCCTCTGGCAGTCTACAGATCCCGCCCGCGGATTGTACGGTACCTTTTTGGATATGCTCCGGGACGCGTATGTCCCAGAAAGAGTCAAAGGTACGCCCTATCTGTCGACGCAATATTCCGACCTTGACCCGTTTGTTTCAGATGGGAAATTTGGGGCGATGATGAACGTCAGCCTGACAAACGACGTAGGTCTCCTGGCGCCAATTCTTACAATCGGAGGCGTTAAACTTTGTATTTAGGGCCCTGTCACGTTCACCATCGATTCACGGAGATACCAGTACGTCGGCGACTCTAGTGGGAATGCCAGTGCGAATGCGAAGGGAGGGGCGAAATCGAAGAAGGGTGCCGCCCCTTCGTCTCTTATAGAGTCGTCATAAGAATTCCAATTGGCAAACCTTGTAAAGATACATACCCGAAGCCGCAGAGGAATTAGAAGCTGATTCATACCGTGTCCAGGTTATGCTGGGTTCGGATTAGATGGCGCTAACCAGCTGTAGTCAGCGACCTACAATGTGACAAATTTGAGGATGGTTCTTACAGCATCATCCGTCGACCTCAAGGCGCTCTTATGTTGGCGCTGAGTTCAAATCACCTCTCCTCGACTAAATCTTCGTCTTTGGATATATCCCTATTGCTCTACGAGGCCACGTAGCCAGTCCTCGCTTAACAATGAGGCGTAAATCGGAACATCGAAATTCTACCAACATAAGAGATCCTCAGTCACATAGCCACCGTTCATCCCATTCGTTCCGGAAGACTACAAGTATTGGCCTGTACATGTTACTTATGCACTATAGGACCTCACTCCGCCTCTTCGCTACGAGGCGCACCGGGCGGCAAGCATCACTCAGCTGGAGCTTCGATATTGTGGCGTTCATCCCCGAGTAAAACGGGCTTTCCCAAACCAGGCAACGAACGGAGAGACCTCTGCAGACGAAAATAGAATGGCGCTCAGTCGTAAGCTCCACACTCAAACAATAGGCTCTGCTCCCTAGCAGACCACATTCAGCAGATAAACGCCGATTCTGATTCTCCATCACCCGAAACCACAATCATGTCACTAGTACTAGTAGACTAGCACATAAGGATAGGTACCATCCGTGTTTGATACATCGTCATTATATCCCAGTCTTTAATATCACAATTCATCTTTCAAGAGTAGCGCAAAACCGCGAAACCATTCCACGAAAAGGCACAAAGTAAAGCTAGCATGAGTCGGCAGGAGGAAAGAAAGAAAAAACTGATATCACGTAGAGAAGAGCCCTCTTATTATGGTCCAGATTCTAAATCCATGAACAACGAGAAAGGAGAGAACATAAACAACCTATATCCCATTCTTACAGTGCGGAGATCTCTCGAATTATATTCAGGACCCGCTCCTCCGGATACTTGTTTTCCAGAGAAGTGAGTATTGGTGGGATAGCGTCCACCTGAGAGGTGGTCGAGCCCTGTCTTTTCAATGCAAGTAGCTACCATTGGCTCATTAGAAAGTGCTCCAGGGGAGAAATCATTCATATGCTCACCGCATTGCCAAGCCCGACAAGGCCACGGTAAACAACTTCCGATTCGTTTATCTCCAGCCGTAGAAGCTAAAACAGAACGATCAACGCTTATCCCTACGGAACTGCGGAACACATACCCGAAGTGTCAATGTGATGTGAAGCTCATGCTGGTCTGGAGGTAACTGTGTGCGGAGGGCTACACATGAGATGCTACGAGCTCGTCAGAACAATCGACATTAGGACAGAGGATGACCGTACGCACTTGAACAAAAGAGAAGCCAACGGGAGCCGGTTTCTCTTATCCAACACAGGAAAATCAACTGCGTCCAAAGCTTGCAATATCTAAAAACGAGGGTCCGTGTCAAAGAAAGCACATCGTGTCATCAGATATTGCGCCATACCCCGTTCGGCCACGTCTCGTCTATCTGGGCTTTCTCTTGAAGCGTATTCGCCAGAGCCCTCAAAACAAGCGATACATTTGTCTGCCGGTCCCTGCTTAAAGGGGCCACCCAAGGAGAGTCCCATTCCCCGGCCGTGAGCAGAGTCTGTAAGAGCTGGTTCCTTGCACCGGATGTTGCGAAAACATCCGGGCAGAACCCGGTCATGAGGCGAGCTAAATCAAGAACTAAAAGGAGCAAGGTCCAGTATCAGTGCGGGCATGGAGGGGGGTGGCAGTAGGCCAGAAACAAACCAGGGAACAACTGCGACTGAGGCCATCTTTCTAGGATGTGTGAGATAGCATCGGCATGTGAAGCAGACATCAATGAGGGTCCTGATGACGTCGGCGAAACCGTTGACAAATAGACAAAGATATCGTCGACAGCCGTGACCTCTTGAGGATACATGGCCAACGTGGCAGTTGACTAAAATTCGTCAGTTAAAGGCAGGAAGTTAGGGGGCAATATACACCAACAATTTCATGGCTCAGACTATCATTGAACTCGAAGAGTTTGCTTTGCATTGCAGATACGTTGGCCTGCTTGAATGTCAAGGGAGTCGGCTAATAGACAATGAGCATTTGAGCGTAATCGCCTGGTCAATATACCTACAACTGGCAGAATTGACGGTTTGGGCGGCGGCGGTGCGCTCTGGGGTGGTGCACCGGAGTACCTTGACGCGCCAGTGAAAGGATCCATGTAGGCAGAAGAGGAAGCAGGTTGAGCCGTCGCGGGAGTGGAAGAACTCGCCATATACCGAGAAGCGCCGGTATAAGGATCCACATAGGCTGATGGAGGGCCTGAAGCGGGAACAGAAGCAGCAGAACTTCTATACCGGGACGCACCTGGTAACGAGGTGAATTTTCTTCAACCCAGGACATCAAAAAATATGATATTACCCGTAAATGGATCCACATATTCCTCTCCACCGGACCCCAGATTTACACCGGAGGTATTTTTCTCGATGAACCGTACCACCTGATCGATATAGCTTAGTGGTAGGTCGTTCTTTTCAAGGAACCGTTGGGCGGCAGCATATGGGTTTTCTACGCGGAAAGTCCGTCCGGCGATTTTCATCAAAAAAAAAAAGTGCGCACCCGAGGCGTTATAAGGGAGCTTCAAAGGAGGCACCCCGTCTTGAATGTCAACGTCAAATACGTAGTCATACTCCTTGCCTTCATGGAGCTGTCGCCGACCCTGGCCGACCGCGTCAACAACGTCTCCAATTTTTTTCCATGTGAAACTAGTGGCATCCCACTAAGCCATCCTTAGAAACCAACGACGCGGATAGGTTCAATAGAAAAGCGTACCTCGTGTGCTTCGACAACATTACCATTCCGGATCATTTTGACCTTACCGGGCGCATCACCTTATCGACAAGGTTATACAGAGTGAGAAGTAAAAAGTTTGCGCTTACCTGGAGTACTCAGTGCTTCTGGGCCAGGAAGGTCACTTTTTTTCACATCTCCTACCTGTTGGGAGGGAAGAGCTTGACTAGCTACAGCGCTGTCGTATGCTTTCAAGTCTGCTTCTGATGCCCAGCGCTCTTCGGAGGCACTGAATACGCGCACCACTCCATCACTACAGCCACTAACAATGTCACCATTAGGCATTGAGGATACAGTCCATACGGATATAGCAGGGTGTGTGATGACTTGGGTGCATTCCCCGTCTTCAAAGGACATACTGAATAAGTCTGACAAATAGAAGAGAGGGAAGGATAAAAGGGCACCTTTCCAAACACGTACAGATCGGTCCTCGCCGCCGGAAACGATGTCACCGTTAGGTAGTACGGATAGGCTGTAAACAAAAGATGTATGACCCGATAATGAATGAATAAGGTCGCCACCAAGTGTCCAAACACGGATTTCGCTGTTACAGAAGTCAGTATCAGCACAACCCTAAAGAGAAGACTGTACCTGTCATTTGAACAAGAAGCAAAGCCAATGTCAGGAACCAGAGCCAAGCCGCGAACGGCGTCACGGTGTCCTTTGAAAGTGGAAATGCATTTATGTTGTTGCCAGAGTTTAATGGTTTTATCCGCGGATGCTATTCAAAAGTATGAGAGGAGTGAGTCAGAGGAATTTAGATAAACGCACCCGTTAGGAACTGCTCTTCATCGACAGCCAGGACAGCCCACACAGACTGGTCGTGTCCCTTCAAGTCGTACGCCAACTGGAAGGATTTCCATACTTTGCCCGTCCTAATTCGCGGTGAAATCCGTTTCTTTTCGTGAAGCCAAATGTAGCGCACCTATCCCACGAGCCCGATATGATAGTACCGCCAGCCGACACATCTAATGCACAAACATTCTCCGAATGACCCAACAAAGTGTAATCGGGATCGTCCTTGGGAGAATCTAGCGAGAAGACGTTAATCACGGTGTCCTGGCCGCCAGTAACAGCATATCCTTGTAAAGAGCCTCAGCGTATGTTACCCAGGATGGCGAGCAAGGAGTTACCCTTCGAATTCTCCACGGATGATGAGATATACGCCACCGCGTTTACGTATCGCGACCCCGCACGCAACACCGACTCTGGAGCAAAGGGCGAGGACGATGAAGAGCGTTGCCACGAAATCGCGGTGGAATCTCTCGATGCAGACAAGACGAGGTCGTTCGTCGGTGCCACTACGCCGCGCACCTGCGAATAATCAGTTCGCCTGTCAAGCGTAATGAACGGTAACAAACATCTAAAGTATGAGCGGCAAGTGTAGCAGAAAGTTTGTAGGGCATATTGCCGAGAGTTGTCCAGATGAAAGTAGATAGAAAGAACAATGAGGGTACAAATGCCGATCCGAAGTTGGCAAGTGAGAACAGAAATGGATACCCCGGATATCTTACTGCTCAAACGACACTTTGCAAGACGTATTCTCAGTTCTCGGTTTCCCGTAATTATTGCAAAAATATACATGTTCCTAACATTGCCGAGTAATGTGCACCACTCTAACGAGCCCTATCTGGTGTGAAACAGTCACCAAAAGGGAGATACGGAGGTGTAGTCTATGCCTTGCACCATTACTTCATCTCCTGCGAGGTCCCCACCCAGTACTGCGTCGCGCAACGACCAAACACGACGCGTAGAAAAAAAGTGAGGGGATGAATGTAAAAAGCCGGCGTATTCTGCCTTTTCTTCTGCCTCTTTAGGGCAGGCTACATCTATTGGACCAAGTACCCGGTTCTCGGTTTGCCGAACGCAGTCAGCAGAAGCCTTCATTCTGTGCCACCATGTCGATAAAAATTTATCATTTATAGATCTCTTCATGTATCACGTTCAAGCCGTACTCGCAGTGTCTTGTCTGGCTGTCAGAATCCCGTGCCACCAGGGCTTCTCCATGGAGTAAAATATAAGGTTTCGAACGAGCGATATGTCCGACTGATCCTGCCACTCTGATTGAATGAATACCGACGCGCAGTTCTTGAGAAATAAGGCTGTCGCCTCGTTGATTCGTATCCCTGTTTCAGATGTCTGTTAATGATGAGTAGGGTCTGAAAAAGAAAAACAGCTTTCTTTTTATTTATTAGTCCTTACCCTGCTTGTTAAACGGGCCAACATCGGAACCTTCGCCATTTGGACGACTCGGACAGTGCTGCGGTCCTACCAAAGTTAGCACCTGGGAATCACTCACTGTTCTCAGTTAACACAATGCTTGATGCCGATTACATGTAACAGTTCTCGTTGGCATCGTTCTGAATCTCTCCCCTCGTAATCATCTTTACAATGTCTACGGAAACAGTACGGGAACTCATTCAATGCCGCTCACACAAGGAGTATTTGAGAAGCACACCGTGGTATAGAGCTGATCAATTACCTATAATGTGGGTATCGAGACGGTGTTGTGTGTCCGGATGAAATCAGTAGCGCTTGGTCCGTCCAAGTTCTTTCATCATCATATTTATTTAGACTCGAAGATATCCATCACTTCAGCGACGCATCATGTGGCACAGTACTCACGCCCTCCATACAAACCGACATTCGAGTCAGGTATCCGACACAACGTAAGCTGTACGGCAAACTCTATTATGCTATCATGGTCAGCGGGTCAATCCTGGAAATTAATACTGGATATTTCAGATTGCCAAGAGTTAACGTCAAAACAGCCGACCCTTTCGACAACAGTAGTCCCGGATGCAACGCACATTAAACGATGGTCTTTATTAAAATGTAAGGGTTTCAGCCAGTAATTTTGTCAAGTTAATTCTCAGAATAACCTTGAACTATTGCAGGCACCTGCTTTGCGCTAGAATGCATTCACCCGCGTCAGCACCGGGTACCGGCGCTCAAGGGGACACCCGGAACCAGAATACTTACTCAAACGACATAAACTGAAGAGATCTATTGAAAATTCGCGAACAAGTACATGAATGGTATGATAACCGCGCAGCTAAACCTTAAAAGGATGCAGGCGTAGACGTTGGTGTCGATAATTTCGAAAGCTCTAAACTCACTGACATAAATATTATAGTAAATAGATTACATCGTCACGCATCTTAGTACTCAAGGGCTCGATGCATCGGGATTAGATATAATCTTATCAAAGTCCTCATCGCCACTGTCACCTGTGGAAGGGATCTCATGAAGAGGCAGCAGATCCATCGCAGAGATATTAGATGCAGACTGGGCTTCGCTTTCGATCACCCGCTCTCCTGATCGTCCTGTTGTGCATAGGCCGGGAGGAAGCCTCCCGCAATCAAGTCATCAGTGATTGCTTTGACATTCTCCTCGACGTTGAAATCGAAACACGTCTCGGGCAGTGGTGGGTACAACCTACTGTTGAAGAGCAGCCATGTAGGCATGTCGATCATTGGAGGCGGAGCTATGTAGGGATCTTCCAGCCCGGTTTCAGTCTGCGGGGGCACGAGGGTCGCGTCCAAGGGCGCGTCGGGTGGAGTCGTGTCAAGCCTTTGCTGTGGCAGATTGATCAGAGGTATCGCCCCAGCCGCATGTCTGTTGATGAAGTCGTCAAAGAAAGGCGAGTCCATATACCACGGTTTCGATGGCAGAGTCGACAAGGACGCTGAAGAGGGAGAGAGAGGTCCTTCGACTTGTATAGCCGACGTGGCTTGAGCATTCACCTGGTCAGTCGGGTTCTCGGGCCGGGTGCTTGTTTGTTCAAGAGGGACAGTAGATGGCTGAGGAGACGGGTTCGGCTCCGACGGCAAAGTCGACAAAGACCTTGAAGAGGGAGGGAGAGGTGCATTGGCTTTTGCAACCACTTGAGCGTCCACCTGACTCGGGTTCCCTGGAAGGCTTGTCGGTTGAGAGACAGCAGATGGTTGAGGAGACTCCGTTTTGATTTCGAACTGGGAAGGTTTTAATAACTCAATATTAGTAGAATTTAGGCATGTCACTCACGGAAAATGGGATCGGCCAAATTCCCCGCGTGGGAGGCGGAGGGTTGAAGCTTTGCTGTGGAGCTTGGCTTGTGGAGGGTTCCTTGGGAGGTGAAGGAGCGCTGGCACTTCCACAACTACTGTTAGCTGAAACATTGACCTTGCGATGAAAATACATACGCTTCTGATGGAATGGATGCGGCCAAAGCCTTCTTCCTGGCCTCGGTTTCCGCCCTTGTAGGCCTCTGAGAAAGACAGATATCAGAGCACGGTAACAGTAAAAGGTAGAAATGACGTGCCCCACGTCGACGTTTCATAGGGAAATATGGGGACGACGGCAGAGGTACAGTCTCAATCTTTGGCTTTCTCCGTGCTGATCCTTGAGAACCTGAGGCCCTCCTTTTGTTTTTTCGACTAGCCTGGACAGATTTCGGAGGCTGAGAGGGTCCTGGCATGTCAGGCGGCACAGGTAGCATAGGTTGGACCTGCTGAGGATGAGGTTGTAGTGGTGCCGAAGTGTGATGTCGACGCAGCGGCTGCGGAGGACCGTGAACTTGGTAGGCCTGTGGGTAAGGCTGGTGTGGCATGGATGCATCGTGCATCTGCCTTGGACGAGTGTCGGGATACTGATATATAGATCCAGCGCGTTGGTGAGAGGGAACCTGCCCTTGAAATGGCGGATGGTGCTGCATTGGCAGTGCATTAGGTGGTATGTGATGAGGCTCATGCCTTTGCGATGGCGGGAAAGCTAGTCCTCCTTGGTCCGGAAAAGTCCCGGCAGGGAGAGTGTTCCCTGGTTGTTGCTGATACCGCTGAGCATCATTATATTCTGTCGGAGGAAAAGTGGTGTGGTGAGGGAGGTTTGGTAGTGATCGTGTCTGAGCAATGGCGTAGGCGGTGTACCGCGTTTGCTGTTGCGGCGCGTAGAGCTGATGATGCCGATCCGGACCCATTTCCGATTGCTGGTAGTAGGGGTGTAGGTGGGGCATGGGCTGATTCCTCATGGAATCACCGTTCACGTAGCCTACTGGTAGGTGGGGGCCGCTAGGCAGTTGGACCATTCCATGACGATAACCGGAGAGGGCACCATTGATGTTAGCATGCCCGGTGGCGGAAGCGTCTGGAGGAGGATATTGTCCTGCCATTGTAGAGATGGCAAAGACCAAAGGGACGACAATGATTGGGAGTGAAGATGCGGCAGGACGTAGGCTTTGCCTGACTTTATACCGCGACGCGACACGCGAAACGTGACTTGGAAGATACCGCTTTAGGCCGCGCTGCCTCGACCGACGCGAGTGGCGAGAGTCCCAAGTCAAGGCAAGTCAATCTAACGAATTGAGCTTGTTAGGCAAGGCAAGGACTGGTCGTCTGATCAAAACAAGTTCGCTTCAGCAGAAAAGAAAGAACGACTCACAGCAAAGATCGTTAATGCTTCGTACATCAGTCGTACCAAAGCGGGATAATCGGCATCTCTGGGGTGTTTTTTTATTTTTAAAAAACTCGCCGATTTGTAGTCGTTAGTCGTTATCCGGGAGAAAAATAGCTGAATTTCACGTAGGCACAATTAAATATTTTATGTGCCTAGAATAGTCTTGACATGAGTGCAAGAAAACATTTCCCTGAGGCGCCGCCTATCGTGATGGGCTCATTCCGAACTTTTCGTTATCCCGGTCTACGCCAACTACGAGAGAGCAATTGGCAACAACCATAAAGGAAGAGATCTGAACGAATACAGTGGCGCTAAGGTCCCGTTGAATTCAGGTCCACCTTCTTGGTGGTCAGTGTGGCCAAAGATCAGGAAAATTTGTCTTCGTTCAACAAGGGCCAGCTTTGATAAGGAAAAGCGGCACCGTCGTTCTCTCAGAATGCCAGAAAGAAGACATGTTTGCTATATCAAGTCGGCCAAGGAACGTTAACAAGCGTGAAAAAAATTCCACGACAATGGTCTGACGCTTGGCCAATTCCGACAGGATGAGTAATGGCCTCTGTGGTAGAAGTGAGATGGCCAGATGGTACTCGTGCAGCCAAAGCGACCGTGGTTATCGCAATTCCGAGGCGTAGTCTTCGAGTCCCCTGCTCTTGTCCAAACCAGACCAAGTCAAACGCTAAAGCTCTGAAGAACAATGTGTAGGAGCTTGGGCCCGGACCATAACAAAGCAGATGATAATATTGATGATGAACAAAATCGTTAGTCATGGTGCACCTTTATTAGCAGCCGTAGATAGACGAAGTGCATTGGATTCGAAGGGAGCGAAAAGCAGAAGAAAGTTGGAAGGAAGTTCCGGTCAATTACCGGCAACTTGCGCGGTCCGAACCACCGGTGTTGCGCCCACTTCGCACCTACACCCATCTCCTGATTCCTGCATACCTGAAGCCTGGAAGTTCGAGTGTATGTGGAAGAACTTGTCTATCAAAACTTCGCCCTGTACCGATGAATTCAACATGAACGGCTCGATCCCCAAATCTGGAAATCATTTAACCTTATTGCTTTCTTAGTATTATCTTGGGATACGTCTCTTCACCTTGTAAGTCGTCCTGTATATATCTTATAGATTGTGATGTAATCTCCCGTGAAAGCTCAACCAGACCAGATGGCCAAAGCTCAGTCCACAGGTTGACCTTTTTCACGCCTCCATATCCGAAGGGCTTCTTCGCGATTCGTACCATTCCTTTTCATTGCGCTCCTACTAATGCTTCGTTCTATTCTTTACAAGTTCTCGGCCCTCGCTTCCAGAGCTAGCTATGACATTGTAACTATTGATGGCCACGGTGGACTTCGATAGTCATCTCAAAATATAGTCGATACCAATAGCGTTTCGAAAGGTGTACATAGCTGAGCCATTGGAAGCTTAAATAGATTTATGCTATTTTTATTTAAAGGTGCGGTGGCTCTTGTCTACTCCACCAATAGCAGAAACCTTGACATTCGCGCAGCTTTCTGATGAGTGTATTCTGTTGACGCGCCTTTTTGAGTCCGAGCAGGTACTATTCAGACAACATGTAGGTAACAGTGCTTAAGATCCCATTGGCTTCCATAATCTATAAGGGTCCTACACCTGAGGAAATCTCCGGTAGAATCACTAGCCACTGACCTGGGGCATGGGTCACGATCTCATATACGATTGGTACATAAAATTGACGATGGGCTCGAGAGATTCAATAACTGGGTCATATGTCTTCAATCTCTAGGCACTGTCTGCTTCCTATGTCATTGGACCTAGTTCAATACCGCGGCGTACTTCGATCGCGTCACCTCAAGATGTAATCGATGCCGATAACACTTCTAGTCAGAGCTCAGGTTTACCCAGCTGACCTTTCGAAAGTTGTAGCGGACTGAAATCCTTCAGTACGTCTATGCGCTGCTTCTATCGCAGTAGTTAGTCGGACAATATCTACTAATCGTGCTACGTTTTTGTATGGTCTAGCTAGCATCTTGAGCCTCATCCCACGACACGAGTCATAACTCTGATAACACTACACCGTGGAATCCTCTTTACCAGACAATCCAACTTGGGGACTTAAGTCCGGAGGACAAATCAGATATGTTATCAATGTTTAAACCTGCCCTAAATCGAGCACGTGCTGCGGACGCGAAACTGTAGATAAAGCTTGAGCTTTAGCCTCAGGGTTCAACTGAACCCCCAATCTCTCCTACTAGTACAACCAGATACCAGCGTCGACAATGGTCAATGACAGGAAGAAAGTATGGCTCGACGTCGATCCAGTGAGTTCCTGTCCCCCCATCAAATTCACCGCCGTAACCACGATTACTCAATTACCCCTGAAAGGGTCACGATGATGCAACTGCCATCCTCCTCGCCCTTCACAGTCCTCAAATTGAATTACTAGGGATCTCTACGGTACGTGTTCGGATAATCATCGTTCGAGGTAGATGCTGATAATTCAATTTTCAGACTCACGGAAATGCCCCTAGTGATCTGACCGCTATCAACGCTGCAAGGTGTTTGTTGGCATTCGGCGCGAAGCCTGATATTCGTGTGTACCCGGGTGCGCCCAAGCCCCTTCTGAAGCCGGTACAGCATGATGCAGAGATCCACGGCCCCGATGGCTTGGGAGGTGTCGTAGGATTAGCATCCGGGACCGACTCTGCCGTCTTATCCTTGATCGCTAAGAATCCTGATGGCTCTGTCGTTCGGGCCCTCGAGGGTATGTCCCAAGCCATCAAGAAGGTGTGGATCGAAGGGTCCGGCTTGGAGAAAGTCACCATCATCTCGAGCGGTCCCATGACCAACATCGCGAACTTCATCTCGGTGTATCACGACCTGTTAGATGCCGTTGAGGAATTCGTGTTCATGGGTGGAGGTGTCGGTCTCGGAAATCGCGCGGCTATTGCTGGTAAGCATGATTTTTTGATCATTATACAACGGTGTTTCTAACGGGTGGGATAGAATACAACGTCATGTGCGATCGTAAGTGTCTTTCAACTCGACGCGTCTGTTTTATCTGACATTTTTAATTTGTGTAGCTCATGCGGCTCAGATCGTTCTGAACGCGCCCGTCCGGACAGTCATGATCCCTATCAACGTCACCCACACGGCCATCGCCACCAATGATATTATGACCAAGCTCTTGTCGCCTGCGGCTACCATAGGGTCAGACTCGCCGTTGCCTAAGCCTGAGACAAACCTCCGGTACACCCTTTCGACTCTTATTGGATATTTTGCGGAGTCGTACAAGTCGACGTTCGGCTTTATGGACGGACCCCCGATGCACGATGCTCTGACGATTGCGTACGCCGCCCATCCCGAGCTCTTCACTGCAACTCGATTCCGAGTTGATGTCGAGCTCACGGGCACCCATTCTAGTGGACAGACCGTTGTCGATACGTGGAAATACCAAAAGACCGATGATTCATGGGGCGCCACCGGGAAAAATTGTTTGGTCGTTGAGACAGTCAACGTGAGTGGTTTAAAAGTTCCCCAAAACCAGAGTACTGACAACATTTCTTGCATAGGTGGATGGATTTTTCAACATGTTCTTGGACTGTGTTGCTCGGTGCGACAAGGTCTCGCCGTTGAATCGACAAGCTTGAAGATATTAACGTGAATGATGCACATAAGGGAAAGTAAGGACATGTACTACTACTTCATGGTGTTCAATTGAAAGTGCTGCACGATCTGACCGAACTAAGCGAACGCTGTCGAGGCGAGAATTTGAAATAGAGTATGGGGTGATGTCATTGATGAGTAAGCATATGACGATCTCATCGACTCAGCTCCCGGGAAGCTCCCGCCAACGTTTGTCCGGCAAAAGCCCTGTTTTTCGGACTCAAATATGCAATGATCAGAGTCTAAAATATGCTGCTGCCTAAGCTCGCTAGTTTAGATAAGAACAATAATGATAATATTTGACACAAATACAATTAAGAGGATGAGAAAGTCACTAATACATCAGGAAAAACTGAAATACTACATACCTGACTGCCATTTGTCTATATCATATTGATGATCGGTCCCTGTAGCAATCTGTAGTTCAAGGTCAAGTCTCCATAGCCAAACAGGATATATGCAAAGCCAAGGGCACACCTCCACAGATATATGAATGGGAGCATTATGAAAGGTATTCAAGGTGACATAAAAATATATTCTTATAATAAAAACACCTGTTAAGCCTGCTAGAGTCCAGATATAATAGCTGTTAACTTTGTATGTTCATGGTTATAACAAGTGCAGGAGAGAATGATATCCACAGTTCTCAAATAATTATCAAATAAACATGTCTTTCTGGCTCCTTAATTATTATCACCTGGCATCTTTTGTCAGCAGCTTCATATTAGACATCTGTCTCCCATCATCTTATCACTCCTGACACTGCTGATTTTCCAGATGCTGTCCTGTATCCATGCTCATTGTTGAAGACAGTGACAAAGTTAGATGGATGTTTTACTTCATATATTTGGTCTATGCTTTCATCATAAAAGCAGATTCTAAGAGTAGAGAGCATTTTTGTAGGCCTCTGCTGTTACAATTTTCTATTCCTTTTGCTGCTACAACCTCTATTTATGCTTAGTCAGGGCACTAGAACAAGCACTTAGGACTATGGGACAAGGCTTAGTCATCACAACTGGCCAAGTCTGTCATTGTCTTTCAATGCAACAGCATTGCCTAACAACACACAGCTGACCTTTTATGTATGGTAATGATGCTCCAGAACAATGAGCATAAAAACAGAGAAACATACAATAAGTAGGTAGTATTATTAGCAAACCTCATTTTGTATTTAAAGGAGCTTGCTCTCACTGGTGAAAACCCAGCTTTGAGCTAAAGTTTATATATCCTCATTCTACTCTCATGCTAATCACACAACACCTTGAAGCACAGGGAATCAACAAACAACATATAAAGTAGACTCTAACAGAAGGCTCAAATGTGAAGCCATGTTGGTTTATCACATGTTAGTTGATTATGTGTGGCTTGAGT